TTGAATTTATAAGTATAAGGTATTTACTATAATAAATATTACCTAAAAAAAGCAATAAAAATTTTAAAAATATAATTTAAAGGCGTAGATCGGGTATTTTATTAATGATTTAATAATTTTTATTTATTGTATATAAAATCCTTATATAAATTTGATCGTTTAGATTAAGGATATAATATTTAACGAAGATATTATTTATTATTTAAACGTTAAGAAATTTAAAGATAATTTCAGAATTACTACTAAGTAATATATTAATTTATTTAATAAAATAAACGAATTTATTAATTAACCTTCAGAGGTATTTAAATTATCCTATATTAAAAACTATACGTTACTAAACGACGTTAATAACGGTAATATTAAACCTCTCCTATCGAATTTCCTTAATTAAAATTAGGAGGATTATTAAGGAAATTAAGCAGTCTTCTAAAATAAAAGTAATCGGCTATAGGAGGTACTAATTCAATAGCTTATTTATAATAAGATATTTATTGAATATATTATAAGTTTATACCTGTCGCTTCTATTTACCTTGCTAACTGTACTCTATATTAATTATTTTAATAACCGAACTATCGATTAGGATTCTTATTATTAAGAATTATAGGAAGCCGCGTTTAATATGGGTAGATTAGCTTAATTAATAATTAAAATAAACGAAAAAATAATTATTAAAGTAGAAGTCGAAAAGTTAATTATAAAATACAATTATTTTAATAGGGTATACTAACGTAATCTCCCCCTAATACTTAAAAAGTACTATAATTTTAATAATTATCTATTCAGTTAATAATTTAAAGAAGTAAAAGAAATTTACTTTAAAAGTTATAAGGATATAAAAACGTAGATTGAAGTTGATAAAGATATCCCCTACTCTAAACGTAAATAAACCTTCGATTATATATAGATTTATATTTATAAATTCAATAAAAACGGGATATTTAATAAGGTAAAAGCGAAGTTTATTGTAAGGGGTAATTAATAAAAGAAAATAAGAGTAAATACGTACGCATTTACTCTAATTGGTCGATTATTTCGTACTATTATCATTTTCGTTATTCGCTTTAATTTCAAACTTATTTAATACGATATAATTAATACTTTCGTAAATACTTATTTCAATAAAGAGATTTATATATATATACCGCTAGGGTATCGAATACCTGGGAAGGTTTTCAAATTTATTAAAGCCCTACATAGTCTCTAACGAACTCTCTTACTATAGTAATAAAGATTAAATAGGGTATTTAAATCGATAGGATTTAAAGTAATCCCTAAAGACCTATATATTATAAAGAAAAATAGTATTTTTATACTATACCATATCAATAATATGGTTTTTGCGTTCGATAAAAGCAAAATAGAGGAGGTTAAAAAATATATAATAGAACTATAATTATAATATTACTTAATAAGATGAAATAAATTCCAATGGTTTTTAGGTATTGAAGTTATACGTAATCGAAATTAAAGAAAAATTTAGTTGTTTTAAGAAGTATATATTAATAAAATTACCAAACTATTTAAATTTAGCTACCGTCCTACCCTAATACTTATAGGGTATAAATAATTAGTTGCTTATAAAAGTACTACTAATTATATAAAAATACGAATGTACTAAATTAATATAAGTTCTTTACTATATATAATAATTAATATTCGATTAAATATTGTATTCTTATTAAGCAAACTAATTAAATATAATTATAATCCTAATTCTACTTATTTAGTAGCGAACGAAAAAGTTATACGGTATTTAAAAATAATAAAGATATAGGTATTCTATTTTAGTGGGAATAATAAATTCGAAATTACTTCTAACGCTTCGTTTATTAATAATAAGAGTAACTATAAGAGCTCTTAGGGATTTATAATTAAACTATATAGTAGTTTAATCTACTAGGGAGTAATTAAATAGACCGCGGTTACTACATTAATAATAGAAATAAAAGTATATATAATCGAAAAAGTAGTTAAAGAAACCCTTTTCATAAACTGATTAATATTAGTATTAGGGGTAAGCTTATTAGAGGATCCTATTCCTACTCTACATTATAATGATTAGTAAATTATTAAAGTACTTATAAAAAAATGCCTACCTTTGGTATAAAGATAAAGTACGTAAATATTTATAAATATTAGTTAAGGGGAGAAATTCTCGAAAAAAAGACTCTTAATATTAAATATTTAGAAATAAAGTTAATACTAATAGATAGATTAATAAAGGTATTAAGTATTCTAGAGTACAAGAGATTTAGGGAATTATTAAATATAGTTAAAATATTGCCGCGAGGAGACGGAAGAGGAGATAATCCAGTACCGGGAGAAGTGGATTTTGACGATTTGGATAAAATATTAGGATTAGGGATATAAAACGACGAGAGCAATGTGTAAATAGTTTCACTTTTAACCTCAAAGAAAAAAAAGAGGTTTGTAAGTGAAGGGGTATATTAGATTCTAGGGTGGCATTCTAGCTAGATGTAGGCTAGATACCAAAGTCCCAACTACCTAATTTAACAGGTCTTAGCAAATATGGGTTACCCCTAGAACCCCCCATACCAGAGCGCTCGAATCAAACACACAGAATCAATCAATCACCAGCAAATCTGACAAATGGCATTTCCACAGGCTATCTGAGAAGCTGCGTGACTTGGTACGTATAAGGAACATGATTAGCTCTGGCGTTGGGTGTTTTGTGAACTACATTCAAGCTTCGATGCCCTCTGGGATGACGAGCTGGCGTGGTTGAAGTTCGCAGTTGGATGCAAGACACTAACGAAAGATCGGAATATAGGAGATTATCTTGGTCAACTTCTGTTCTTGCCGGATTGTTCAGTTACCACCTACTTACCAAAGCCAATGTGGATAGGAAGTGTCATGTTGTCGCCTACGCGCGTAAAGCTGTGAAATGGCAGGAAAAGCATGTGTATGAGAATCCTTCCGAAGCAAACTTGCGCTCCCATGGTCATTTTGTGCGGCCCATGTCAAGGACAGGGAGGGAAGGTAGACAGCTCAAGCGAATTCAGCGCTCATGGAAAACTCCCCGACCTTTCCTTCCAATATTGAAAAGCTGTATGTTGTTAGACCACTGTTTCGCGAGCGTCTATACTGTCAGCTTGTGAAACAGTTGCACAAGCTGGCGGAGCTCAGGTATGCAATGATGGCAGGCCCACTCCGTTCCTTTGGCCCAGAAGATCAAAGACATGCGGGATGGCGAGATAAGATTAAGGTCTGGAGCATGGAAGGACGTAGCGACTGGTCGACAGCCAGGAGAGCTTCCATATAGGTGCTAAAGTCAGCGATGTTGGCTGTTGGTCTGTCAGCTTCCCAGTCATCAATCAACGTGTTGGGCGGTTTCTCGCAGGACAGACCTTTTTTTCCGGCAATTGGGGTCTCTCAATTTGGTCGCCTTTGGTTACTGATATACACTAGTCGTTATGCAGTGGAAAGATGGAGTACCATGTGATTATGCGTCAAGCCTGTTGTGCTCCTTTCGCGTGCTTCTTCACATCGCGGGATGGAGCCGATTCATCCAGACGCTCTTGGCCTCCTCGAATCAGGCTAGTGTAAATCACGCTGTGCAAATGGGAATGACCAAAGGGCGATTGTTGGGTTTTCCTGTCATAGCATCGAACACTATTTTCCAGGTGAGGGAAACAACGATTGGCCGGCATGGTTATAATCAGGGTAATCATGACTTCTTGTGACATATGCCCCTGTCTATCAGTCTGTCGTGGTAGTACGCAACGGTTGTCTGCCTCACAGACTGATTCTGTGGACTTCCCCCATGAGTGTCTGGGAGTGTGGTGCGGCTCTGCAAGTTCCGACGAACGAGAAGACAGCCGGGTGACGGCGAAGGCGAGAAAGCGGGCTGAGGAAGTTCAGCATTAGAAATGGCAGGCAAACAAGTCTCGGATAAACCACCCATGGTGAAGGGGGCGTGAAGTACCTTGATCTCCGGATAAGTTCTAACAGAGAGCTCATACATATAACCATGGCCGTGGAAATATGGTATCCTTTCCATGGATGGAAGCATCTCGCACAGGGTACTCTCTGGATACTGTTCCGTCTGATCCTTCTGTCGAGACAAGGCTCGGGGTAGCTGGATAAGGCACCCCAGAACCTGGCTACTGATTTCTCCGATCAAGCGGCCGTAGGAAGTTCCACAAGGAGCCCTATGTTTTGACGTCATCCCGGCGATTCATGGAAAAGGTAATGTGTGGTACGGTACTGGTGTTGACATGCAGTGTTAACGACGCGGAAGTCGGGATGGTAAACGTCACCCAAACCCAGCTAGTTTCAAGATACGTACCATCCGGTTGTCCGTTGTTCCTTTCAATGGATGTCTCGATTTGCACACCGAGCGAGATATTGATTCTGGTGTTACCGGGGAGAGGCCGGAATGTCCACGATGCCGCGTTGCTGTGAGCAGCTCTGCCGATGTACACCTGACACCTCCTTGCGACAACCGGTGAAGGATGAATGACGCGAGAGCGGGAGAAGAAAGTAAAGATCGAATGACAGGAAGAAAGACAAGGACTTCCGGCCGAAAGGAGATCTAACCGGATGTTTGGGGTGAGAAAATGGTTGGGTTTCGAAAGACAACAGAAGACGAGGATCTCTTTTCCTGGAACGAAGGTTCGGATGATGCAACTCGGATGAGCTCCAGACGGATGGGGAGATGCCACTGGGCAAGAAAATTTTTGTTGGAAATTTTTACTTAACTCTGAAGAGGAGGTTTGTGCGGGTTGTGAAGGAAAGAACGTACCAGCCTTAGGGTACTTTGCTGGCAAGTCCGTATGAGGAAGTTGCGCTCCAGATACCTAGATATCATCGGTCTTGCCCAAACATAGCGGCCACTTTCGCTCTTCAGTGCTTCCATCCATGTCAACACTGAATGAACCTATCTTATCTCTACTTCTGTTAGAAACGGATAAGTATCTCACCAATGTCTGATACCTACTCATAAAGTCTGAAATCGATGGGCGCCTGTAACATGAAAGGTATCCAAATATTATTCAGCAATGCTCAACCAGAGACTCGAAAGCAATGCTTCACTAAAACTATCAAAGCCCCATGTCGTTCTGACCCCATATACCCGATTAGCCTTAGCTCCTAGAACTCCAATACAAAAATGTGATAAGTGAGGAAAAACAGGTAGTGTACTCCCTCAACCTCAAGCGGGTACCCGAAGCGCCAAAGCAAAACCGTTTAGTAGCTATCGAAGCGGTCTGGCAGCACAATTGGTGCAACCAGGGTCCAGGTATACATGCCGTAGCAGATCCACGAGCTCACAATCTTGACCCAGCTCGCCCACAGCGTGCGACCAACCGTGGCAAAGTCGCCCTGCTTCTTGTCATCCCAGTCCATGGTCAACAACGTAGCAACCCAGGCAGTGGCCAGGAAGAAGATGATGTGGAACATGGCGTAGCTGTACTGAGTGCTCGATCTCTCGTCATCGTTAGCCGTACGATCACCCGCATCGCTCTCATCGTCATCTGATAAGAGAGCATCTGCGGGAAGGCTTCCTTCCTCAACGGCCCTACGGAGCGCCTCGGCCCGCATCTCCCGCCGGCCTGGTTGTGTTGTCACGAGGTCATGACTGTCGTCGTCATCGGGCAACTGGATCTGTCCCCTTCCGCTTCCACCAAGACCAAGGCTCTGGGTTGCTGCCCGTGTGGTGGTATAGGCCACCGTGAGCATGGTTGCGATGGCGCCGAGAATGATGGTGGTAGTCCGCGTGCCCTGGCCAAGCACCAGAGGGTTGCACCGCCGGTCCTCGGTCTCATCAGGCTCCATCGAGACCGCAGACATGGTCAGGTAGGTGCAATAAATGGCCACCATGGCGGCTTGCGCAAGCCCCGCCTTGGGGTTGTACTCCTGCACTGTCGGATGCACAGATATGGCCGAAACGGCGATCCAGAGTAGCAGATTGATGGTGATTGCTGCTTGGTTCATGGAACAGCCACTCGCAGCGAAGAAGATGTACTGGATGATGGTCATGGCAAGGGACGCGAGGTACATGCCAAGCGTCGAGCCAATCAAGATGATCCTCCAAGTACGCGAGTCGGTATCCTCAATCTGCGCCAGACAGTACTCGGCCCAGTTGTGCGCCAGGTCAACCAGCAGAATAAGGCCGAGAATGAGGAAGAGCATGGCACAAATCAGCGAGATATAGTTGCCCCAGAACACAAAGAACTCGTCCGGGATGAAGAAGGTCAGGACGATCAAGCTGAGCCAAGCAATGATCTTGGGTCCCCAGAAGCCGTTCTGGATTTTGGCGCGTGGGTGCTTGGACGAGTTAACTCCGAGGAGAAGGCCAGCCAGCATCAGGTGAAACAAGCCGAGAGCAAAGTTGATGCGGTGGACAGCAAGCCAGCCATAGCAATCTCCGTTTCCGCAGCTGATCTTGACATAGTTGAAAGTGAGGTGTTGTAGTTTTTCGATTGCCCATTTCGTGAGCATTATCCACGAGAGTACCGAGTTGATGAGAAGGATGAGGGCATATCCGATACGGGTAAGGACACTATAAGAGCCGATGTTAGCGCAGCAAATTGGACGCCATAGAGACCGTCATCACCAACCTGTTGCCGCATTTTCCGCACGCGCTGCAAAGAGCGGAGCATGCGGCAGCACCGCAGCAACTACCAACGAATCCGAGGATCTGTGTGACGGGAAAATATGGTTAGTATGATGGATCATAACGTTGAGTTCGTGATCGCGTGGTGGGGAGGCAACTGACAGTGCCTAGACTCGGCACCGCGAGCAGCGGCAGCGAGAGAAGCGCGCCCATCGCGACGACGGCTGGCTATTTTCGGTTTTCGAATTGATTTTGGTCCTTTTTGCGAAGAAGAAGAGCGGAAATATGGTCGCCGTTGAAACTTGGCGCAAATCGTATCGGCGCAATAGTCGAGAAAGAGAGGTTTGGTGATAGATTGATAGGTAACGAGGTCTGGAATCATCCAAGATCCCGCAGCGTCGTCAACTTGCGACCAAGACGTCAGGGCAGGGCAGTTGGTTCAGCGGGCGGGTAGCAGCCCCAGATGACACACACGCGGCTGGCAGAAGCCCGTCTCTCGGAACCAATCATCTCTCAAGCTAGTTTCAAGCCACACTGCGCCACCGCACGTCCAGCGGGCTTCGATCTCTCGATCCAACTTGAACCGACTTCAGTCAGGTGGAAGGACTCTTCCATGTCTTCTCAGCTCCCGGTCTCGCTTGTCAGTTCAAATCAACACAAATCACATTGTCAATTTCCAGTCATTTGATGACATCAAAAGGCACTGAAACGAAGCACAGATCCGGGTACCATTGAACTATTGAATCGCAACAATACCACGTGCGCTAGCTCTCCGAAGTCGATAAACTCGATCGGACGGAATGCGACTTTGCGCTTTCGGGTCCGGATCCACGGACATGGATCCCGGGCAAGCCGGCATCCCGTTTCCCGAGGCCGGGGCAAGCGGGGACGCGCCGGCATCGTGACTCCAGGACCCGTTTTGAATCTGGGGAGCATCCCGCTGTCCGGGTCCATCCATGCCAATACCCATTACCCACCTACGGTGAGTGGACACTGCTCACCAACAGTCATGATGCTACGTGGTTACCTAATGACGGTCTTGTACCACGATTCTGTAGATTCAGGCACAGATAAAAGTGCTGTTTCTCTTCACCTCCAGCTCAGCTCTGCCCCCACCGACTGAAGAGAGGTTCAGGAGAGACCATTACGGGAAGATGGACGACTGATCATGTTTCACATGGACTGGAACCCGTGGATTACCTCCCCCATACGTACAGCTGTTCAGGTCCTGTATCGGAACCGACTGCCAGCTGCCCGCCGGCGCTTGGCCAATCACAAGATGGAATTTGGGACAATCAGCGGGCCTGCGTCACAGGGACAACCGCTAACAACGAACCCCCATCCTCCGATCCTTGGAACTACCTTAATTGTCCTACAACGAGTACAACACGGGCTGATAGTGTCAGATAAGGCGCCTGTTGGAAGTCCCTAGTGATGACAACACACATCTCCCTCCCTCCTCCCAACTTGACTTGATCGTATTTTCCCCATCCTATTTCTGAATTGCCATTCAAGACTTGCTGCCGATTCTCCCATCGTCGTAGTAGTTTCAGCCTGTTCCAGGTCCGGTTTCCGACACCCTTTGCGACCAGGGCGCCCTCTATCGCAAAGACGCCGCGGGGATGCTTCAGACCGTTTGATCGTGATACTTGGCTGTCCAGGAGTCTCTTCACCTTGGGGTTATCCCAACCATGACAAATACAACAAAAACAATGCTCGACCAGCAGCTTTACCGCGCCCGCCTGGTGTCGAGCATAGCAGCAACGGCTATATCGTTAGCATGTGGAACAAATGTGGGCGATTCCCCTGACCTGTCGTGCAACACAAAGCTACCACTACCGCATGGGACTACTGCTAACAATGCGCACTCTCGATAGTATGTCTACTCAGCATGGGCTCCTCAGTTCGCCGATAAGCTACACCTCACCACGACGCAGAGCAACCTGATCGGACTGGCCGGGAATTTGGGCATGTACTTAATGGGCGTGCCAGTTGGAATGTATATCGACCGCCGAGGAACCCGCCCACCAGTCATTGGCGGTGCCTTATTGCTGGGCTTGGGATACTTCCCCTTCAAAGCCGCCTACGAAAGCGGCACTGGCTCCGTTCCCCTGCTTTGCATCTTCAGCTTCTTGACTGGATTTGGATCATGCATGGCCTTTGCTGCCTCAGTCAAGACGTCGGCCTTGAACTGGCCTCATCACCGCGGAACAGCCACGGCCTTCCCGCTGGCCGCCTTTGGTCTTAGCGCATTCCTCTTCTCTGTCTCCGGGAGCGTCTTCTTTCCCGGAAACACTGGCGCCTTCCTCATGCTCCTTTCGATTGGCACTTTCGTCCTTACTTTTGTTGGATTTTTCTTCCTCAAGGTTTACCCGCATACTTCGTACCGCCCGGTCCAATCCAGGCCAGGGCTCTCGAGCTCCCAGAAACTGCGCCGGACGCTATCTGAGGAGTCTAAAGCCCACGCCGGTCGCAGTTACGTCGATGAAGAACCTGGTATGTCGCCCACTGTTTACACCACTCCCAGTGGCACTACAGCACCGGCCCTCAGCGGGGGCACCGACGAGCTCGCGGAGCCCTCATCTTCTCGAGACGTCAGCCCTCCTCGCCGATCCAATGACATCGAAGCGGCCTCTGCGGAAGCACAGGAAGACATCGCCGACGAGACATCGTCCCTTGTGTCCAGATCGTCCTCACTACCGGGCGATGTTTATGTCGAGAGCAGTGTTGATATGGATCGTTCGCACCGTGTAGATATTCGTGGCTGGGCCTTGCTGAAGAGTCTCGATTTTTGGCAACTGTTCTGCATTATGGCCATCTTGGCTGGAATTGGTTTGATGACCATCAAGTACGTCTTGAATCGATGCTATAACTCCCTAGATCTATGTTTAGACCAGTTCGCTAACTTCCAACAGCAACATCGGCCATGATGTTAACGCTCTGTGGAGATATTATGACAAGACAGTTGATGACACATTCCTCGTTCATCGGCAACAGATGCACGTTTCCATCCTGTCTGTTGGTAGCTTTGTTGGTCGACTGCTCAGCGGTAAGAAAAGTTCAATCCCATGCCAAGAATTCGAACTAACTTTTTTGTTTCAAGGTGTCGGATCAGATTTCCTCGTCAAGGTATTGAAGGCCAGCCGTGTCTGGTGCCTTGCGGTAGCAAGTTTGATCTTTTTCATTGCTCAGCTGTGTGCGCTCAATATCCTCAACCCACACCTACTCGGTTTCGTCTCCGGTCTTTCTGGTCTTGGCTACGGCTTCCTCTTCGGCGTCTTCCCATCCATTGTGGCCGAATCGTTCGGTATTCATGGCCTTAGCCAGAACTGGGGTTTCATGACTCTGAGCCCTGTCGTTTCAGGCAATGTCTTCAATCTGTTTTATGGCAAGGTCTTTGACAAGCACAGCATTGTCAACGGCGAGGGAGAACGCACTTGCCCGGATGGTATCGATTGCTACAAAGACGCATATTACATGACGCTTGGTGCCTGCACTATCGGGCTTTGCGTCTCATTGTGGACTATCAGGAGGCAACACAATCAGAGACTGAAAGAGGCAAACAGGACAGCCGAGGACTAGGCGTCCTGGTTGTTGGTTCGTTGGCTTTCTTGTCGCCGAGGACAGATTTCACTTCGTTCTAGTAATGAAGAGGAGTAACGGGATGGAATACCAGTAACAATCGTAATGATAAACGGCTGGGGGATAGTTTTCATGACAACTTTGATACATACAGCGGGCTTGTACATATCTGGCGTTAGAAGGGTATATGGGCAGAAGAAAGACCCTGGGTATTGCGGCGGCATGTCTGAAGATTTGGGGGGCGCTATTCTAGATCACCATTTTGCAATTCTATAAGCATCACGAAGCTGAACAACTGACGAGATACCCTTTCTGTTGCCATGTCCTACCACGCAGATCCAGTTGGAGAGAGGAAAGGGAGATGAGAGGGTGAATCCAGCTATAACCCTAACCCTAGAAGGACAGAAGACAACACCGCGAATTTGTTTTCCGACCCTCCACCTTCCCGACAATCAATTTGTTTACTTTTGCAGCGCAGCAACAGTCTTCAATCCCGTCGCTTCGTCATCCTATCGCACCCCAGCTGACGCCTGTCGCAAAGCCAAACAGGCGTCCTTCCGACCCCGCTGAGCTTGCAATTGCCGCCAATTATTCGCCCAATTTCAAGCAGCAGCTACCGACCTGCGCGTCGCTAGTCGCATTCCATTCGACCCCATTGCGCGCCAATCATCGCCAGCGCGATACGACCGCCTCCGCCAGACGACGCCGGTCGGAAACCCACATACAGATAACCCTTCCTGCACATTTCGCATCACCTCGCAGTCCGATGTCAAGGGCGCAACGCGGCACTCATTTGCTGGGACTGGTGGATTCGGATTCAGAGGACGGACTCAGCGGACCTGCATCTACTCGCTTCGGCAGCAGCAAAGCCGCAACGAAAACAAAACCGACATCAACAATAACAAAGCCGAAATCGATCCTCAAGCAGCCGACCACAACAGCCGTCAAGAAGGAACCAATAACTAAACCCACCGCTGCGTCAACGACGAAACAGGCGACAGCCAAAACAACAACAAGAGCCACCACAAAACCACAATCTGCCTCCGGCGCAGGCGCAAGCGCAATGGCCCCCGCCAAACGAAAAACCGCTTCCACTCCCTCCGTGGCGAACAAGCGAACCGCCGCCGCGACCGCTTCCGCAAACAAAGTCACCAAAGCCTCTGCGCAAAAGGTCAAACCCCTTACGGCTCGGCAAAAAGCCGCCCTGGCCCGCGCCGCGCTAGCAGAGAGTTCCGGCAACGTCACCGCGACTCCCTCTACCGTTGGAAAAGCGACTCGCACAAGTGGAAGGGGGAAGCGCGCCGCCGCCGCCGCTACCATTGTAGAAGAGGAAGAGATGGAGTCTACCGAGCACACCGAGACGATTGTGGAGGAGGAGCATGGGGAAGAGGATACGACCATGCATGATGTTACTGCTACCGAGGAAGTGGAGGAGGCACCGAAGGAAACGACGACAAGGGCGACGAGGGGGAGGCCGAGGAAGGCTGCAGCGGTTGCTGTTGCGGAGACGCCGGTGTCGGTGACGGCCACGGCGACAAGGGGTGGAAGGGGGAGGAAGAAGAAGGTGGAGGAGATGGTGGTGGTGGAGGAAGATGAGACGACGCAGCAGGAAGAGGTGACGGAGGAGATACATGAGGAGACTCAGTTGGAGGAGGAGGAATCGTTGCCGATTCCGGGGGCGTGGCATAACGGGCCCCCAGCGAGCACATCTAGGAAGTCGTCTTCGTTGGGGCTGGGGTTTAAGGCACATATGGCTGGGGCAAGGACTGACGACCCAGAGCTACGGCGGAAGTTGGGCGAGATGACGCAGAAGTATGAGGCGTTAGAGTTGAAGTATAGGGATCTGAGAGAGGTTGCGGTAAAGGAGGCGGAGAGGAACTTTGATCGGTTGAGGAAGCAATCCGAGGAGAGGACGGCTGGTATGTTTATGTCTTTGTTTTTTTCTTGGGACCTACTGGGTGATAACCGCTAACAAATCTCTCCACAGCCTCCGACCAGCTAATCGCCGCCCTCAAAGCCGAGCTCAGCTCCCAAAAGGAAGCCGCCAGAGAGACCACCCGCCTCCAGAAACAGCTTGAAGCATCCGAATCCCAACTGTCAACCCTCAACGCCAAGGTTGCCGAGCTCATCAGCTCCCTTACAAAATCCAAGACGGAGATCAACGCTCTCAACATCAAGCTCACCGCCTCGCGTCAAGCCGAAGCCGCGGCGGCCGCCAAGATTGGCCAACCCCAAGTCCCGGGCAGCGCCATGAAGAACAAGCAGAACGGCAACCGCATGCTCACAATGGGCAACTCGGAAGCCATCGCCCAAGCGACGCAGCAGCACCAGTTGAAGGAGGATCTCTACTCGGATCTGACCGGGTTGATCGTCAGAGGAGTCAAGAGGGATCAGCAGACGGGCGAGGATGTGTACGATTGTATACAGACGGGGAAGAATGGAAGTAAGTCGTCGCAGCCCCCTTTCCCCCCTTTTTATTGTTCTCGAGACAGGTTCACTAACACTACCTGTAACCAGCACTCCACTTCAAACTCGCACACATCAGCGCCAACTCCCCCCACGTGGACGCGGATGAGACGACCCAGTACTTTGACGAAGACCAGTTCCACTACATGCCGCAGCTCGATGCGAGCAGGGATCGTGCGCTTATCGATTTGTTGCCGGATTACCTGGTTGAGGAGATTACTTTCCCCAGGCAGCATGCGGCAAAGTTTTATTCGAGGGTCAACAAGGCTTTGACGGAGACGGTACCGCAGGCGCAGTAGGTGCCGTAGGGACGGAAGGGACTGAAGGGACTGTGTAGGGGTTATGACGGAAAGGAAGGAGGGAGGATTGGTGATTGTAAGGAAGGCGAGAAAGGTGTTGTTAATATAGGTTTGCATGTCTGGATACCCCCTTTTTACTTTCTTCTCTTGCTCGGGCTTCTTTCTTTCTTGCCGGGCATTGTTGGGTTGGGTAGCTCTGGTTCATCTGACTCTGGATCGGGGACTTTTCGGAGCGTCCTTCTTGTTGGTGGAGACGAGTAGTCTTGGGTCATGGTGGTTATTTGTCATTTTTCTGTGCTCAACAGGCCCATGATATCTTCTCAGTTGCTGTAGGATTACATTGTATCATCATGTCAGCCTCCTACATATATTGCTCAGCCTTCTCCAAAGTCGTCTTCAATGTGCTTCACTCGATGGCCTGTACCTCGAGGCTGAACTTTCTCCTCAGTCCAGACGCACGGAAGGTATGATGATGGTTTTACGCTCTGACAGTCTTCCTCTTGCTGAAGAGGCCCTGTGATGTCCTCGAGCCCCTGGACCCTTGTTCCGGAAACTGTGAAGAGGAAAGTCGTCACTGCCGTCCTGATTGACGAACCACAATGGACAGACGATTCCACGACTCCCACTTCCCCAGATTAGATTTTCCAAAGCTCTTAACAGACTCCAAGTTCTAGATGGCTCATGCTCACCACAAGTCATCCACCTTACCCCGTTCACCCCCGCTCTTGCCCGCACTTGCCCATATGCAACCCATGATCCCTTCCACTATCACCAGTCTCTCCTCCACAAACCGCACATACGTCACCTCGCCACTACCCCAAGCTTCCTCTTACTGCTCTCTCCCTTCCAGTTATCGTTTCCCATCCGAAGTCCAATCACCCGTACCCAGCCTCCCACCAAGTAGCTATATAACTCCCCATCCCCCAACCACTCACCTCTCGATCCGGATCTTCTCTCCGCCCCGTCACCGATCACCGCCGAACACTGCACACTCAACCCAAAGCGCAACAAACACCAACCGAGTTCAACCCAAACCAAACACCACCAAGCCAAACCTTCCACTTCCGTTGGTTGCACCCAAAACACCACCCACCACCCACAATGTCCGACACAAAGGCCAACCCCAAGACCCAGGCCGACACGAGCTCCGGCTCAGGCACCAACAAGGGCCCGTCCACTGGCGCTGCTTCGGAGGATACCGGCAACAAGAAGCCTATTCTCCAGGCCACCCAGACCTGCGATTGCAACCACACTGGTAGTTGCACTTGTGCGCCGGGGTCGTGTGCTTGCTTCAACTGCCCTGTAAGTTTCCTTTTTTTTTTTTTTTTTTTGCTCGTCTCTCTCGGCGTCTTTGCGTGTTTTCGCGTGTTTGAGTCCTGAGTTGAGGTCTTGCGTTGTTGTCTTGGTGTCTAACCCCCTTGGTGTTTTGAAAACAGAATCCTTCTTCTTCCTCTAAGGAGTCCAAGGCTGCGCCTGATGAGGAGTGGACTGTTCTCTAAGGAGTGTGCCAACAGTGTTGGTTTAGATGAGAAGGATGAGTGGTAGTGTCTGGTCTGTCCTCAGTCCCTTCACATCACTGTGTTCTGTTTTACACACAATTCGGGTTCTTACTAGATGAATTTCCTGCATACAGGGCCATTGCTAACCTTTTATTTTGTATCCAGGCCGCAACCAAGGGTGGCGAAAAGCATCACAAGCATAAAAAGCTTGAAATGAAGCATGGCACCTCAGCTTGACAATACCCCTCTGATGGGACTCTGAGCTGCTTAAACTTCTGAGCTTCTTGCACGACAAACACAAGTCAGGCGATGGTTGCCTCCTCAACGTTGTTTTTGTTTTTGGTTTCCGTTTTGCGTCCATCAACTGTGTCGGGTTCTCAAAGACACAAAGGAAGGGAAACTGGGTGAAAAACTGTAATGTGACAGTCATGCGTAACATATGATCGGTGGAAAACAGCGAAGTTGTTCTTCGCGGGACGGGAGCATTGGATGGGTTGATGGATGATTTTGTTCATGATTGTATGCCTTCTGATCTTTTGCTCTTCGGTGAGGAAAAGATCACCTTCACTCGTTGATCTTCAAGCAGTGAGCTTCATTTTCACTTCTCCCTTGGATTCTGAAGCTATTCGCGATCTGATCGTTCGTCCCTCTCTCCGTCTATCCCTCAAACCTCAGCCATTCCATCCATTATCAGCGTCAACCACCTCGTCCACTTGAGTCATGAAATCCATCAGCACAGCCCTGATCAGCCATCTGCAGCAAGTTTTTGTCGTAGTATATGGTTGGTTTTGTGTTGTGTTGTTGAATTTTGGCCCATTTCAAATTGGTGACAAGGACGAGAGCGGCACCGTAGTTGACCTGGTAATCTTCCGACTTCTATCGAATATCAATTTTATCGCTTATAACTAATACTCTCAGTACCAGATTGGCCATCTATTCAGTGATCTTTTCTATGTCAGACTTGTCGGCCACTTTGTCAAGGTTGATCGGTGGTGAAGTGTTTATCTCTTTCATCGCGGCCTTGATCTTTTTAGTAATCCCATCAGAATCGCTAAAAAGATCAAGGTTGCAATGAAGGAAATAAAAACTTCACCCCCGATCAACCTCGACAAGGTTGCCAACATATCTAATATAGAGAAGATTATTGAACAAATAGCCAATCTAGTATTAAAAGTATCAACTATAAGCGACAAAACTGATACTCAACAGAAGTCGGAAGATTACCAGGTCAACTACGGTGCCGCTGATAATCTTTCTACTGATACCAGTAGCTCCCACACCAACACCACTGGTCAGACCCGAGGTGGAGGATTCGGAAGAGATTTTTTTGCTTTCGGTTTCTGGCTTTGAGCACACGAGTACCTCTATTACTCCTACCCTGAGCAAAGAAATGGCGTGGGTCGGCGGGTAATGTAGGTTAGTTTAGAGTAGGGAAAATGGGGATACCCAATGGGGTTAACGGACTCGGGGTTTACCCCTATTGCTTTCAAAACATTGTTGTGTTTGGTTTCCTCAGCAACGATAGCATGGTGATACGATGAACTATCATCTGGACGTGACATCCGTAGGCGTACAAACTGATAAGGAGCTCAGACACGGACAAGGTTAGGTATGACTTCCTGTCTCTGGGTTTCACCGGCGTGTGATATATGTGATTGTTCATAGGATGGGACAGAGGTTGCGCATGAAAAATCGTGGTATCCATTCATTCAAGAAAATAATGATATATACAGGCTCGCAAAGCAGTTACAACTTTACGGAAGAATTTTGATGCTTGTTGCACCCACACACAAACCTCCTTGTGTGATAGAAAACCCCCCTTTGCCCCCCGGAGGCAAGAGTGCGTGCGTGCAGCCCATGAAAAACAGAAAGCAAAATAGGTGGGTTCACTTCGCCCAAATCAGTCAAATATTGGGAATAGATCCCTCGCCAAACTTTGTTGGATTACCAACAATACAGACCCTTTTTCTTGACCCGGTAATGCAGTTGTGAAAAAAGACATATCAGCTTTAAAACGCCGAAAGGAATTCCCATTTTGACACCCCCAAGTTATCCATCCTCCTTCCCTCGCCTTTTAGATTAGATCCAAGCGCTAAACGCTAAGACGTTTAAAGACCGTGGACACCACCGGTACGCTTAACCATCAGCTCACGACGCTTCCTGTCGCGCTCCTGGTCGAAGGTGATGAACTCATCCAGACCGGCGCCGGCAGGGACCATGGGGAGAACGGGAACCTTCTTGTCGGTGACGACCTCGAGAAGGGCGGGGCCCTCAGAGTTGATGAGCCACTTGAGACCCTCGACGACCTCATCGGGCTTGATGATGCGCTTAGCTTGGACGCCCATGGCATCGGCGAGCTTGATGAAGTCGGGGTTCTTCTGGTGGGTGTGCGAGTAGCGGTCGTCGTAGAAGAGGTTCTGCCACTGCGTGACCATGCCCTGCTCCTCGTTGTTGAGGACGATGACCTTGACGCCAATGTTGAACTGAGCCGCAGTGGAGAGCTCGGTGAGGGTCATGCCGAAGGAGGCATCGCCGTCAATGTCAATGACGAGAGCATCAGGCTTGGCGACCTTGGCGCCGATGGCGGCGGGGAGACCATAGCCCATGGTACCGAGACCACCGGAGGTGATCATGGTACGGGGGTGGCGCCAGCGGAAGTGCTGAGCGGTCCACATCTGATGCTGGCCGACACCGGTGGCGATGTAGGTGTTGTCCTTGCGGCCCTCGACGAGCTTGCTGAGCTCCTCGATGAGGGTCTGAGGCTTGATCAAACCGGTGCGCTCGGCGCGCTCGTAGTCGGAAAGGGGCCACTTGGTCTTCCACTCGTTGATCTTGCCGAACCACTCCTTGCGATCGGCCATGGTCTTGGCCTCAACCTGGGGAATGAGGAGCTCGATGTTGGTGGCAACATCACCCTCGACAGCCTCGGTAGCCTGGACGACCTTGTTGATGTTCTTGGGAAGAATCTCGAAGTGGACGATACCACCACGACCCTCGGCGGCGGCAGCCTTGGCAGCGGGAGCAAACTTGTTGAGGTTAAGGGTGACACGGTCGTCGAAACGGCCACCAAGGCAGATGATCAAATCGGCCTGCTGGATGGCCATGTTGGCGTAAGCGGCACCGTGCATACCGAGCATGTGGAGAGACTTCTCGTCGAGCTCATCGAAAGCACCGAGACCGTGGAGGGTGGTGGTAACGGGGATAGAGGCCTTCTCAGAGAGAGCGCGGAGGAGCTCAGGACCGCCCTTGGACTGGACAACACCGTGGCCGGCATAGATGACGGGCTTCTTGGCGATGTTGATGAGCTTGGCGACACGGTGGATCGAGGCATCGAGCTGCTTGCGGCTCAGCTCAATGGCAGCGCGAGAGGCGGCGCTGGGAATGGTGGGGATGGCGGTGTCGGTGGGGATGGCGCGGCGAAGGATACCAGCGGTGATATCCTTGGGAAGATCGACGAGGACGGGGCCAGGTCTGCCGCTAGTGGCGATCTCGAAGGCCTCGTTAATGCGGCGAGGAAGCTCGGCGACACTCTTCACCATGACGTTCCACTTGGTGCAAGACCTAGAGATACCAATGACGTCGGCCTCCTGAAAAGCGTCGCTGCCAATGGCAGTGGTGGGAACCTGGCCGGAGAAGACGACCATTGGAGTACCGTCGGCAAGGGCATCGGCCATCGGGGTGACGACGTTGGTCGCACCGGGACCGGAGGTGACGAGGACGACACCGGGCTTGCCAGAAGCACGGGCGTAACCCTCAGCCATGTGACCAGCACCTTGTTCGTGGCGGGGGAGGACGAAGTCGAAGTGGGGAGAGTTGTAGATGGCATCGAAGACGGGGAGAATGGCACCGCCAGGATAGCCGAAAATGTGCTTTACGCCGTGTCTGAGCATCATCTCGTGGAAGATTTCACCACCAGTCTTGCCGATGAACCTGCATGACAGATATTTTGTTAGTCCGGCCAAATTGTAGGCGTATTAGCTGTAATGAGGCATCAAACGTACGACTCGTCCATGTCGGTCTTACGACCGACGAGAGGCTGAACATTGCTGGGTGTAGGCTCAGGCTGGAAATTTTGGCTGGGAGTAGGTCTGCTGGCCTCGCTGTGGTGGTTGTGTATGTTAGCATTGTTGTGTATTTCGGGTTCGTCGTGAGTCACCGATATAGGGGGGCGGCGACCGGGGCAAGGGATGTTTTGGAGAAAGACATACGCGGCGGCAGTAGACTGATTCCTCGTTTGCACGGAGCGGCTTGTGAGAAGAACAGCGGCCCTCTGGGAGGCAGAGAGGGTGGTACGCTGGGAGATCTGTTGCGCCTCAGTCAACGCCTTCAAGGCGCGAGCGGCCTGACGTGATCGGAGCATCGCGGCCTTGGAGGATATATGGTATATTGGGAGCGGTTGGGAGGATAAATGCTGCTACACGTCGGCGGCAGGGGGGGAACCACAACTTGAAGCTACCTATGTAACAGTGGCTTTGTTAGAGAAATATCGTCGGCTGAGGACGCAGCAGCAAATAGGTATTAGGGAGGATTGTAGGTGATTCCTGTAATACTAGGAAAACACCAAAGGGTCGATGATGGATGATGGGTTTGGCGAGCTAATAAAGGGGAGAACACAAGAAGCCACGAATAATCAATGCAGTGTGGTCAGTGTAGCGACTACCAGACCGAGGGGAGACCGACCGGGAACCGGGAGCAATGTGAGTCGAGAGCCGGTCAAAAATTTAATTCTGGCCGGCACGATAGTCATAGTGTGGGGTACTCTGGTCGCGACAGTCAGTGCCGTTGTGGGGTTCACTTGGTGGGTTTCAGCCAATGACAGGCCCCTGGCTGGCTTACTTGGCAATGTGTAGTGGCGATTTCGGAAGCAACCACTGCGGTTGTGATTGGTCTTGGGTTCCTGCCGATTCCTTTGAACTTTTTGACATTTCTCATCTTTCCACCAGAAGGCAATGGGAATTCGGTGTGGCGGTTGTGAATAGGACTTGTTGACTCTCAGATCCTCACCCCGACTCGTCATCCTTGTTTAGCTTCATCTTTTGGACTTTAAACTCGGTATAACATTACTAAACCCATGCCGGTCGGTACGACCTCATGCATCAGGCACAAATATCAAGACCAATCACAGACGGCACCAAGAAAATCACAGGCACTTGATGCGGTCCGATGTGTCTTTTTGCAGATTCGGGAATTCATCATGAATTCGGAGAAAAGGCCACCATGTTTCGTTGAAGCACGGTTAAGTGGCAAGTTACAGCAATCATGCTTTCCATGATCATGACTAGCACTACTTTACTTCACCATCAACCGCCTCTTCAGAATTTCATGACTCGAAAATGGTGAATATTTAGTCCGACATGCATTCCACATGTTTGTTTGTTAGCAGCCACGCTTCACCGTCCACGTATTGGGCCAACGCTACTACTGGTCCCGTCTCCCTGCATTGCTAGTGTCACACATGGCAGCCGCAAATCCTCAGAGCGACGAAACATGTGCGGGGCGGACACCGAACCTTCCGAATTTCCTCTCATGATTCTCTTGCACCGTTTCTGAATAGCTTCATTCTCATCATCGAAAAATCAACAACAACCAAAGTCAACAAATGGAAGGTTCGTTTGAATACTCCGACGTCGCTACCATCACCATGTCACCAACCGTCAAGGTCCTCTTCAAGACTGAGCTATGGCCCGAATTGACCAATCACGTCTCCAACATCGAGCTGCGACAGTCGGATTGCTACGTCCGATATCGCTCATACCACTCCCCGCAAATCCACTTGCGTTGCCGTCCACCCTTTTCCCTGGCCCGCGCCCACCCAATCCACGCCAAACCCACCGAGTCCACCGATCCACGGCTCCAGAATTGTTCTGCTTCGTGAGAGCCTCCATCCATGTCCACATCAACCACCGAACATCAAGCGAACATGCACCGAAGACCGTTTTCTGCTCTTGGCCGTCTGCAGGAACATCATGACACCTCGTAGCGTTGACGGCGTCACTCACTCCCGTCTTGACAGTTGACACCGGCGATAAGAGAGACAACAAACACCATGGGGCATTGGCGGTGATAGTCGAGATCTGCTATCTCCGTCCGTTTCATGCCAGGATGGTCTTTTCGGGTGTGTCTGTTCCACTCGACATGCGGTGGCTGGGTGGGTAGGGGGAAGCGATCCGTCCGCTCGGGTTGCTGACACTTAACATTTTTAGGTGGTGAGTCAACTTCTTCCGATCAAGCGTGATTCGACGCCTGTCCTCTTCGGTCCTGGGTGTCGATTTGTCCTGTAAGGGGAAGGTCCATTGCCCTTGTCGTGATACAAAGTTTGGAATATCATATGTCACTCAGCAAGTCTAGTATCATCCAAAGATTTAAGAACTTTCTCCAACTCATGAGAAGTTAACACGGAGATCAGAGGACACTCGGCTGTATCACTAACCATTCGATTAAGATCTTGGAAAAAAACTAGACTAACATGATGTCCGATGTGTACATATTCGGGAATCCATCATGAATTTGTACATAGAAAGGCCACCTTAACCCCCCCGATCTTGACACGAGAGTGAAGACTCGAACATCCACCCTTTACCCCTTCCCTTCCCCCTACCCTCTCGTTAGCCGCCCGTAATGCTCATTCTATCTTTATCCTTTTAGAAGCCTTCCTCTCACGAACCTTCCGGTTGCGTTCCTCCCGCTCTTCAGCAGTTTCATTAGCCCTCTTGTTAGCCATGCTCTCACGAACCTTCCGGTTGCGTTCCTCCCGCTCTTCAGCAGTTTCATTAGCCCTCTTGTTAGCCATACTCTCACAAACCTTCCGGAGACGTTCCTCCCTCTCTTCAGCTGTTTCAGCAGCCATCTTCTCCTTGTTGTAGCTCTTGCCGTATTCCCGGCTTCTTTGGCGTTTGGCCTCTTCTACCTCCTCTTGAGATAGGCCCGCGGTCAACCATTTGGAAACACGTACCCCTTCCCTCCATGCCTCGTGAGTGCATAAACCCTTATATAGCACCGACGAACCGTTCCATTTGTTGTTCGTTAATGTGGCATGAGATGGTACTCTATCCGCATATGCGTGGAGTTCGTACACTAATGCAGTTTCGAGAACCAAGAACAATGCACGAGCAGATAGCATTGAAAGATTTGTTGAAGGGCATGGTGCTGTGATCAAAATCTTCTTGTGTGTGATTTGATAGCCGTTTTGATATGCGAGTGTCGTTAGTGAGGAAAACTTCTCACCATTATCGTAATCTTCGAATCTTCCGTGTGTGCCTGTGGTTTTTGAGGTTCCGGAGCCAATATAGATTAATGGCAGATCCTCATCCTCGCCATCATCATCATCATCAACCTGATGCTTCTCCTCATCCTCGCCATCATCATCATCAACCTGATCCTCATCCTCGCCATCATCATCATTAGCCTGATGCTTCTCCTCGCCATCATCATCATCAACCTGATTCTTCTCCTTCTTAAGGATCAGAAGGTAGACAGAAAATGCGGGTTCATCTTCGTAGGCGAATTCCGGTAATGACTTTAAAGTCGCTATGGTAGGAGGGGTTGGAGACTGAAGGATTGGTTCGAGGCTTTTATCGAAGTTCCAATCTAGCTGGAAGTACGTTTCCCAGAGTGCTTGTGTGGTAGGGAGGTATTGCTTAATCTGCAATGGACGCTTGCGGGCATATTCATAATATGCCTTGTAGGCTTTGCTGATAAACTGTGCTCCGAATGTTGGGTTTTGTGGTGCAATGTCGTCTTCGTCCTTGATCTCTTCGTCTTCACTCTCTTCGTCCTCGCTTTCCTCGTCCTTGATCTCTTCGTCTTCACTCTCTTCGTCCTCGCTTTCCTCGTCCTCGCTCTCCTCATCCTCGCTCTCCTCGTCCTCGCTTTCCTCGTCCTCGCTCTCCTCGTCCTCGCTCTCTCCATCTTCGCTCTCCTCATCTTTTCTGAATTCATCGTCGCTGTCTTCGTAGGATGGTGTGATGGTTGCTGCTGCTGCTGCTGCTGCAATAGCAGCCTTTCCTCTGGTAGTCACCATCGCGTCGGTTGATGGATTGGTAGGGACCCCCGGACAACTATTGAGAGAAGAGGAACACGGTTGATAGATTGGTAGGGACCCCCGGACAACTATTGAGAGAAGAGGAACACGGTTGATAAATTGGTAGGGACCCCCGGACAACTATTGAGAGAAGAGGAACAAAATCAGAGAGAACATCCAGTAGCAGTAGCAGAGTTTTCCATCCTTCCTAAGGAAGGAACATTGGTGTTCATTCCTTCCCAAGGGAGGCAGTAGCAGCAGAGATTCCACGACCAACACATCCCATTATCCAGCACATATTTAGCCACCAAGACCCAAAAGACCACCGTTCTTCTTCTTGCCGGCTCCTGTCAAACTCTTGGTAACGGAACCAAGACCGAGACCCTCAAGGACGCGGTTGAGACCAAGTGTTCCCAAGAGGCCATCAACGAGACCACCAAGACCAAGGCCGCCCAGCTGCAAACCTCTGTTAGCACCATTCGCCAGAGCAAGGAAATGACGGGTAGAGATATGAAGACCTACCAATCTACCAACGAGGTTGAGAACACCACTCAGGAGCAAGCCAACAGCAGCCAGGATCTGGAAGAGTGGCTCGTTGAGAAGACCCCAGAGAGGGTTGAGCTCCTTCTTCGCATGAGGCATGTCTTCGAGCTTCTTCTTGGCGTTTTCGATGCACTGAGTAACGTCACCAGTGAGGTCCTTGAGGACTTCGGCCAAGTGGTACTCCTCGGGCGAGGCCTCGCGCGAGGCAGTCTTGTGCTTAGCGTTGGCTGCGATGCGGCCATCAGGGTCGAGACCCTTGATGATGCCCTTGGCCTCGGTGAGGATGCGACCACCCTCCTCGATCAAGGGCTTAACCTCCCTGACGAGCGCCTCTTCGTCACGCTCATCCTCGGGAGTGCGTTCGGCCTTGTCGATTTTCTGTTGTTGAAGAGTAGTTAGTCAGTGACTGCTAGGTAAGTGGTTAGAAAGCAAATGGAACAAACTCACCTCGGTGATCATCTTGCAGAGAGGACGAATCTTGTCGAGACACTGCTCGATGCAGACACTCATCTGGAGGGCCAGCTTCTTGTCCTTCTCGGCAGTCTCCCTCTTCTCCTTTTCCTCGGGCGACTCCTCGGCTCTGATGTCCTCGAGGAGGGTGCAGTGGCCGATGACAGTGCCCTTGTAGTCGACAACGTCTCCGTCGTCGTCAATCTCCTTACCAGAGCAAGCTTGCGGGTCGCCAGAGGTCAACTTGCCGATGATGTTGCCGTCTTCGTCGACAACGTTGCCCTCGCGGTTGACCTTGCGACCAGACATGGGGTTCTTCTTCCTCTCAACCTCCTCGGGCGTCCAGCGCTCAGCATGGCCGAGGACGTTGCCGTTCTTGTCGAGGACATCACCATCGTCATCGACAGGACGACCAAAGAGCACCTTAGGGTCGCCATTGACGAGACGGCCGACGATATCACCACCAGGAGTGACGATGGTTCCATCCTTGGCAACGGTGCAGCCCTCAAGCTCAGAGAAGGGACCCTCCTTCATGCCCTCGCGCTCGCCTTCGGGGACAAGCTCGGCCTTGCCGAGAATATCACCACTCTCACTGAGGATGTTGCCGTTCTTATCGCACATGCGACCAACCATCCTCTTCACATTACCCTCCACCACACGACCATAAATGACTCCCGAGCCATCAACCACGTTGCCCGCCTTGTTGACCCTCTTCCCAGCCAAAATGCTCTTATCCACCTCGGGCTCGGGCTCAGGCTCCTCCTCGGGCTCCGGCTCCCAGCGCTCCGCGCGTCCAATTACATTACCGGCCTTATCCATAATATCGCCATCCGCATCGACGCTCTTGCCTCTCAACATCTTCAAATCGCCCTCGATAACTTTACCAACCCACTCCCCATTGCTGACCACCATCCCGTTTCCATCCACCACGGCATCGGGGAAGCTCTCAAAGGGCGCCGGCTCCTTCAGCATGTCCTCCCGCTCGCTATCGGAAATTGGTTCGGCCTTGCCAATCACTTTCCCGTTGTCGGACCAGATATCTCCGTTCTCGTCGACCCTCTTGCCGACGAGGTACTTCAGGATACCTGACACGACGCGCCCAAGGATCTTGCCATCGGAATCGATGACGTTGCCGCCCTTGTTGACTTTGCCGTTCTTGAGCACCGAGAAGTCGAGCTCCTCAGCGACGGTGACGGACTCGCCCGTGGGGGCACCCTCACCGGTTTGGACGGTTTCGCCGGTTTGGGTTGGCGCGGTGGCGGTGCGGGTGCCGTAGTCGTAGGTGGTGGTTCCCGTGCCGGTGTACTGGTCCGTGCCGGAGATTTCGTCCGATGGATGGGACGGCTGGGTTGGCGCGGTGGCGGTGCGGGAGCCGTAGTCGTAGGTGGTGGTTCCCGTTCCGGTGCCAGTTTGCGTGGCCGTCTGCTCGGTTCCGGTCGCGGAGCCGGAGTCCTCGCCCGTGTACGTGGTCGGCGCCTCTTGGGACTTGTTTTGCGACTCGTCGAAGGTAACGGAGCGAGCGTATTGCTGCTCGCCGGAAACTCCGCCGCTGGGGTGGGAAGTTCCGGTCTGCGAAGTGCCGGTCTGCTGCGCTTGAGAGTCGGGAGCGGTAGCGGTGTACTCGCTGGGAGCAGTCTTGGTCTCGGTGGCGGTACCCTCCTCCCCCTCTTCTTGGACGGTGTACTGATGAGAACCGGAAATCTCATCGCTGGGGTGCGAAGCCTTTTCCTGCAACTGTGACTGCGCCTCGGAAGTGCCAGTCTTGCCCGACTTCTTGGTTGCGCCAGTCATGGTGCTTCCGGCCGTCAGACCGTCCTTGGCCGACTGGAGGAAGGACTCGCGCGCTTCTTCCGTGGGCTGGTCCTCCGAGGCCTTGTCAAGTGCCTCCTTGGCTTGCTCGGTGAGCAACGAAGTCTTGCCGCTGGTTTCAGACTCGTTGACAGTAGAGCGCTCCTCAGCCTTGCCCTCCCCAGTCTCAGTAGGGGGGATGGCGGAAGCAACCTCATCTTGGCCCTCAGCAGTCTGAGTCTGAGCTTTCGACTCCGTCTCCTCAGTCTCATCATCACCGACATCAAAATCCGCCGGCTCCCTTGACTGAGCCTCCAGCTCCGTATTCGCATCATCACCTTCCCTTTCCACCTTCTCAAAATCATCACTGGAAGGCTTCTCATCTCCCTCCTTGTCCTTCATCTGGATCTCCCCCGACTCCTCTTCAATCCCCTCGAGGTGCTGGTCATCGCCCCGCTTTTCATGGGTATATTCACCACCCTCAGCGGACGATTCGGCCTCATGGGAGTAGGACCCTTCATCGCCGGCCTGGGCGGAGCGAGGAGCAGAAGGGTCAGCTTGAGAGGTGGTGTCGGCTGTTTTGGCGCCCTTGGGCTGCTGAGCGCCGGGAGGGAGTGTTTTCTTGGCGATGTCGCTCATGTTGTATAGTTGTGGTATGTTGAGTGTTGTGGGGGTGGGGGGGGGGATAAAATTAGGTTGTGACCATGCGGGTTATAAGGTATGTCTTATGAAGTGCAATAGTGGTTGCAACTATTGATATTGTAATGGGTAAGGTAACGTTTGTTGTTGATCAAGTGTTTGTGAAGCTATTCTAAGATTCAGATATCCCAAACAACGGAACTACGAGTCGGTATTTGAACCCTTTATGCTTCTCTTCTCGTCCCTTACTTCCTGCGTCAGTATGTGATGCGTTCAATCGAAAAGCTGGGTTTGCGATATTCTGGACGTCATTGCGGTTTAACGAGTTACGTCACGGAACAGTCTTTTGGGTTTCGAAGTGTTTGTTGAGTCAGGTTCCTAGTCCTTTCCCCTCTTGTTCCTTCCCTACCTCACACTACACAGTACCTCCCCGGTTTACATTCAGGTAAAGGCAGGCACTATCCCTCCACACGCATTCACTTTTGTGAGCCACTCGGGAGCGTCGCAGGATATGTGAACGCCACTTCCAACATCCAAGTGCCCATCAAGTGTCAAGTGCCGTGGAAGGTGGTGTTGGTGGTGGACGAAACACCCAATGAGATAACTCCAATGGCTGTGATGTAGGTACGGCATCGCTCGCGAAAGGCTCAAAGCTCAGGCAACAATTGCAAGCCAAGGAAGGACATGGATGGCTCGAGCGAGCAAGAAAAGCATCATCAGAGAAGCATCATTCATGGCGTGGTTGGAAAGAACGATAGTCAGGTGGATAGGAAGTTGCCTCCTTCCTTCGAAAGCAAGGCTGGTCTCGGCAACGGTGGTCGTTCCTGCCTATCGACCTTCTACGAAAGGAAACTGAAGGCATAAGGGCAAGGGTAAGACCGTATGAAACGCGAGAACGTAACTTCTTTTGCTGTGGGGTGTGTCCAGATCGGACGAGGAAGGCGAGATGATCACTGGACTGCACTGGAGGGATCGTTTTTCTTCCGAGATGTCGATGAAGTTTGTACTTGGACAGTGTTGTAAGGAAAGAACCACCGAAGCGGCCTCGCATGACAGGACATGGTCTAACCGCGCCGCGGCGTACATGGAATGACTTCATCGGCTACCTCTAGGTATGTTTTGTCCAACCTATCTTCGCAATTGATCCTTACTCTACCTTCATGAAGCCGACGAAACGGATTTGTCCCTTTGTGTTTTCATTCATGGCATTTTCCTCATTCCCCCCTTCTTCAATATCAATGAGAGATGATCGAGATGGCTAAACAGATAGAAAGAAAAAGGCCATGACGGACGGGATGACGGTGGGGAGCCACAATGCAACATGCACCTCCCGCATATACACCTAGATACCGGTACTTGGGGAAATGCCCGGGATGAACCATGTCGTTGAGGATATCAGCGGCTTGTGGGTTAGAGAGTTCATGGAAAACCATCCTAGGACTCTCATTGGATCATTTCATGAATAACGGGTTGAACTGCTGCCGCCGAGTATCGTCGAGTTACGGCTATACACCATCATCATCATCACTTCCCTAGACGGCAGGTCAGTTTCCTCGAGGCCGGTTTCACATAAAGTGTGGCTTGGGAGCTCTTCTATCATTGTGGCAAAGTTGAAGCTTGTTTATACTAGCTCTAGCTCTGTCAAGCTGCGGCGTAACGGCGATTATCCCGTCGTTGCCGTTGAACAGGTTGAGACAACACTAGCAAGCTGAAGGTGAAGTGAGGTGGTAACCTTAATTTCGGAGAATTAGTGTTAGTGGTTTTGATATCTCCACGCCCTCCACGTTTTCTTTAGTCCTGCCAAGGTTCCAGTCCCACGTTTTCTTCTTTCTTCCGTCCGTATTTTCAGGTACTTTATCCTGTTTACGTTTAGCTCCCGCTTTTCTTCGCCCCCGTCACCATCCATCGTCTTTCTGACGGTCTTACCCACTAGTGTAGACTAACATCGCGAGGCGCGGGATGTTACACAAATAGAAGTCATGTCCGTTGGTCCACCCCGAAACTCTTTGAACCCCAAAGCCCTTTCGCAAGGCTCGTAAGAAGATCGACATATTATCGTACCATCGTACCATTCCCCAGTTATAAGATGACATCATAACTTGTTTCATCATGGTAATGCCAACAAAAGGTGAGGTGGGTGGAGGTGACATGACGTTAAGCTACCTGCCTCTACGCTAGAGATACCCGTGGTAACCTAACCGCGTGTACCTCTATGCTGCCATGGTACGTTGAATGTTTCTAGTTCTCTTCCAGAAAACCGGATTTCTCCAGGGTCGTCCAGTTGGCCGAACGGGGTATGGGGTGTGTGGGTTGTGGTTGGTGGGAAAAGGTGGCTTACGGAGGGGGGAGGGCGAGACTTCTTCAAAAACTTGGTCTCGCTTCCCTTCTTTTCTTGCTCCAGGCTTTTTGCCCTACACGATCTGATCTTGAATTCCATGTCTTGGCTTTTTTACCGGTCTCACGAGGGTCCAACTTTCGAACGGAGTTTCCCTCGCGCTCTCACCGTGGCAGAGCGGGCGCTTTCTCTCTTTCTGGAAGGAGATCTGGTGATGCTGGAAGGGGAATGTCCGTCGTCGTTTCCCTGGTCCCACTTGTAAATACTATTTTTACGTGTTTTTTCTTCCCCCGTTTTCTGAAGGTTAGGACGGACTGACAATACTGTATCTATGCGTACTGGTACTGGTAATGAACTGGTCCCTTTTTTTCCTGTCCGGAATTTACATCTTCTTTCCTGGCACAAATATTACTTTCCATCTTTGAAACTCCCAAAACGCCTGCTCCGAGTTTCCCTTCCATGCTCAAAATACGTTCTTTCAATGCTTGGCTCAAGAAAACGAAATATTCGGCTTCAACTGCTGCCCATTCCCAAACACAGTGGGAATCCGAATCGTCAACTGAATCCCCTCCGTCGTGGACTTGACATCCAGAAAGATATCCGACGGGCTCTCTCCCGGATTCTCCTTTCTCCACGCAGCTGCGTTTGCCCTCCTCTCTTCTTCCGTTCTTCTTGGCGGTCTTGATTGTTCCCGCTGTGGCTCCTCCCCAGGAGCCTCCTCCTCATCCTCCTCAGCCTTCTCATACTGCGGCGCAGGTATCCCCCCATCCTCCTCTCTCTCTTTCCCCTTCCCTTTCTGTCTCTGTTTCTCGTTTTTCTCTTCCTTCTCCTGCCTTTCCCTATGCATAGGATTATTCTTATCCAAAAACTTGCCCACCACATTCCCCTGCGCATCCAAAATATTCCCTTCATGATCCACCATCAACGCCGCCTTGTTACGGCTCATCACCTCCGCCAGACTCATCATCGGCTGTTTTGGTGCTCCCTCGGGAGAAGCAGCCTTCTTCCCAACCTCAACATCAGCCACATACCCCAACAACTCCCCCTCATCCCCCAAGATATCCCCTTGGTTGTTGGACACCTGCCTCCCCACAATCGAAGGCAGATCGCCTCCGGCGTGCGCGAGGATTGTGCCCGTTTGGGGGTCGATGATGTCCCCGTATTCGTCGACGGTTTTGCCTTTGAGGTACGAGCCGATGAAGGGAGGGAGTTGGGGGCGCGAGGAGGGAGAGACGGAGATGCCGCCCTTTTCGCAGTTGCTGGGGGAAGAGATCTTGGGGATGCTCCCTATTGGACCGATTTTGCCTATGGGTGAGACGTAGGCTGGGTCTCCGGGTAGAGTCTTCTTTCTTGGTGGTTTTGGTGGTGGAGGTGGTGGTCTTTCTGGTGAGTTGTTGTTGTTCATGTTTGGTGTTTGTGGTGATTGCGGTGGTCGCGGTCGTGAGTAATTTGGCGGTGGTGATTGCGGCGCATCTGTGATATCTTCAATCTCGACATCGCTTCCACTTCCGCTGTCGTGTCGCGCTTCTTCGGCTTCCTCGTCGTCTTCTTCATCCACGTAGTCGATCATTCCATCCCGTGTCGACCGTTCATCGCTGGCGAAGCCGCCGCGGGAAGTAGCTGTAGAAGGTCTGGGACGACCAGCATGGGAAGCCGCCCCGTCCCTGCTCTGTCGAGCGGAGGAGGGAGCGGCTTGCTGACCGCCACCGGTGGTGCTGTCGCGATCCGACGAAGATGAGAATTTCGAGGTCATGCTACGGTGTAGCTGACTTAGGAGCTTGTTTTTCCTGGACCAAACCAGCTTGCTTAGGAGACGTTTTCCGAGCTGGACGAGGTATCTACAAAGCGGGCTGCCGCACAGGCGAACCTCCACCAGGACCAAGCCGTGGGCCAAGGCAGTGTAGACGCTATGCACAACTATTTCGCTAGCGGCTGTGCGTGGTTTGTAGTTGTATGGGTAGTGGTATCTCAGTAGTAACATTAACAGCAGCAGACGGAGCAGCCAGCGGTTCGAGTTACACCACTGTCAGCCACGCCCAAGCCCACGCCCAAGCCCACGCCCGCGCCCAAGACGTGGTAAGGTAATGATAAGGTGGCTTCGAATTTGGAGAAAGAGGGGTAAAAGACTGCGGGCTGGTGAAGCAGCGAAAATCCTGGTTGGGATTCCTCGAGGGCCGAGACTCCAGGGGCAAGGTTCCGTCGATGGTGCGTCGTGGTGGTGGTGGTGAGGGGTGAGGCACAGCAATGTTGGAGTACTGTCCGGTACGTGCGTACGCGTCTGTCCTGTCCGTGTCCGTTGATGTGTCGTCGTCTGCTGAGCTGTACTAATTCGAAAGTCGGCTGCGAGAAGCGGTTCTGACTGAATGAGCGTACGATAATTCTTGGACATAATGGAGGGAATATGGTACGATGGTTGCGCTTAACGAAGACGCGCTGCCTTGCTTGACCAAGATCATGACATCACACTAAACCTGGCTGTCCTGTCACTGTGGTTGTCAGCGGAGTGGTTGGTGTGGAACTGTGGACATCTTGGCTGCTTCCACTTGGTGAGAATTCGGCCGGCCAGTGAGATGCGAATTGTTAGTGTTTGATGAGGTGCTGGTCAGAATGTGTGCCTTCTTTCATGATTATGCGAGGATTGGTGCTCGAAAGAGATGCTATTTCGGTATCTAATTAGAAGCAAGTTATCTTAGGTACTTTGCAGTTCGTACATTTCAACCACTGCGCTATAGGTTTTGTGAATCTCTTTGTACTACAGTCAGCAGCTAAACAAATATCAACGCGATGCCCGGAAGGTGGTGTTGTGGCCCACCTTAGCGAGCAGCAAGAAACAGGTTTCTATCGCTTCCATGCTCCTGCCTGAAACGCCTTAGTGGGAAGCTGGAAATCAAGGCCACGAGGGTTTCAGTTCGGGAAACAAATGCTCAAGGATACGGGAAACCAGATCAGATCCCACGATGTAGCGCCCAGGGTTTGCGGAAAGAAGAAATCATCGTCCAATTTCCATGACAAAGGGAAAGTAAAATGGAGGTGAGAAGTCGATGGGTAACTGCAGCAGTTGGAATGTCGATGCGGGCCCTTGCTGGCCCTTGGTTGGGTGTAAGTGTTAGTGCAGTGATGTCTTGGCGCACCTTCGGCCCGGGTTAGGTGACACAGCAGCGTTAACATCCCTCCCATGTCGCGGGTGCTGGCATGGGAGGCTCAAAGATCTGTCGCCCTGGTTTGTGATCGTAAAGAATTGAGAGGCTCGTGTTGAACAATGGTTATTGTCTTTGACGTGATCGGGCGTCAAGTGCATGTCTCGTTCGGCGCCCAGGATGTGGGAGGATTATCGTGATGGATAAACGTTCCCGGGTCGCTTAACAAAAGCACTAACAGCCATGATAGCGGTCGGCGGAATGTGTTCAAAACTCCAGCAGTTTATAGGCATTAGGTATAGCGCTGTAATGAAAAAAGATATACAGGCCTCAAAGAAACGAAACCTGAACCAAAGAATGCCGTTGAACTCCTTTGACAATGTGTGAGAAGAACCCGAGAACTTCCTTCTCTCTCCCGTCCTTCCCTTTCATAAACTCATCATGACCATGTCCCAATCCTAATCCCAATCCCAATCCCAATTCCAATCCAATCCGACAAACTCCACCCATTCCTAATCAAAAGAAGCCTTTTCCGCTGCCGCCTGTTCAAGCGGGGAACGGCAGGGTAATGAACCGGGGGAAACTAGTTGCTTCAGTTCCTAAGGAATTAGCCCCAATGTTTCAGCGACCTTTTCTTCTTTTTTCTTGCTTCTTGACTGCGGAAGGTGATGATGGAAGTTGTGCCATGCATGGAATCGAAACTCGCTCGCTCGCTGGTTTGCTTGCTCGCCAAAAACGAAACAACGCCCCGCTTGCTGAACATTCCCAGTCCTTCTCCTTCTATCCAGCGCCATAATCGTACAACAACAACAACAACAGACAGGGTGGTCTCCGGATTTTGGTTCTGCGCGTGAACCAGTTCTCTGTCTTCTTCTTCGGCGGGGTTGAGGCGCCTCTTTCAAGACATGAACTCAAGTTTCTCTACATCGACCTTTAGCCCAAGGTAAGAAACAGTGGGGTTGGACGGTTTCATGGATAGGTAAGGTAGGTAGGTAGAGTGTGTGACGATCAAAGACTGATAAGAATCCCCTGGCGTTGGTCATTTGGTAATAGCAGATGGAGGGAAAAGTTTCATCGCACGCAACAAAAGCAACATGCTTTAACCAAACTCTCATTGCTATCATCCAAAATGACAACCAAAGCCAAGGGGAGTTCTTTCTGTGCAGGTCAAAAGCCAAATGGGAGGGGGAGGAGGGGGGTAAGGGGGGGGGGGGTAAGGTACGTTGAAGTTGTCAAGAAGCAGAATTGCAGAAGCACAGAAAAGAGCAGAACGAAAAATCAAACACTTACAAGAGAGCCAACTCCAAATCACCATGAATCTTCGCCTTAAGCGTAATCTCAATATCGAGATTAAGATCCAGCCTCAGCCTCAAGGTATCGGACTTCCCACCACCACCTCCACCTTGTTGCTGGTTCTGGACAGCACTGCCAGTGATGCCGCCCAGCGCGCCGGTCACGCCTTGGGTGACGCCGCCGACCGTGTTGCCGACATTGTCGAGGGCCAGCGAGTCGAGAGGGCCTTGCTGCTTGCCGCGCTTGCGCCGGGGAGGGGGGGCGTAGTCCTCGGACTCGGACTCGGATTCGTAGGTTTGCGCTTGCTTCTTTTGCTGGCGCTTGGACTTTTTGGTGGTGTCGGAGCCGCTTTGGGTGGACATTTTGGGCGGTTGTTTGGTGTTGATGTGTTTAAGATTCGAGAAAAGTATGGAATCGGTCGGTGTCAGGGACTGATAGTCAAAAAATCATGGACTGTCTTGTTCAGAACATCTTGAGAACTGAAAAAGGAGCAAGTCTTAAAAGAAAGTATCTCGAGGTGGAGGTCCAAAGGGTGGTGACCAAAACAGGGCTCGCGAGAACCAAAGCTCCAGCAATGAAGTCATTGGGGTCCCTTTGCCCGGTGTGAGGCTACCTCCTTTGGTGGTGAGGACATTGGGACACCCATTCCCGTCACTCATGCGTACGCTATGCAAGTCCCTTGAAAGTTACCTTACGGGACTGCATGTATCGTGCGCCAATCTTTCCCATCATCTGTGCTGTAAGGTCGGCTGTTGGATGCCGAGGTGCCTCGTACAGCCATCTTCCCTGGAATCCAGTTTTCCGTTTCTTGCTATCAGGTTTGCATAAATGGGACAAGGCTGGACCAAGCCACCCTATTCGTCGGAAAACCCGTATTACTATTAGCATTGATGACACTTTCAGGGCCCTATTATTACCGCTACCCTTAACTCATGATATCCCGATCTTTATGCAGTGAGCCCACCATCTCATCATATCACACATCTCTACATGATCCGTACCACCGCGTTTTTAGCCATTTGCGCCCTTGACGTATCGGCTTTCCATTCCCAACTGCATTCGACGACGCAGCAGGATCGGGACCCATTTCACAGACTTCTGTACTTGCTGCAGAGCAGGAGCTTCCCCACCGTCCTGCTTGTCCTCCGTTTTCTCGTCATTCTTCTTCCCCTCATTCTCTCCACCTCTGATTTTCTGGCCCTCGACCTTTCCAGCTTCCTGTTTAGGTTCCCTTTCCGATGTCTTGGTGGGTTTTCTGGGTTCCTCCGTTTCACTCTCGCTGAACTCAGGGTCGTCTTCCTCTTCTGATTCTTCCTCATCCTCATCCTCCTCCGAATATTCGTCTGAATAGTCTTCATCTCCAACATAACTACCGCCTGAGCCCCTGATCTTCCTATCTTTGTCCCAGTAAACGCACCACCTCTGTGTTTCCTCGTCTTGAACAGCAACAAACTGTAAGGTATCCCCTTCGAGCGTCAGCCACGTCTCGTCGTTGCTCCAATACCAAGGACCAATGGTATGCCCAATGGTGGCTTGACGACCGCCGTGTCGAACCATGCCTGTTTCTTTATCGCAATAAATCCAGTTTAGCATGGGCGGATCGTCTGCTATCGTGCTCACCATGCCCAGATGCTTCTCTTCAGAGGGATATGTGAAGTAGTACCCCATAAACTTGTGGCCAGGCATGGGATAGTCGGGATGGTCGATCCATAACTGTCAAGAGGTGTAAGCCGAGGGTATCTGGTGGGGATACGTAATGGGGGGTTGATGTCATTCTTCTCCATCCGGAGTCTGGATGACAGTTGACAGGTAACGGGAACTAAACTTACTCTTCCATCCCTCAACACACAAAAACACTCCTCTGGTGGTCCTCCATCCAGGGAGATTGAGGCTGTTAAGTGGAACTTGGCCTTCTCTTTAGCTGCGTTGTTGGCTTTTTTCTGCGCGCTCAAGGCTTCGCAGACGCCTATTGTCGTGGGAATTCCCGCAATGACTAGAAGGCCGATAACCATATCTCGTTGCTTCCGTAGCTGGGGTTTCCTGGTTGAGTTGTGAACAGCGAGTGTCTCTTTGGGCCTTGGAACAAAAAGCGAGGTACACCTGGTGGTTGTGACAGCGGTTCGCTTGGTTGAGTGTTTGGGTAGGTAACTAGGTGTTCCCTTCTTAGAGACACCGTCATATACTCCGATGTCCCAGTTATCGTGCCTCCGTTTCTCTCTCTCTTGAAACGGTCTCTGTGCCTGGTGATGCGTCCCTGATTGTGGTTGTATTCGCACCCCCTCCCCCTGTCGCCACGATGTCATCTTATGCAGGTAACGTTCGTGATCCTACCCGCCAAAAGCTTGATCTCCAACTAGGATCCGCTCTTGAAGTCTGATCGACGTCATAGCTCGCTTATCCCCGCGACGGAATTTGGTGACGACTCCCTCTGCTGTGCAAGGCTTCATCAGACACTGCAGGTGGGTGTGTGATTTATGCGAAAGAACGGAAGTGTTCATTATGCTCCGTTTTTCTGGACGGTATTACAGCCTCTTGTGAGCTTGGAGAGCCACCCAGCATTCTTAGGTCTTGGGAAACGGCTCCCCATGTCGTCACTCTGGGAGAATTGGGGTAGGTCAGCTTCGTAGTGCAGTGGGATGGGTGGATGGATGAGCTACTTGCGTCGGGCCAGGAAGCGCGCAAGCAAGTGGTCACGGTCTCATGGTGGAAGATGTGCCCTGTCTTTTAAACCTGCATTAACCTTTTCTGTGTTGTTTAGTCTCCTGTCCTAGCTACACTCTAGGAATTCGTTCGCACAATCAAACATATCTCTTTCCTTTCCATCCTGTCTTTGTGACACCCCTCTCATAGCAACTTTGCACAGGAGATACACAATACTCATAACCAGTGAACAAGATGGATCCTGTGAGTGCATTCCCGGTGTGAAACGGGGGCGATGAGTGAATGGTCGAGGCTGGCAACTAACATCGCCTAGACACCGAACAACAATGACCAGGTCCCCAAGTCGGATGCTGCGGAGAAGAAGGATGAGAATACCGAGGAAACCCAGAATGAAACAACGGGACCCAATTCAGTGATCAGCGACGTCAACAAGAACGACAAGGACGATCATGAGAACCAGAGCGACAATGACAATGAGGAGGATGATAACGAAGATGGAGACAACCAGAATCAAGTAAACAACGAAGAGAAGGATGATGATGATGACGAAGACGACGACGACGACGACGACAACTCAGAGAACGATTCCGAAGCAGAGGAAGACGAAGAGAAAGCAGACGGCAGCGCTACAAAGCACGCCGCCGCCGTCGAAGAGTCTCCCTCAGAATCTCAGCCCTCCACACCCAAGGACGAGGAAGCTCCGCAGCCCAAGTTCATGCGCGACGAAAAGAAGAAGAAGAAAAGCCGCAACCAGGAGGTCGCCGAGAAGCCTCGCCGCCGCCGTCGCCCCCGCTTCGCCGACGAAGAAGATTCCGAGGAAGAGCCAATGTCGTACCGCCAGAGACAAGCGTTGCAACAACGCCAGCAAAACCAGATGATGTTGATGCAGCAGCAACAGCAGATGCAGCAAGGCGGCGGTGGTGGTGACGGAGGCAAGAACCCGCTCAAGTTGAGGTTGGACTTGAACCTCGAGATTGAGATTGAGTTGAAGGCGCACATCCACGGTGATTTGACGCTTGCTTTGCTGTATGTGGATTTCCATTTCTTCCCCTCTCGTTCTTTTTTCCGGTATTCCCTCCTTCCAGTTGTGTGGCTTGGGCTTCGTGCCCTAGTCGACGTTCCTTCCCTCTTTCTGGTTCATGAAACTTCTGCACCGCCCCTTCCTTCTTTCCCCTTGCCAAACCGAATCTAGCGAGCGAGCGAGCGTCTGGCTTTCTTGGAGTTCCAGCGCAGTGTCTTTTGCTCGTTCAGATGGACAGAAGCTCCTAACCATATCCTCAAACAAACGACGATTCTCGATGAAGACAATGACCCAACACTTTCACACCTGCGAGAGGGTCAAATGGAGGCTAACCATTGCGCTTTTGTTTCAACGAAACAGTGACGGTTAAGGAAAGACTTTGCCATTCATTTGCTTTTCTCATTTTTTGTTGGACGGCGTTCGGAGCGCATCTCGATGCGTATATGACGGGTATGTTGGTCTTGATATGGGTCGTTCTTTGACAGGGCGGCGTGCGTTCTCGATTTTGTTGTGATAAGCAGCGCTTGGAAGGCTGCTCACTGTATCAGGAGCTTTTAATGGAGACATAGATGCTGGAAGTTCTCTGGTTATTTGTACACTTTCATGATGAAGGATGATTGTACGTTTAGGAGTTGGTAGCGTCTGAAATGCTTCTTTCTTCTCTTCTGGAGACATTCGTAATGTTCAGGACAAACGGGATACCATCGATTTATACCTCGAAAGGAACATGCTACTTGTACCCTCATGACTGCCTTCGGGCCCTTGCATATTTATCGTGTTCGTCAACCTTGTGGTTGATTGCTTGCTTTGTTTGATCTTGATCGCAAACAACACGCAGTCATATCCAATGGATTGTCGAGTATTTGGTAGCAATTCCTTCCTCTGACTTGTGTATGAGCCCAATGGCGTGATACGCACTATATCTGAAGTGACACCATCTTTAACCTTCCGAATATCTCCTTGACAAGTCAGTTTCGTTTCAATACCTCACGAGTTTGCCCTTGTCAACAACTGGAGGCATTGTTCAACCAGTTGACAGTGACGTCATGGCCCAGTCCGTCCCAGTCTCTTATCTTATCATTCCTACCTTGACGACGGGACCCAAGCCATTGGATGCATCACGTGAGTTCGCATAACGGCGACCGGGATTCCGCGTTCGTTCTCCAACCATTGTGGAGAAATCCATCCGCCGTCTCGGTGTTTCGAACCCGTGTAGGTAGGGTTGATCGCTCTTTCCAAGTCATCTCCCACCGCAGTATCTGCATTTTCGGAAAATAGAAGGAGAGGTTGAATTCATTCATCTGTGTCTGGGTCTTTCTTCCACAAACCACAACTTTCTAGTACCTTCAAAGGCATTTCAAGCGGCTTCGACGTGTATCCCGCCAAAGTCGAGCAACAATGCCAAAGCGACCCTACACTTCTGACGTCGGAACTGTCGATTCCGATCGCCGAGATGAAGCACGTCGACGTCGATTGAACGTTCATAGCTCGTCCTCGGGGTCCTCTCAACCGCAGTCTCGTTCGCGAGGCTCTTCCACACCGTACGTCCCACGATCTACTAGCACCAATGGCCCCTCTTCGTCGAGCCAAACTAGTTCCGGACGACGGCAACTACCTTGGCAAACGACACCAGGCACTCAGAGTTCCCAGAGCAGATCCAAGACTCAGAGAAGGCCAAGCACCCAGAGCAGACCGAGTACCCAGAGGACAACAAGCACTCACACAACACGTAGCAGTCAAAGCACCCAACCAACTTTGAGCAGCCACGCAATTTCGAGCTCGCAGCATCGTCCTCCGGAGCATGTGCAGGCCATCCATGACACCCTGAACTGGCTCAGCACCCAGCCCGATATACTCGAGTCGGACGATGAACCCGAGGTCATTGACCTCACCCAGGCCGATCCTGGCCCTGTCCTCGAATTCTACGGGCACTTCGGTCCGTATATATCTTGCTTCCTGCTGCTGCTCACTCCCCACGCTAACACAAGACAGACGGCAAGATTGTTGGTGTGCGATACTACAACGGCGTAGCTTCTCCCGGTGAAGTGGTAGTCTGCAAGAGAGAGCCTCAGAACCAGTACGACCCCAATGCCATTCGTGTGGACAACGTTTTAGGCAGACAGATTGGTCATATCCCGAAGACCGTTGCAGCTAAGCTAGCCCCTTACATTGTGTGTAATCCCCTTGTATCACTTCGGTCATTTCTTTCTCTAACCCAACCCAGCACAAGGGCGACCTTGTAATTGAGGGCATGCTTACTGGAGAGAAGGGGGCTTTCGACTGCCCCGTTCGACTCTACTTCTACGGCACGAGCGCGTCACTTCAACGAGCCAACCTTGAGGAACGGCTGAAGAAGGACAAGCTTGTTACAGCCACCCAACTCAAACAAACACGCAAGGCAAATGAGGAGCAGAGAAAGAGACAGACACTCGAACTCAGGGGCAATGGAACTCATGGTTTCCCCAGCCAAACCCAAGAGCCGGAGCCTCGAATTACAATGGAGCAATTGGCTAAAATGAGCGAAATCACCAATTTCCGCTCCGGCGGCGATATGATTAAGTCACTCGCCATGAGTGAGGAGGACCTGGCCAACCTTCCAATGGCTTCCCAGCCAGAGAAGCTGCGCGCGCAGTTGCTTCCATATCAGCTTCAGGGCCTTGCTTGGATGATCTCCAAGGAGAATCCCAAAATGCCTGCAAAGGGGTCTACCGACTCTGTACAGCTTTGGCAGCATGCCGCTGACGGCCGGTACTACAACATGGCAACGGGCTTCTACAACAAGTCTCCTCTCGAGTTAATGTCAGGCGCCATATGTGCCGACGATATGGGCCTCGGAAAGACTATTCAGATCATCAGTCTCATCATGACCGAAGGCCTGGGTACCGGCCCTACCCTCATCGTTGCCCCCGTTGGTGTGATGAGCAACTGGAAGCAGCAGATCAGACGCCATGTCCACGAGGAACATCAACCAAAGATCGTCATGTATCATGGAAGCAAACGCAAAGAATTTGCCAAAACGCTCCAGGACCACGATGTGGTGATTACTAGCTACGGAACCTTGTCCGATGACGCTCTAGTAAAGACTCGCTGGAGAAGGGTAGTCCTTGATGAAGGACACAGGTGGGTCAATGCATGATCTGGTACTCTACGTACAATGCTAACAAAACTGACACAGCATTCGTAACGCCAAAGCCCAAGTAGCTCAGAATGCTTGCAAATTGGAGGCCAAGTCCAGATGGGTACTCACAGGAACTCCAATGTAAGTTGAATAATGAACGATTTGGAAACTCTACGTGCAGTGCTAACAAAACTTCCCGCATAGCATCAACAGTGTCGAGGACCTTCATTCCCTGGTCAAGTTTCTCCGCATAACAGGCGGAATTGAACAGCCAGAAATCTTCAACACTGTTCTTACCAGGCCGCTTGCCAACGGGGAGCTCAAGGGAGAAGCTCTGTTGAGAGGTTTAATGAGGGATCTCTGCATTCGCAGAAAGAAGGACATGAAGTTTGTTGATCTGAAGCTTCCAGAGAAGACCGAGCAAACTATCCGTATCGCCTTCTGGCCTGACGAGCAGAAGAAGTATGATGCTTTGCTGTAAGTTCTCCCACATTTTTTTATCTTCATATTGCCAGCGAGCTAACAAACGAAACAGGTCCGAAGCACAGGGAGTTCTTGAAGACTACCGGAGGCAGTCCAAGCGTTCACAGGGACAATTTCAGGGAGTTCTCGAGAGGCTTCTACGTCTTCGACAAACGTAGGTGTTCCAGTGTGTTAAGTCCAGTAACGATGTTAACCAGTTCTAGTTGCAACCATTGGGTTCTCTGCAAGAAACGCATCACAGAGGTTCTCGAATTTCTCGCAGATAAAGATGTGGTTGATCTCACCGACGAAAACAAAGCCATTCTGCAACAGGCACTTCAGCTCTACATCGAGAGTCAAGAAGAGTGTCCTATTTGCATTGATCCATTGAACAACCCGGTGATCACACATTGCAAGCACGTCTTCTGTCGAGACTGTATCGACAAGGTCATTGAGGTTCAACAAAAGTGCCCCATGTGCCGCGCTCCCCTCTCGGAAGACAAGCTTCTTGAACCAGCGCCCGAGCACTCGGCCACCCAGGACGAAGAGGAACTTGAATCCGAGACCAAGAGCTCCAAGACCGAAGCTGTGCTGGCGCTCGTCAAAGGCGCCCTTGAGAAGGAAGGAAGCAAAGTCATCATCTTCTCCCAGTGGACCTCCTTCCTAACCATTATCCAACATCAGCTGGACGAGGCTGGGTACACCTACACCCGTATTGATGGCAGCATGAACACAGCTCAGCGCGACGCCGCCATCCGTGCCTTGGACTATGATCCTAACACGCGCATCCTGCTGGCCAGCTTGGGCGTCTGCAGCGTGGGCTTGAACCTGGTTTCAGCAAACACCGTCATCCTCGCTGATAGCTGGTGGGCGCCCGCCATCGAGGATCAAGCTGTTGATCGTGTCCATCGTCTTGGTCAGACCAAGGAGACGAATGTCTATAGACTTGTGATGGAGAATACGATCGAAGAACGTGTTCTGGATATTCAGAAGGAGAAGAGAGAGCTGGTTGGCAAGGCTTTCCAGGAGAAGCAGGATGGTAAGAAGAAGGTCAAGGAGACGAGGATGGCTGATATTATGAAGCTGCTTTCTTAGTATCTGGAATATGGACGGTAGAGTATAGTGAGGGAAGATTTATGATGGCTAGGTGGATAGAAGAGTAGCCGGTGCTCGTTTTGTGTGTTGTGATTGTATGGATGTTTGTTGTGTTAGATCTTATGCATCGCGGTACTGGAGATTAACGTGTTAGGTTGGGGTGGACTACAACTTCTCATAGTTACTAGCATATGGAAGGAAAGAGGCGGGTAATGTGTGGTCATTCTTGAAGCATCGGCAGTTACTACGATACTTCATCTAGGAGGTTGTTAGAAACAACATTGTAGGTTCATGCACCAAGATATCGGAAAAGACAGATTAGAGAAACGATTTTCATTGTATCAACAATAAGATGCCCAAATGGGCAGCATTGAATCATTCATGCCGTTTTTAACATTTCCTTCTACCCAGACGTTTTTGTTCCATCTATCCAGTATCCAGAAAAAATTGAACATGCAATGCTAGAGATAGTTGGGAGTCAAGTACCCCAACCACATCTGTTTCTCAATGTCATTCAGCAAACACGACCAAAGAAGTAAAAGGAGGTGTCCCCCACCCACAATGCAGAAGATAGAAGAAGCGAAGAAAGAATATGTCATGTCATAAAGGACAGTAAAGAAGCGAAGATTTTTGCTTGCCGCCAAGCCACCATATCGACAATATCATCAAAGTATCCATCCCAGCCACCAGAAATGGCTAACTGCTTAGAAATCCGCCCGCTTATGTCTGTTAATATGCATCCTCCTCTTCTGCTTCTTGTCACCCCTGCCGCACCTGATAGTATGAGAAACAGTCTCAGTGGGAGCAGCAGCAACGGGAGCAATGGTAGCGGTGTTAAAGACGGTGGTAGAGGGAGGGGGGATGTTGACATTGTTGTTGTTGTTGTTGTTGTTGTTGTTGTTGTTGTTGTTGTTGTTGTTGTTGTTGTTGTCAGCTGGTTTGACGACGTTGTTGTTGGTGTCCTTGCTGGTGTCGACAGGGCTGTCCACCAAATCCGCCCCCTTCATCACCCCGGGTACCTGGACGCTCGTGTCCTTAACAGTCACATCCCCCCACACCTTGCCCTTGTTCGGCGGACCGGTGAACTGCTTCGCATTGCAAGAATCCGCAAGCGGCTGGCACTTCTCATTCTGCCAGACCTGGCATCCCTTGATGCCGGAGGGCGGAGCAGAATCGAAGCACGCCTTGTTCTGGGCCCAGCAGTTGTCCGCGGAAGCCCAGCACCCGTCTTCGGTCGTGTAGGAAGGGACTTCGAAGCCGCACCAGTTGGCGTTCTTGAGGATGCAGTTGTCGGGGACGGCGCCGGGGAACTTGGTGGGTGTGGTGAGGGCTGCCTTTGCGTTGGTGCCGGAAGAGGAAGAGGTGGGGATGAAGGGCTTGGGGCCGGGAATCACGTAGGGAAGAAGACCCTTCATGTCGTACATGTTGAAGTTGAGACCCTTGTCGGAGGGGTGGACGTGGCCGGGGATGGCGACTTCCTTGTCGGAGGGGATGGAGAGTTTGCCGGAGGAGGAACCCTGGAGATAGACCTGGGCGCAGTTGACGTAGAATTGCGGCTCGCAGTACCAGTTGCCGTCGGCCTTGGTGGTGACGTTTTGCATGGCGATCACCTCGGTGCGAAGCAGGTAGGCGCCCGTGGGCATGCCCGAGGGCAAGCTGATGCTGAGGAGACCGTTGGTGTCGATGACCTTCTGCACCGCCCACTTCTTGGTGGACTCGTCGTACCCGTCGTGCCAGATCTTGAACCAGCCGGAGCCGCCGGGCTTTTGGTCAAAGTCCGAGACGGACTTGGCGTAGACGGATATGGGACCCTGGTGCGACTCGTCGATGAAGCCGGGCTTGCTGCCGTCGGCGTAGGTGCGGAATTCGAAGGTCATCTTGGAGCCGGCGGTGGCGGGGATGGTGTAGCTGACCTTTTTGAGGCCGTCTCTGCCTGTTTGATGTGTGAGTGTCTTTGAGCGGTTATGAGTGGGAAGGGATCCAAGACTTACCACAGATCATGTCATTGCTGTTCATGTCAATAATGGGGAAGTTGGCGATGCTGCCATTGAAGGGCATACGGACGCCGGTACCATCTCCTTGGTCCTTATCGTTGACAAAAACAGTTGTGAGGACAGTGTGGGCAGAAGCCAACGGGGCAAGGACAGTCGCCAGACCGGCGAGGACAGTGGTGGAACGCATGATGGATAATATGCTTTGAAAGTGTCGATGTGTGGCCAGCCACAAAAAGTCAAGCCGAAGGTTTCGAGGAAAAGTCAAGTGACTTTTCTGTCGTATATGTGTGTCGAAGGAAGGAATGGACAAGCAATGTCCAATAAAGCCGTATCGAATGGATCACCAGTTTATTTTTTAACGTGGTGTTTCTGAAATAGGTGAATGAAGGAAGGTAGGGAGAGAAAAGACCGGATCACAGACCTCTAGTCTGTTTCTGCAAAAGCTGAGGCTCCAAAGGAAGGAAGGGGGAAAAGACAACACCAAGCTCTGGCGGTTAAAGGAAGAGTTAAGTAACAGGAAGAAGATCGAGAGAAAAGAAGGGAACACAAAAGGGATATATACAGAATGAGAAAACCCACACAACAGGAACAAAGCAATGAAGGATAGGTCAGGGATGTAGAATACCGAGTGCTACCCGACCTTCCACTGCACTGTACCTGGCAGTCCTACCCTAAAACCTACCCCTACCCGTCTAGCGCCCTTGGGCGGCGGCTGACCCCCTCGTCGACTGGTAGGGTTCAGTTGGTGGTTTAAGGCAAGACAAGCTTGTCCTCGACAAGGTAAGGTACCCTTGGACAGTCCTTGAATAATCATTGAGACCTTGACCAACCAGGCCCTCGAGACTCTCAGAACAAGAAGCAAACGCCCGCTCCTCGGGCAAAAAGAAGATATGAGGAAGGAGACACAAACGCCGGAGCTTTGCAAGCAAGTCCTCAGACCCGGACACAATGCCGCAAGAAACAGGGCCTTAGAAACTGACTGTTTCGACTTGTCCTGCCATCAAGTCGGCAGACTGCCATGGACTGCAGTGTACCTGACCTTTGGTGCTGTGCTCACTGTAGAATATGGGGAATAGGGGATATGATAGGCATGTAGGGGGCAATATGGTTATCCGGGTGTCAGCGTTTCGGTTGTGACGATGTGATATGTCCAACTGATCAACTGATCGAGGGAGTCTGAACTGTGAATGGAATCCATCTTTGCCATAGTCTCATAGAAGCCCGACGAGTCAATTCTCCTGACCTGACCTATCATCTCCCCTCCCCCGCGTCTAGAGGATACTCTACGCTTGCAGTAGTGAGGTCGGTCGGTCGGTTAAAACAGCTTCGTGATTGCGTCCGAAAGGAGGAGCGAGACCTGTTTACCACTAGTCTCACGACACGGCATGAGAATAGAAGCAAGGCAGTTGGTTCCTCCCCTCTCCTGTCCGTTCATCCATCTGCAGTCATCTTTTTCTGCTTCTGCCCCTGGCTTAACTGGTGCCGTGATGCCGTGACATATGTCATGTCACCACATCTCCAGTGGTCCAGCGGTCCAGCGAGCCAAATCGGGGAACTTGGCGACGGGATGCCACCCGACGACACAGTCAGCAGTATTGTAGTACGACGACTGGATGTGAAAGCTAAATTCGAGTCTTTCCTCGTTCTGAAGCGAAAACGAAGAAAGAGGGGAAAACTGATGTGAGGTGAGAAGCGGAAGGGGAATGGAAGCAGAAGCCAAGATCGCCAGGGGAAGAAGAAGCGAACAATGTCAAGAGAAAATGGAAATCCAACGATGCTGCTGTCCCTCGGCTGTCGATCTCGGTTGCATTCCAAAGCCTGTAAATGGGCCCCCCTGCCAAGCAGCACTGTTAAAAACCCCTGCTTTTGCCCTGGCAGCCGCCTAGGATGGACGGAAATGGCGCCGTCCGCCGCCGCCGGGGAATTGTCCGCCAAGAGAAGCCGTCAGTGTTTCATCCAACTGGAGATCCCGCCCAGCCCGTTGGTTCGCTGGAATGCAAAATTGCTGGTAGCCGCAGAGAGGAAACATTGGAGCGGCGCTTATTAAAGGACCCCCCTCGGCGCCTTCGCAGTCACGCCCTCTGTGTTTCGAAACATCTTCTTTTTCTGGTGCCTTGCATATCCAATCCAGCTGATGGGTTCACTGTGTGGAGGAATGATGATCTACCCGAATGACAGGCATGAGCCTCTCGGGAGTTTTTTCTTATTGTGTCTTGCCTCTGTCTACCAGACCCCTCTTCCCCCTCTGTTCCTCGGTAGTATATATCTCTGTTCTCTTTTTCTGCGAGTGAGCGAGCAACTTTGAAACAGACTCTCCTATGGAAATGGTGGTGGATCAGGGGCATAAGCAATCGCCAAGCGAAAATAATGAGATCACCAAACAAGCAAATCGGATTAAGTTCGCCAGGATGGCGAGTGAGTTTCGGGGTCCACGACATTTGCGACGCCGCAAACAGGCATAAAGACAGAGCCAAAGAGACAGAGACAGGTGTGAGCACAACATGAAGATAATGTGAAATGAAGAAAATGCGAATCCAATGTGCTCGGACGCAGACGGTCTTTGGCGCGGAAGCGCGCGCGCGAAAGGGAGATAAAGAAAGACATTGTGTTGGTTGCTACAAGGTATGGATTGTTCAATATACCGATTTATGCGGTTTGCTCTTTCACACAGGAGGCAATCTCTGCCGCAGGGTGCCCTGTTTTGGTGAGGAGGGATGAACATCACCAACATACATACCTGTAGGCATTGACTTGTTCGTTCCTGGGTGAGGTGAAGTGAAGTGAGGGGAGCGAAACACTCGCTTCGAATGAGAGTGACCAATCTTCATCGAGAGAGATGTTCCGAGGTAAACAAACCCGCCAGCCGCCACATTGGACATCCACCATGTGCCCGAGCGATAATTGATACTAGTTGGGCGATGGGTGATCGACATAAGATTATCATAAAAACACATGGGCAGCCTAGGAGGGCATGGGAGGGTTAAGATGTTTCAATGTTTCAAGATTGACCAGGGGGAGGGGGTGCTCCGGTCCATGGGTACGAAGCAACACCCGGACTGCAGAATTGATAATCTAGCCAAACCTTCATCTTAAAAGTTCCGAAGATGGCGGATAGGCGCGTATGGTGGACGTATGTAGGAGGGGTTGACTGTTGCGTAAATGTTGTAGGTGCAGGTGAGTGAACATGCTCGGAATGAGAACCGGACCTGGATTTGTTATGTTTTGGCTTGTCTCGAATCGTTATATGAGTCGCTTTTTCTCCGTCTGCAGTTTCTTGGTCGTCTCGTCTCGCTTTTAACGCGCGCAGTTTTCAGTTTGAGGAGAAACGACAGATTGAAACTTCGTCTGAGAGCTGCATCGCAGGAGTCTCGGGGCTATTGACTGACTGTTTGTTGCTTGATTGGCGCTGTTGGTGAGATGCTGGTGTTGGTGTTGGATGGTGTTGTGCTGATTGATAGCAGTTGATCAGCACGACAGCTCGCTTGCTGGTTGTTCCGTGGATAAGAGCAGTAGTATGTATCAGCCGCGCCTCGTCTCGTCTTGTCTAGCATTTTAGATCTGGACCTAACTGTACCGGCAGTAGGTACCAAGGATCATGAGACCGAGACCGAGGACCGAGACCTGAGAAGTGTGGGAAAAGATGCTTGTTTAATTTGAGACCGGAAGTCGAGCGATGATATCGTACTCTGAATCGGACGAGTGGAGATGTGAAGAGTCGATTGAAGAGAACTGACAACCTGTCACTTTTCGTCTCAAGTTAACTGTCACAAGAGTTATGAGTTGAGATGCCATTTCCTATAACCAAAGCCGTTATCATGCAATTGCCGAACCTCCTCATGCCCACGTCTTCGTGTCAACTATGCCAACCTGTCCGCTTAGCTGCTGTGAAATGTTGGTTTCTATTGGTACATTACATATTGGTACACTTTTGATATTGTCATAAGAATCATGATGAGGGTATCGTTTATATTTTGCTTTTTTGTTTTATGTTGAGTCAACGGGGTTTACTCGTTGATCTTGGCAAGGATCCTGTTGAAGAGGCATATGTTAGCAACCGTCTTTGCCTGTGTGTTTGTATAAACCGGCCGGGGAAAGTTTCCCTCCCCCCCCTCCGATCAGAGACAAAATCTGTGGATGTTGTGTGTGGTGTTACTTACTCGCTATCGCGGAAGAGGGTGTACTCCTCCTCGCCGACCTTGACAGGGGAACCGCCGTACTGTTAAAGGGCGCATTAGTATCTTCCTTTCTATCTTCTTCTTTCCTCCATATAAAAGCTCATGCATGCATGCATTGCATCTGGGTGTTACAGACAGATAACTTTAATCTGTGACCGCCCATCTGCTCTGCATCGGCATTGTATGTATTGTGGTGGCACTCTGACGTACCTGAGGGATAAGGACGCGGTCGCCAGTGTTGACACCCATGGGGAGACGCTTGCCGTCCTTGTCGAGGGCACCGGGGCCAACGGCGAGAACCTTGGCCTCGTTGAGGTCCTTAACGGAGGACTCGGGGAGGAAGATGCCGGAGGCAGTCTTGGCCTCGGCCTTGACGCGCTGGACGAGGACGCGGTCAAGGAGGGGGACGAGGGACTTGATGGAGCGGACGGAGGTGGCCTATGGTGACGAACACAATAACGTGTTAGTCGATGTTTTGGTTCTATGGTGTCGTCTTGTATGTTCGGTGCCAATGCACTCGTTGTGGTGCTTGCCGCCGGGTGTTCGGTTGTGCCATGTACTAGCCACCGGTCATACAGCGCAATTGCTAAGCTTCCCGAAAGCCATGTAGCTCTCTCTTTCTGGCGCTTCCTTGTCCCCGGCGGCGGAGTGCGATTGGGCGTCTCGGGCAGGAGGTATGTGCTCACCATTTTGACGGATTTGAACGGTGAACGACGACGAGGAATTCGGCTGGCGAGATTGGGCGAGAGGATGGACGAGTACGGCGGAACTGAGGAGACTGAGAGGGAGAGAGCTTCGGTATTTAGGCCGGCGGGATCGCGACTTTTGATGACCCTTGTACGAGCTTCGATACGCATCTAGAAGATGCCGCTCCATTTTTTAATGGGCCCGGACTTGCTGTTTATCCCTGCCGACTTCGGTACGTCACCGGCAATCTCGCCAAAACGGGCAGCCTGCCTGCTTCTGATTGGCTGCGTGAAGCTGGGGTAACACGCCCGGCTTGGCCGGGTTCGCCGGGGAACGGTGGATCGGCCTGCGCAGCAGCTCCGTCCGTTGCTCCGGTCACCATGACAAAACACACGTCGACACGCATGAAGGTCTCCTCTACCTATATAAGGGGTAACCTGGACTCCCAACTTCCATCTCAACTCGATTTGTCTTGAAAGCCCATCACTGTCATCACCATCACATGTCTTGAGACCGACCAGCTGTCTGTCTAACTTTCATCACGTTACTCGATTATTAACTGCACTCTCTAAATACAAAGCGAGCGACCTTTATACACTCAACATTGTTCAATGCCCGTCTCCCAAAATATGTTTGGCCTAGCCATACCACCTTCTATCCCTACCGGAGAGCAGCAGAATCAAAAAGATGAACGCTGTATGCCTGGAACCCGGCCCCCCTTATACTGAACCTTTGCGTGGATTAACCAAACCCAATCCAAGCGCTATCTTCCCAAATCCCAAAAACGCCCAGAAAAATGACGAAAAAGCGCTGCCTCACAAGGTGACAGACACCGACTGAGGGGAAAATGGTAACAATGCCCATATACTACTCTAATAACGCATGTCCGGTCTTTCCGATAATAAGCCCAAAGTAACCCCCACAAGTCCCCTTCAAATTCCCTTCTTCTTCCTACCCCAAGTGTTGGTGGCATCCTGTACCCCTAAGAAGCCGTCCTGTGTTCGATAAGTTTTCTGGCGCAAGCTCCACTTCTAGCGTTTGGCCTTTTCATCTTTGGTGCCTGCAGGTGCTGATGGGGGTTCGAGAACATGTGTGTGGTCATCCGCATGCGCCACGGCACCGGGGCCGATCTGTCGGCAAATGACTGTGTTCGCTACCCAGGGATCGTCAAGAATTTCCGTCATCTTGGCTCGTGTCTTGGGATCCAGATCGAGCATCCTGCCGACGACGTGTCTGCTTTCCCTCGGAAGAAGCCTGAGGATTCTCCAGGGGCCACGGATAACCTCCTTCTTCTCTCCAGTGCTGCCAGCTTCTCCTTGTACGCTGGTTGTAGACGCCGTCGGCTTGTGATCGGGAGTCGTCTTCTTGTCATCTTGAACCTTGTCAATCTTGTCGCTGCTTCCCCTGACGCTCTGAGGGTCGTAGTCTCTATACGGAAGATCGCTAAGTGCCGACATGGAGGCTGAAGGTGGTGGAAGCAACAGCTTCTTGGGATCGTGTCCGAACGAAGGCTCTGCAGCGAATAGCTTGAACGAGTTGTCGGTCAATCGAGGAACCTTCCACGGGAAACGTCGGAGTGTCATGCAGCAGTAAATGATGGCCAAGGACCAAATATCGACGGCCTCCGGGTCGTATTTCTTCTCGTCGTACACCTCGGGGGCAAGATATGGGTCGGATCCAACAATGCCTGATAATCGGTTAGAACACTTCAACCAGCATCTCAGCAAAGAGTTTACTCACCTGAGGCATGAACAATGCCAGTCTCAAAAGGATACCGGAAAACATGAGCACTACCAAAATCGATAATCTTCATAATGCCATGCTCGCTAACCACCACATTGTCGAGCTTCAGATCCCGATGCGCGAGGCCCATGCTGTGAAGGTATGTGACACCGCTCAAAATCTGAAGGAAGCAGCAGCTGACCTCCTCTCGAGACATCTTCCCTGTCATAACGATGGCGAACAGGTCGTATGGAGCGTACTCCATCACCTCGTACCATTTGCCCTTCTCCTGGACAATGTCCAGGGTTTCGATGATGTTGCCGTGGTGCAAAGAAGATCCCATGCAATACTCGGCCGTAAGCTTCTTGACATATTCGCGCTCGGTTTCGTACGAGTGGCGAGGGCGGAATTCCTTGACGGCAAAGACCACGCCGTCTTCGCTGCGCTTCATGAGTCTCACGGATCCTCCCGCTCCCGCACCTAACACCTTGCCAAGCTTGCCGTATTTAGAAGAGAGACCGTGATCGTCACCGAACGGAATCTGGGCAGGCTTGGCTCCCGGTGTCTTGGGCGTAGACTTTACAGAAGCAGCGGGAGATGCCGGTCTCTTGTTCTTGTGAGGTCCTAGCTTGAAGAACCTCTTCAGATCCGCCATTGAGCTATTTCTGCTGTGGATCGAAGCCTCGTCGTCGTTGTCATGGCGATCCTTCTTGGAGCGTTTGTCGCCTTTGGATACCAGACTCAAAGAGGAAGAGTTCTTTTTCCTGGAGAAGATGAAGCGAGGCTCGATGCCTTTTTGCGCAGGTCGTTTGCTTGCCGAGTACGGATCGTTGACATCGCCGGGAGGTGGTAGTTGGCGGGTGTAGAACTGTGACGCGGCTAACGCTCGGGAGGGGCTGGAGTCACGGGACGCAGGCTGAGATCTACTGGGAGAACTGCCACCGGATCCAACGGAAAATAACCCTCTGCGATGTTCACCGATAGTGATCTGGGGACGTTCTCGGGCCTCTATCGAAGTCGGCCTGGAAGAGCTCTGCAGCTGTTCGTCGGGTGTAGGCAGCTGGACCTGGCGGAGAGAGGTGGGTGATGTCGGTTCGTGGGAAGAGTCCTGAGGAGTGATGAGGTTGGCACTCCGCCTTTCTTGTGTCAGAGCGCCCTCGCCCTCGCGGCGAAGTTCTCGGTCGACGTTGTCGGTTCCAGCCGGCGTGAGAGGAGGTGTATGCATTTCGGGGCCCCTGATGTGCGGAGTAAGAAGCGGTGAGTTGCGACCTGCCGAGCTCCGTGTATGTTCGCGACTGGCAGCTCTCGATTCATCTTCGTGGGAAGGTGTCTGGAGACAGAAAATATTAGTCCTCGCCCAAGGGGTAAAGACGCAAACGCAAAATGGATATATGGAGTGCAATCAGACAAGAGACATGGCAAAAGCCAGCAAAAGCCACCGAGCTGATGTTGGTTGCACAAGGCCCCCGGAAGCGACGGACCAAGGCAAAAGCAGAGAGGTGAACAAAGGAAGGAAGCACACGTGAAATTGGGATGGACTTACCCTTGAAGCGGGAAGCGAGAATGCCTCGTACTGGAAAAGGCCTATCCTTCGCTCCTGCAGCGGACAGGCCTTCAACCTCTCGGTGATATCACGAAGCTGCTCGGGAGTGACCTCTCCCCCCGGTTCGCCGAGGCTGACATCTGGTGCAATGGTTGGTGTCGATGTGGTGCCCTCTGGGGTGATCTCTTCGACAGTTGACTTGAAGCGGACAGCAGGCTCAGTCTTGGCTGTTTCATCGGGAGTGACTTGGGACGATTGCGGCTCGACAGCTGCTGGAGGAGACTAAAAGTTAGCGAATTGCTTCAATTCGATGTTTGCTCGTCCTGGTCGCCGAGCATTGGCGTAGTAGGGATTAGAGATGAGGGGTTGCCGGTGATCTTTTCGGTTTTTTTTCTTCTTCTTTCTTTTTGTTCTTTATCCTTCCTTACCTTGGTGCTGTTCGTCCGGTTGACGCTGCTCTAACTCTTGCTCAGCGGTCGCCATCTCTTTTTTTTGCGGTGCTTTGATCACTTCGTTCGAATTTGCACCTGTCTCCGCAAACTAATAAAACTTGTAAAATTCTGGCAGGAATCCGAATAACGACTGGTATCTGGCCCGCCCTGGAGACGGAGACAAAAAGATGGGATAAAAGACCGTGTGATGCAAGATGCAAGGGCCAGACAGGTGCCAGAACGACAGAAGATGCAAGACAAGAACAGACGCAGCGGCGGGATGGGCGGGAACCTGTCAAGTGGAAGCAAGGGAAAGGCAAATGGGACAGCGGCGAAAGAATGAGTCGGGGCCAAATAGATGACGGCGATCTAAACTGTTATGGAACTGCAAAGCCTGTAGACAAGACTCAGACTAGTCACTAGTAGGAGGTGAATAATGGGGCTTCCACTTTCCACTTGTCGATGCTGTGTGCCTAGGCTTTTTGTCCTCCCCGTAGCGGGTTCGGCGAAGAAGTGGAAATGTGAAAGATGCCGCTCTGTTGCGCGTCGTGGTGGGGCTGAAACTACATGACAGGTACAGGAGACGTTGGCTGCAGGTGGCGGGAGGCACGGGTACCCTTGATGGACCAGTGAGACCTGCGAGGCACTGAGAGCACCTGAGAGGAGGACCCGAGTTGAATCTGAGTGCGGGCACCTGAGATCGGGCCAAGCCGGCTTCCTTGACGGGAATGATTGAATGGAATTTCAGATGGATCCGCAGTCACAGACTCCTCACAGGGCGAGCGGTCTCAAAGTCAAACAGTTTGAACGTGACGGCGGGCATGTCTGGACATCAGTGTTCCCAAAACCGCAAAAGGAGTCTTGGATCTCGGTCTTTGTCATACACTGGAGGGCACAACCGGGAGCGGTCGGCAACGTGGGGTCCCTGATCATGTCCATGTCCTCTCCCCTTCTTGTCCGACTTCCTTTTCCAGCTTTGGAATGACAATGGAAGATGCCGAGCGATTTCAGCGCCTCCCCCTCTAAAACCGTCAGTTACCAACTGCATTGACGCGGGGGTGGTTCCTGCCAGGACATCCATTCCATCAGGTCTTTGTTCCCACCGCCCTGTGTTGTTCCTCAAACACTGGAGAGTTCACCCAATGACTCAAGTAAACACATCAGCCGACGATGCCTTGGCTGTCATCCTCGTTGCCCTGTGTTTCAACTGGACAGCAGAGAGTCAAGTACCTGAATCCCGCAGCAGCCCCGACCACCGTCGGAGCGAGCTTAGAGAGCCGCCGTGTCCGAAAGAGCGAGTCCAGTGACTGTCCTGATGTCACCCAACCTTTTTCAAGATGGCATCGATCGGAAGCCAGGAAGCGCACTGGCAGCGGATATGGTGAACCGCTTTCTGTGTCGATCTCTACCGCCGAATCCCAGGTCCTATCGTTCGGTTCGGTGTAACCCATGTCGATACCCCGCCATGCTGCGGGAGGTAATTGCCCGAATGTTTCTGGAAGCCATCGAATGTAATTGCAATTGTCGCACACGTGTAGGATATTAAACAATCATCCCCTTCATCTCATTAGCATTGGAAGCATGGGATGAACACCAGGCCGACGTGATAGCGGGCCTTCGCATGGGTGATAAGAAGTCGGCTGCTGGATAAGGACTTGGGGGAGGGGGTTTTGTTTACATAGCCCCTTTTCATGTGTGATATATCACCAACGCCTCGCAGTCAGATTGGCCAAAGCACCACAACCACATCTTACTTACAGGTGAGCATAATGCCCGTGGGGAGTTCTGCCTTACTTACCACCAACCTTAAAACTTTATCCTACCTTCTGAAGAATTACGGGTAGAACATCGTACGCCTGGTGGTTTCACAGCCACAAGCTATGCGCACCAAGGCTGACGAAGCTGGAGTACGGTGAGCCGAAGAAAGCCTCAACCAGCAAATATCCCGATGTGCCGTGAATTCCCATCAAGTCCCTGTCGTCAAACCCTTCCCAAGGAACATACTCCGTGGATGAACCAACAGCTCCTGGCGCGCTATGCATTTTGAGACTTTGACATACAATAATGATACAAAAAAAGATATACAGAGCCACAAGCAATGGCTATAGTCCCCATCCAATATTGGTAACAATGCCGTGGTCTATCCACCTGAAAGAAACAACCGTAACGCCTTCGTGCTCCCAAGCCCGTATTACGAGGCCATCACACCTCCCTTCAGCGTACACCCTCTTTCAAGGAATAACGTTGATTCCGATCGACTTGGCCTGGTAGATGACCGCTCTGCAGAGACCCTCGAGGGGCAGGCCGGAGAGACGGAGCTCGGACTGCTTGATCTTGGCGATCTCGTAGACGTGCTTGAGGCTGACGGTGCCGACAACCTCCTTGCCGGGGTTGCTGGCGCCCTTTCTCTTGCCGCCCTTGCCTATCGGGGCCTCGGCGGCGTTGAGCAAAAGCCATGATGTGTGGGGGGTGCGGACATCGAAGTGGAACGAGCGATCGGGCCTGACGGTAACACGGACGGGCATCGGGATACCGGTGGTGATGTGGGCGGTTCTAGCGTTGAACTCCTATAGTATCGAGCGCATGTTAACTTTTGTTCCGGGTGTCGCTAGCAGCCAAAGCTGCAGTGCTGTGCGATTTGGGCAGGTAAACCGACCTTGCAAAAGTCCATGGACTTGATACCCTTGGAACCAAGGGCCGGACCGACCGGGGGACTCGGGCTGGCCTGACCGGCACCGACAATGAGCTTCACCACCTGCTCAACACCACCAGCACCACCTTTTGCGGCCTTGGACATTTTGGCGACTCGACTGCAGGGACCTCGGGGAAAGTTGAGTTGTGTGGAGAACGGAAAGGCGATGCGGCGCGTCTGCAGTCGCGTGTTACACTTTCGAGGTCGGTCGGGTACTCTCGTTCGCGACAGCGGCAGCAACGGCGGCGGCGACGGCGGCGGGCGGCACCTCTCAAGCTGGGCCCAAAAAAAATCGGGCGCCGGGCCGACAACCGTCGCGGCCAGGGTTTCGTCAGCCACTCCTTCCTTGGGAGCTCCAGCCACACCCCACTTAAAGTGCTATTATTAGTCCCTTATCGCCGCTTATCAGTGCCGTCATTCAGTGCAGTGGCTTGACCCCGAGTCCTCGCTCTCCCACTTGGACCGATCATTGCCTGCCGCCTGCCCTGCCGCAAAGGTGCGTTCCAGCGGCTGCAAGTCTGCAAGGGAACTTTGCGAAACCCGAACCTGGAACCACCTGCATCCAAGTGATTGCAGACCCGCCTGTAGGGACCTGGGTCCAATCGTCAAGTCCTCAGGTGATGTGGAGAGATGAGCGGAACAAGTGACGTGCACCTTCAAGAGCCAGTGACTGTCTTTGCCGCTCGACTGCCACTGAGGGCCACGACTACGGGGAGCCCACAGGTACGTACTTGTAGGAGATTTGGGACAGACTGGGTTGCCCCTTCTGTTTTCCATTGGCCTTTATTTGAGCGCGGCGCCATCTCTGATCCATCTTTCTCGACGGCGGTGAATGACTTTAGTCTTGAACATCAAACTACCTGGAAAATTCTCACAACTAGACTCATTTTTGCCTCGTTGTTTTAGCTTCTTGCTTCTCTAATCTATACTCAACTTCCCATTTTGTCTATACCCCCAAACTCTTTCACCATGTTCAAGTGGGCGCAAGCGGCGTGAGTACTCCAAGCTCCCCAAACCATCCATGATACCACCCCCACCATCCGCTGGACGCAAACCTCTAACAACTTGCTTGTAGGTTGGCCAATGTCGCCGGCACCAAGGAGCCTATCTACGGCCCCGAGGCTATCAAGTCTGTCGCCGAGGAGGCCAAGACGACTCCCTATACCGAGACCACCAAGAATGACCTGAAATGGCAGGCCATGGAGTCTACTTGCGTCGAGACGCAGTGCTTCTACTTCATGACGGACAGCGGCCAGCTCGCCTTTGCCCAGGTCATCTACTCTAACGTTGCGTAAGCTTTCCCATCGCACCATCCGCCGTCCATGTGGCGCGCTCGGAAACTTGGGTCTCGTACTGACCTGATGACGCAACAGTGGCATCCGCACGACTTGCCAGTTCAACTCCAAGGTCTTCTCTCTGGATGGATCCAAGCCCCACCTCTGGTGCTCTACGCCCCTCAACAACCACGAGTTCAGCGAGGACAAGACCAGCTTCTACGCCACCGATTGCGCCGTCGAGCTTTCGGAAGATGGAAACTCGTACACAATCAAGTCGTTGAACGATGAAAGGTCGATCGTCAACGTGACCATCAAGAAGACAGCGCCTGGCTTCAAGGTTGGCACCTCCGGCACAACACTGTTCGGCACCGACCCTGCCAACCCTTGGGGTTCCATGCGCCACGTTTTCTGGCCTAGGTGTGTCGCCGAGGGCACGATTGCCACTCCGGATGGTCCCGTCAACTGCAAGGGACGCGCCATGTTCGTCCACGCTCTCCAGGGCATGAAGCCTCACCACGCCGCGGCCAAGTGGAACTTTTGCGACTTCCAGGGCCCCAACTACTCTGCTGTCCTGATGCAGTACACGACTCCCCCTTCTTACGGATCGACGGTTGTGAACGTCGGCGGTATCGTCAAGGATAATGAGATCATCTTTGCCGGCGCCGAGGGTGCGGTTACGCACGTTGCGATCAAGGGCGACACGGAGAACGACTGGCCCGAGCCGACCGCTATCAAGTTTGAGTGGAAGGGTGCTACCAAGGACGGCAAGCAGGCCGATGCTGTTCTAGAGGGCGAGCTCGAGGATAAGCTCGACAGGATAGACGTCATGGCTGAGGTGCCGGGATTCGTCAAGCAGATCGTCGCGGGTGCTGTTGGCACAAAGCCGTACATCTACCAGGTATGCTTTGCTTGCTGATCGGTCATTATTTTGGACTCTTGAACTGACATGGATATCATCTAGTACGCGCCACAAAAGAAGAAGCTCACTCTCAAGCTCAAGATTGGGGAGGAAGAAATTTCGGAGGAGGGCTACCTGTTCAGCGAGGCCACCTTCATTTCCGCATAAATCTGATTTGACGATGAAGAAGTAATGAGGGGTTTTCTGGGTAACGCGCCATATTCAATGAGGGCTGGTATCATGATTTGGAGTTGTTGAGAGATGCCGATAGAGGTGCTTGGTCAACTCGTTGGACTGTTTGTCTCCTGCATACTGTTTACAAGGACTCGATAATGTCTCGGTCTGGACAAGGAGCCCGCTTTGCATAGTGGATCTGATATAACATAACAAGGCTCCTTGAAGGGCCAGCTAATTTAATAAACTTGGATTGTTTTCCTGTGTCTGTGGTCTTTCAGTTGTGATTGTGTGATATGGCAGTTTGACTTGAGCATCCTCCTGTCTGTCACTCGTGCAGAGACCCCTCCCTATCTGGATATGAGCGACAGCTTAAGCTCACCCCATGCTGCTTTAATTGCACCCCTCTTCCATCCTAGCAATCGACCAACCTCGAACTTTCAAACGAGCCGGATAAATCGACTGTGTGCCCAGATATTTCAGCGGTGTGGAACCTGTCTGGCCAATGAGGTGTCATGAATTCCCCGGCGGCTCAACCACCAGCGTTCATTGTGATGTTTCTCACGATGCGCTCAAGAAGAAGATGATGGCCAGAGAGCCAGAGGGAGCAGAAGGCGATGACGGAAGAAAGCATAAGGCGGTTCGTCTAAAAGTTCAACTCCAAGAGCTGAAGGTTACGCCAAAGGGAGGCAAAACTAAAGCACAGCTACGGGGCTCCAAACTCAACAACCGCCGCCATCATACCGCCGATACCAGTGCGGAGCGCCCATGGAGATGCCCTCATCTATGCAGAATCTGAATGTCAATTGAGCGATTCGAAAAAAGGCCGTTCTGGTTCTCGTTGTCGTGGTTTGAAATGATGACTTTTGGTGAGCACTTGGGCATGGTTGCCGGCGCGCGCGAAGTTGATGCCAAGCTTGGGGTCTTGGCTTTTTGGCCTGAGCCTGGCTGTTAGTTTGTATGGCCCCATACCGCCGAAATATCTGGGCACACAGTCGATTTATCCGGCTCGCTTTCAAACGACTTTTAACCCCACTTCGCACATTCCCCCACACCAACTTCCACTTTGACGGCACGCCTCCGTCAGTTGCATCTGGCCCTGCAGGAGTGCCGCTCTCAGCTTTCATCTTCACCTCTTTTTGTTGTTTACTTTCGACATAGGCGGAGCGGCTTAACTCTCAATACTCGACATCATGCCGCCGACCATACCCTCGCGCGGCGGTCCTTCGGGACTCAAGCATCGTCACTCGGTGGGCGGTAAGTCCGTGTTGAGCGGCGCGAGTGGGAAGGGCAAGGGCAAGGGCGGCGTGGGCATCAAGCGCCACAGGTACGTCGACTTCCACTTCAGTTGAACGCGGGCTGAGCCCAGCACCAGCATCTTGACATGTCCGAAGAAGCACCGTGGACGACGATACACGATACACCCTCACCAGCCAAAAAACATTTACATTTACCCGAGTATACAATATACACTAACGAATTTCACTTTTGGGAAACAGAAAGATCATCAAGGATACTATTCGAGGCATCAGTGAGTTTCACAAACCAACCATCTACGATTCAGCACATCAACCATCAACGGCGTTGTGTGTCCGCTCTTGCACTATCATTCTCATCTAACTTCGGAGGATGGGAGTGAAAGTCGAGCGCGCTTCTTCGATTTCCCTTCGGCTCATCATCCGCGATCGAGAAACGACGGTTTACTGATACGTTCATGTTCTCTGTGCTTCAGCCAAGCCTGCTATTCGGTATGTACTATTCGAAACCGTGTTTATGTTGTCTATCTTGCTGCTTTTGTGCCATCTGAACATCTTTCCGATTTACCCGCCTCTTCATCTTTCTATCAGGTTCATGTCAGGTTCTCTTTTGGTCGCCAAAGCCCATGGACCGTGGTGGGCCGCTGCTGTTGTGGATTGCCTACCCTGCACTTTTGGCAGATGCATACCATGTCATCTTCCATCTTCACTTTGCTCCTTATCATAGGTCACAAAATCTTTGTACCTGCATCAGACAACTTTTGATCTTACTTTTACTGCTTTTATCTTGGCTCGCATTCATCAACATGTCTTCTCATTGTCTCAACAGGCTTTGTCTTAACACTTCAAGGCCTTTTCACATACAATCGCATCTCCCCTTCAACATCATCAGTCATACTACCTATCCCTCTCTTCACATAGCTGTCAAAACATCTTCAAAGAAAATGATCATGTAACTTAACACATTACAGACGTCTAGCCCGTCGTGGCGGTGTCAAGCGTATCTCTGCCGGCATCTACGATGACATCAGGGCTGCACTGAAGGAAAGACTTCAGATGGTATGCTTCCCAGCGCCTCCCTCTCTTCCTCTCACCTACCAAGACCCCACCACTAACTCACACTTATTACAGATCCTTCGTGACTGTGTCACGTACACCGAGCACAGGCACGCGAAGACGGTCACCGTCACTGACGTAAGTAGCATCAGCACCCTCAAGGGACACTGGAAAAGGTAGCAGCGGAAATATCACCAGATTAACACATCAAACAGGTGATTTTCGCCCTCCGCCGTGTTGGCAAACCCATCTACGGCTTCGACCCCGAGACATGGGAGCCTCCCGCGCGCGGCGCCCACCGTCGCGCCCTCATCCAGGGCGGCGAACAGGGCCGCGGCGGTAATCGCGGCGACAACGACGATTCGGACTAGAATACTCCGAAGTCAACGTACGACGACCACCTGGCCCGGGATGATCTTCAGATTGTGGAGGCGATGTCAGCAACGACGATAGCAACGGCAGAAGCGACAACGTCAAGTTCTCAGAGTCGAGGACCTGCACCTGCGCCCGCACCAGCCCCTGATATGGTACCGGTGCTTGCAAGAGGATTCAAACCGATCAACATCAACATGAATCATCGCATGCCGCCCATCGACCGACAGCATAAGCCATAATCTACAGCATCTCTCTCGATCTCCCCGCTGTCCCGGTGGTCACTACTCGTCAGTCACATACCTGTCACCCCTCCATACATACAAAAATCAAGGAATGGTGTATTTGCATAATACCCTAGTTGGTTTGGTTAAAACCCGGGGTCAAGCAAGAACTTCGAAGCGAGGAAAGACGGGGTCTCTTTTATGTTTTTGCTGGTGTTTTGCTCTTTTGTGAATGGAATGGATTCTTCATGTCATGTTCAGGCGTTTGTTGGTCTGGCAATTGTCTATGGGTTATAGGGATTCACGAATGAACTGGGATAGAAGATATGCGTCATTGTTTCACGAATGGTGATGGGAGTGTGACGATGGGGTTCAAAGTATCTAGCGGTTGTATGGACAGAGGTTGGTTGGTGAAACCAGTTGTCTATCGTTGTTAGGATGGATGGCTGTTTCATGCAACGATGCTTTCGAATGGAGATACCCTTCGTTTGTGCGAACGTCTAGCTTGTTGTGCTTCTTAGGGTTGTCTTTGAAAACATGCATAGTTTCTTTGAGGAGTATATAAGTTAAGTGAATATCATGAAGCACGTTGCCAGGTGATCATCAACGTTTTTTTGTCCGTCGTTGGCTCTAGGCGGATACCGCCGGTTGAACGTCCCCAAGCTCGGTGAGCGTCAGACCACCTTCCCAATTCAGACGTCACCTTTTTAGCCTGGCACAATAGCTTCTTGCGGATTCTTCTTTTTCCTTCCTTCTACCGAAGTCATAGTAACTTTGAAATATCTCACTTACCTTTGAATTTCCCACCGTGAACTTGACCTTCAACTTCCAAATCCTCACATTTGGACTTTTTGCGCCGGAAAAGTCACCTCACCGCCGACGCTTCCCCGCATAGCAAGCAGTAGCACAGCGCTAACCCCTCAACACCAAGCTTGGCATCACCATCACATCACCAAACCACCACCACCATCACCACAACTCAAGCTCAACTCAACGACACGAGAAAGAAGCAACAGCCGACAAGATGGCCACCTCCACAACCCCAAGAATCACAGTCCTAGGCTCCCTAAACATAGACCTAGTAGCCTACGTCTCCCACCACCCCCTGCCAGGAGAAACCATGACGGCCAACTCGGTCGCCGTCTCCCCTGGCGGTAAGGGAGCCAACCAAGCCGTCGCCTGCGCCAAGTTGTCCCGTTCCCACACCGCCACCACTTCTTCTTCCTCTCCCTCCTCCGCTTCTCCTTCTTCCGAAGGAGAAACCGCCCACATCACAATGCTAGGCACAGTAGGCGCCGACTCCTACGGCTCCCTCCTCAAAGAAAACCTCGCCAAACACGGCGTCGACGTCTCGGGCGTTCGCGTCCTCGACACCCCGGGCAGCAAAACGGGCATGGCCATGATCGTCGTTGACGAGCCTACGGGACAGAATCGGATCATTTTGAGTCCGGAGGCGAATCACTTTTTGCAGCCGGAGCATGTGGCTGATGTGGCGAACCTTTCTTCTGCGCAGGGGCAGGGGCAGCAGAAGCCCGATCTACTGATTATGCAACTCGAAATCCCCGTGCCTACTGTGCTCCAGGCGCTGAAGACGGCGAAGCAGAATGGGGTGCAGGTTTTGCTGAACCCGGCGCCGGCGGTGATGTTGCCTGATAGTGCGTTTGAGGGGTTGGCGCACTTGGTTGTTAACGAGACTGAGGCGGCTATTCTCAGCAAAGTAAAAGAGAGTGTGTTGGACACGGAGGAAGGGCTGGAGATGGTTGGACGGGTTTTTTTGGGGAAGGGGGTCAAGACGGTGATTGTCACTTTGGGTGGACGGGGAGTTTTCTTTATGACCTCGGGTGAGACTGAGGGGGGAGGAGAGGGAGAAAAGAAGAAGAAGGGATTGGTCAAGGCGGAGAAGGCCAAGGTGGTGGATACCACGGCGGCGGGTGATACGTTTGTGGGCATGTATGCGCTGGAGGTTGTCACGGCCAAGAGTAAGGGGGAGCAGTTTGATATTGAGGGCGCGGTGAGGAAGGCGAATAAGGCGGCGGCGAAGACGGTGGAGAGGGCGGGGGCGCAGGATTCGATTCCTTGGAGGGATGAGTTGCTGCTGTAGATGACTAGATGACTAGATGGGGGAGGGACGAGATGGGAAGGTTGTGGGCGCTGAAGATGGATGGACATGGAGCATTGATATGGAGTTATGTGTAGACCGGGGGGAGGAAGAGAAAAAGCATGATAGCATCACATTAACATTGCATGGTCTGAGATAATATACGGAATTGGGTGGTTCATTATTATCTATAACGAGGGTATCTTTCTCTCCTATCCAATTGTGACTACAGCTCCAACTGAGCTCTGCTCCCGCGCGAACACCTTGGCTCATCCATGTCCCTGAACAAAATCTATGTGGTATCTCGAAAGAAGGAAGGTTTGAAAGATCGGAGGATCTCAGGAGTGTAAAACGAAAGCAGAAAACATGCGAGAAAAAGCAAACAACCACCCCCTGTTTAACGCCTGTAGATAGGTATCCAAATGACTGCTGCCAACCAAGCCATTAAAACGAGTGGAAAATTAATCCCTTGAACCACCCTTTGCTGGTCGGTACCATATCCATGATGGTTCGTTCGTCCGACCACGACCACGAGCAACTCAATAACTGACCTCCAAAATATATCCCACTCGAAGCAGACAAAACATTCCATCCCCACCTAACTTCCACCTCCCAGCCTTCTTTTCCTCCTCCCTCCCTCTCCAATCTGGATCCAATTACCGCTTGTACTCAGCAACAACCCCCTCCAAACACCTCGCCGCCCTCCTCTCCCCCTTCCTAAACCCCCCACAAAACCACTCCGGCAACACCTCCCCACAATTAGCATTCGCATGCTCGGCCGCAAACCCGACCTCGGCCTCTTTTCCGCATTTCTCTCTCGTCAGTCTGACCGCTTCAACCAGCATATCTTTTCCGACTCCCCTGCCTCTATATCTCAGTTTCGTCGTCCACGCTCTGATCACGCCCCTTCCTCCCTTTAGTGATTTGGCAGAGAAGGAGTTATGTCGACTGTGGGACTTGCGCTGCTTGTTGGATGATGATGAAGAAGAGGGAGAGGAGGAGCGGGAGGAAGCGGGTGGTTCGAGACGCAGGACGAGAGCGCCGATGAGTTCGGTGCCGTAGTACGTGCCGAGCATGATATCCTCTTCTTGTTCCCCGACCACCTCGGCGGATGGGTTGTTCAAAAGCCAGTCCCAGGAGAGCGACTCGGCTAGTTTGATGTAACCCGAGGTAAAGTACCTGATGGTCATCAGGTAGGTCATAATTACTCCGGAAAGAAGCATGACGGTGGTGCCCCAGTCTGGTTGGGGGGCGAATTGGTAAACCACACCCAAAGCGGCGAACAGAACGGCGAGACAGGCGGGGTGGGTGATGAGATGGTAGGAGGCTTGTTGACGCTGTTGGGCAATGGAGTCGGCGATGAGCTTGAGGGCGTCGGTTTTGGCGGGGCGGGTGGTGAGGATGTCGAGGGTGAGAGGGGGGATGTCGTCGAGGTTTTCGGCACCGCTGGCGGCGACTGTTGGTGGTGCTGATGTCATGGTGGTTGATTTTGATTTTGGTTTGGAGGATTTGGTGGTTGAAGATGAGGATGAGGATGAAGATGGTGAGCGGGATAGCGGCGGTAGTGGTGGAGGAACGTAGGGCGCTAGGTAGGGAGTGGAGGGGTTGGAGGAGAGCCCGGAGTGAGGGAGGACGAGGTTGGCGCGGAGGAAGGTGAAGAAAGCTGGTGATTAATGATGTTAGAATTGATGTTGATGTAGTGATATCTTGAGTCGAGGAAAGTTGAAGAGAAGTTGAGAGATCTAGTGATGGTACATAACGGTTCCGAGGAGGTAATCACAGTGGACGATTATGAAAGATAAAGATTTGGGCCACGTGCAAATCGAAGAATAAGATTCAAGTTCGATTGACTCTTGAGTACAGGCCATAACTGTTGAATTTGGATATCGACGTGTTGAAATCGGGAAGTGAAGCACGTGTCTCTTCGACGGGCTGAGTCGCACTCTCGTGGTGTCTTGGCCGATGAACGGACCGGGGTATCGGGCCCCGCCGCCCCCGGAATTGTCCCCTGTTGACGGACCTCAGGCCGAGCCAAGAAATCCAGGCCCAAGCAGAAAAATTTCGGCCCCAAGAAGAACAAAACACAACCGAAAAGTGGCATCGCAACACTCGGCCTAATGGGGGATGTTCTCTCGTGATGCTGCTGAAAGACACAAAGCGAAATGTTCACTCACCAGCACTGGTCTTGAGTCCGGGCACGGCGTTGATCCTGTCAACCATCCGCGGGTGGCACTTGCTCAGGTCGAGCTCCGTGATGCTGGATGACATGTGGTGTGAGCCGTCCATGTTATTGGAGCGCTGTCGAGGCGTATTGATGGCGTTGCTGCTGGGATACGACTGCGGAGGCAATCTGAGCGGAGGCCGGCAGTGAACCGAGCTAGAGGACGTGTTGTAGGTAGAGGTGTTGCGCCTATAGCGTTGGCAATCCAGGGTATATATTAGCAGCCGTCAGGGCCTTCGTTGTGGGTGTCTTCATCAATGCCTTTCACCGTCCCTGGGTCGACAAGTTTGATGAAGCAAAATGTGCCAAACATGGGAGAGGACGAAAGGCAGACAAATATCGGGCGGTGAAATGTGCGTCGGGCTTTGTCTCATGGATCCCTCAACCTTATTACTCACCTAGACATTCTGGAGATGGTGTGGGTTTTGTGCGTGTGGATCCTTTGGGGGGAAACTTGAGGGCTGGGCTGGTCTTTTTTTTCTTTTAAACTTCTGAAGCAGATGCAGGCTGGATGACGACAGGAAGTGTATGTATACATATGTTATGTCGGCTCTCCCGCGATAGCCCGCAGCGACATGCTTGATATGTTCTACATGATATGCATATATAGGCCGATCCGTTGACGCTTGACGGCCATCATCACCTCATGTATAAGTGACCTGTGACACGAAGTAAGGGGGTGGTGTACGCAGAACCTTCGAGCTTCCCGTGACTAACAGGCTATCAGGCCTTCTTGACAGTGTCTGGAACGTGCAGAGCTTGTTTATTGTTGCATGTTGCTCCTTTGTCCAGACAAAGATCCCAGAGTTTTGGTCAGTGGTTGGGAACCAACAAGCGACGGAACCGATCGATGTCACGAAACTGCATCTGCATGGCTTCCATGTTCGATGGCGCGATAAGAGGGAGAGACACAGGCCAATGGTTTTGACATATTTACAAACTGCAAGTCAGTCTGCCAACCGCATGCTCCGGATTCCAAAATGTCTGGGCCGTGTGCCGTCAAGTTTGCCGAAATGGCGGCAAGACGGCAACACCACTTTTCTCAGAATAAACGAAGCCAACCAGTTGATGTGACAATGTGGGGGGTTCAGTGCGACAGTTCCAAACTTGGACTGGTATGGATGGGCAGCGAGGTTCGGCCGATGCCATGTTAATGGCCTTTTTCATGTTTCGTCCTTTTTCTGCTCGTCTCTTTGGCTGCTCTCAGTGGTCTGAGAGTCTGTTTCGAAACCCGAGGGGAAAGAGAGCAGATCATCACGAACGGCACATGGACAGACGATCAGGAACACGACGCTCGATCATTTCCTCGCAGAGTGAAGCGGAGGTCAGAGCAGGTTGCCAAAGTTGGCTCGGTAAACTAAGTTGACATATTTTGTCACAGGGATTCTTCGCGCGAGCTTGGAAAGAGGGGTTGTTCAGGTTTTTGGTGCCCGTGATCGTGATAGAGATGCAGCCCGTGATGGGTTTGCTGATAGCGTAGAACCATGGCGTGGGTGAGGTGTTTATGGATTGTTGATGGATGCCGCCAAGTCTTGTGTTCCGAGTATTCGGATCCCCAAGGAATCTCGGCTGGTATCGATAGGGATGATGTCGACGATTCGGGACACAGCATTGAGAAAGTTGAGTGGTGTTGGTGGGTTGCATTTTCTGTGATCTCTATCAATCTCTGAGGCTGTCTGTCTGTCGTTGAATTTGGCCATGTTAGCGGCTGTAGGGGAGTGCCCCTCCAACGACCCCTCATCGGCCTGTTGAACCCCACTATGTATCACACTCAATCTCAAACACGGCGTGCATCGGCTTGCCTCATGTAAAACATTTCGCAAGGATGAAGTAACCCCGGCGTCGGCGTCAGCTTTGTTTTGGATTCATCGTAGGGTTATATATCGAAACTTGCTCAAACGAGGGCAAAAGATGTGTAGATAGTACACTCGTAGATAGTATACTTGCATTTGGAGGGATGGTCTTTGTTGATGTTGACTCTGCTCACCCTGCTGAGTGAAGGCGCTGCTCTCATTCCCCGCCGTAAGCAGTCCCGTCCGGCAGGAATCCAGGATAAGAAAAGGTCGCAAAGGTGTGTGTCTTGATGCAGTATCACATCCATCGAACCTTGGAAGCGAAAAAGAAAATATTGTATCCCAGATGATCGATAGCATTGTACTGTCTTCAAGTACGGTACTGCCGATTCCCAATGAACGGGCTGATAAGGGCCGATATGGTTGACGGTAACATGGAAACCAAGACAAATTTGGAGGAGACGGGGACCAAATTTCTATAAGCAACTTAGCTCAAGTCATCGAACCTGATCCTGCTTTGTTGTTGAATTGTTTCAATCTGGAATGAAGGGAAGGGACAAGTTACATTACTGAGCAGTCTCCGGCTTGACTGTTCTCTTCCTTCCGCCGTTGTCGGGCCCGGCCCCGTCTTCTCGCTAAACTGTGGGGTCAGGGCTGTGGATGCCCGGGCGGGGGCCGTGACTGCCCGTGCCCGGGAGGCCTGTGGGGCAAGTGACCCGCTGTCTTCCGTCGTCTCGTGGAATTCGCGCGACATTCACCATGACACCAAAACCACTTACCAACTCGCGGAAAGGCCGAGCACCAAAGAATCAATCGCCTTTTCTTCAAACATCAACTACCGGCACGCATGAGGTGGTCATCGCAATCGACGTTTCTTATCTCGTCTTTATCGTCATCAAGTTCCGGGTAAGCAAGTTCCGGAATACAGGACTTGGCCACGCCGTGAAGTGGTAAAGTCCTCCAGTCCGATATCAGCCCGGTGCTTGTACGACAAGACGTCATATCAATCCCAGCTGAACATGGACCGAAGGGTCTCGACAAGATGAAGGGGCCGATTCTGCCTTGCAAACAGCCTTACTCTCTCTTCCGGCAGGCAACGAGAGTCTGGAATCTGAATCATCAACAAGGCAGATCGACCTTCATGATCACGAGTTCCTACACATTTTCAAAGGACTTTGTCGATGCAACTGTACCTTAACGCCACCATCGACTATTGAATCCCGATTATACTGAACTGGAAATGCGGCAGCGAAAAAGGATGGAATGGCAACTGGCCTTACCCACGAGGGACAGCAACTTGACAGTCCATGGCAGTCCATGGCATTGTCCAACGTTACGACTTGACCATGAAGGTGCCTGCCAAGATCACTTCCAACCGTCCTGTCAGCTGTATTGCCTGCCAATGATCAAGATGCCATCTGCACTCAAGTGCCGTCCAAGCCACGCCGGTTGGACATCCACCCTCCCATCATGAACCCCTCCACAGCCAAGACAACATCTTCAAGGAGGCAGCCAATCCGCCGTCTCCTTCCGCCCTCATTTGGGCCTGTCACCGCCCTCCATCTGCAGCCATGGACGATACAAGGTGACCAGCCCGATCAAAATGTGTGGCTAGTGACCAGTCGAGCCAGTCAGAGTCGCTCTCACAGACGGTCCAGCCCCAGCAGAGAGTCCAGAGCAACTCAACTCCCAAGTCCTACGAGTGACCCCGGTTCGCCAACCGCAAAGTCCTAAGAATGATGGCGTACCACTGGCCGACAACCTCACTTTGCTGAGCTGGCTTGTCATTAGCTAGGCTTTCCACTTGCTTGCCCTGTCCGCCGCACTGAATACCGAACCTCTAGCTTTCTAGGACCTCAACCACAACCCGCGCGCCACCGCGTAATCCCGTCGATCCGGCTCTTCTTTCACAACCTTACTTCTCTGGCCAATGCCCCTGCTTGCGATCCCGTCTGCATTATAACAAACAATGTGTGGCGAATGATTTCTCAGATGACCGTGCCTGCGTCGTCTGTTCTTTCACTTTCCTAGAGAGTATCGTTCCTGGTATCGCCATCAGGGATCCTCGTTGCTGCTGCCGCTGCTGTTGTACCTACTTGCCTACCTACCTTTGTCCTGCAAGACATCAGTACACGTAGGAAGATGAACGACAAAAAGCCGGCGCCGTCTCTCCTGGACGACGATTCCTTCTCCTTGACATCCTTCATCACTGGATACACGTCTTCTACAACAAGAACGCTATCGTCATATCATCCAAGCCAACATCAAATCGGTGGGGATTCACAAAGCTTATATCAGCCCTATGGGGCCCATGCTTCTCCCTTTCATCCCATCTTGGACCCGAATTCGGTACCTCAACCACAACCACAACAACAGCAACCCGAGCATCAACAAAACCATCAACATCATCGTGAGCAACTGTCGTGTGTGTATGTTTTTTACTTTTCCTGGTCCCGCCGTACTATAATTTGGGGTTAGGTCTCGGGGCTAAGTGTTCATTCTAGGACCCAAGAAACTCTCCGCCAGGACTGTGCGCAGGCCAGATTCATCATATGGGCTGCCGTAAAACGCAACCTATGTCCAACATTAAAAGACGAAGAACGTTCGAAATGCCCGCTCCACAAGTGCCAACTGCTGCTGAGCGACCACGAGTCAATGCTCAAGCACCTGGTTAACTGCAGGTATCTTTCGACCGGAGAGTACTGGTGTCCTCAGCATAACCGGGTCGAGCGTTTTGACGACGTCAAGTGCAAGCGATGTCTCAGCCATCCATCCAAGAGGAGGAAAATGTTGTTCATGGCCAAGAAGTTCTTCCACGGATTAGGTCACAAATCCAAGAGGGGCCAGGATTCCGGTTTCGATGTTGACCATGACTCCAGTGCGCCGCCGCCTTACGATTCCTTGAGCGTTGCCCCGGTCGATCAGCCGATTATGGTGCAAACTCAACCTACCGAACTGGAATCGGTTATGAGATATGAAATCGACTCAGTCGAGGTGTCCACCGTCCATCAAAATCCCGAGACAGGACCTGAAGCCGGTATCGACCCGCAGGCACTTATGGTACCCGCCCCATCCGTGGTACTCACCTCGCCCCAGACCTTGCCTGGGATACCTGAGATGCCCGAAATCCCCGAGCTCGAGTGTACCGAACCATCCCATCTGCTTCTCTCATCTTACCAAAGTCTTATGGGGATGAACTGGGAAGGCTCAGGGGCTTCCCATTCAGTATCGCCATTCCCCTGTACCTTATCGGACGATGCTTCGGCGCGCAGCAGTCAGAGCAGGCCGAGCCTTCAAGTCAATACTCAGGGTCTGCCGGGACGTCGCCACCCACCACGGCATATTTCCAGGCCTGCTGTAGCACCATCCCGCAGCCATGGTCTATCCCCTCAGTCATCCGTCAGGTCCAATGCGAGTGCGGATACCATCTTTACCACCATGAGTTCGACGCTGGTGTCCCCGGTAACGGATTACAGCGAAGGATTAAGCTCTGACATGGCTTGGTCAGTCAACGATACCAAGATGACCGATGAGTTTGACGAGGTCGTTGAAACATTCTACAATGCGTCGTTCCCCAGCATCCTTGATGGACTAGCTGAACTCCCGGCAGAATTTCCTGTTCCGCAAATGCCGGATAATCTCCTATTTGCCATGGAGATGCCATCGACAGACTCGACATATCCAGCTCAGCTTGACCTGACAGCAGACGATCCTATGGACATAGTCGAGCCTGACCAAATCGAAGTCCAAAATGACAACATGTGCAATTCCGAGGTCGAGACGATGATTTTGTCAGCCTGGGATCTCATTCAGGAACATCTATCTGCGTCGAGACAAGCAATCCAAGATATCCCGGATAACCCCCTGGCTAACCAACTCCGAACGATGTCATCCAAAGAGATAGCGCTCACTGGTTTACGAACACTTCGACAGATGCTTCAAGGGGAGCAACCTTCGTCGTCAATGGATTTTCTCTGCTTGATACACGTCATATACGCTTTCAACTTCGTCACTCGGCAAGAACACATGGAACACGACGCCAAGGAATTATTCTTTCAGTCTCTGGCTTACGAAAACCTACTCCCAACCAATGAAGGAGATGTGTACCGTCAACTGGTGTATCAAATTTTGGAACCATCGGGAATCACGCCTGGGGATCTCGGTAACTTTTGTGCAAAGTCCTCTGCTGTGCCCTTGAGCAGATCATCTAGTCTGAAAGGCAAAGCTCCCACAACTAGGTTAGATCTAAGCAGCACCGATTCGGATACCCTTCTCGTCGCAGGGTGCCGCTTTTTGGATGGTAAGTGAGAATGTCCATCGGGTCTCCAAACAGCCAAGCTAACAAAGACTACTAGAACTTGAAACCTCCATTGTCTTCGGTCAATCATCACACTCGCTCGGTATTCACAACTCTGAACTCTTTAAAAAGCATCAAGAGGTCCTTATGTTCTCCATGAACCAAGGATTTTCAGCGGATGTCACGAAGATGCTATGTGAACTGGTCAATCACAACGGAGATTTGCAACTACTCATTGGTAAGCTCGATGAAATCAACACCAAGGTCCGCAACGGGGTCATCTGCTCTGGTCGACGCCTTGAGATCGAAGTGCTTCACGCTGGAAAAGTAAGTGTTATCTAACCTCCCAACGACCATAGAAACAAATCATGCTAACGAACTGATCAGGAATCGATGCCCGCCAGTCGCTACTTTAGTGACTATCTCCCCAAGGTATGGGAACTATGCGACGAGATCTACCTCAAGTACTTCGGAAGCGTCAACGATCGTGCAGTATACCACCAACTTGGCATATCAGTAATCGAATCCATGATATCGGGATTCGATAACACAACAGGTCATCCAACAGTAACTGCCGAAGAACACCAAGAAGAGCTAGCCCGTTTCCTAAAGGACCACACGGATATCGGCAAGGTCTCCACGGAAGTTCACCGCAAACTCTCCGTGCCGACAATGACCCTCACCCCTCCCGAAACTATTTACAGCTCCCACGTCGCCAGCCCCACAGCTACTTCCGGACCGCAACAACCACAACAACAACAACAACTCCGCCAACAACAGCGAAAACAAGCTTCTCACCTCATGGAAATACCTTCCGAAGACCAACCCCCAGCCACCACCACTACTGGTCAAACCCAAAAACCCGACTCCGACCCCCAATGCCCACCCCAGTGCCACCTCTGCGACTACCGTCCCAACGGCGACCCGCGCTGGTTCAAGGGAAGCATGGCCAAGCACATGAAAGTGAAACACAGCGACCAGCCCGACCGGATTTTTCCCTGTACCTTTCCGGGGTGCAAGAGCCAGTATAAGAACCGCCCGGATAATTTGAGGCAGCATCAGATTGAGAAAGGACATTGGGTTGAGGGGGAGAAGGGGTGGAATAATGGGGGAGGAGGTGGTGGGGGGAAGAGTGAGAGGAGGCCGAGTAAGAAGAGGAAGAAGGGGGTTGAGGGGGAGGGGGAGGGGGAGGAAGGGGGGTGAGATTTTGATGGGGGAGTGATGGGAACTAGGCTGGATGGATGGCCTTGGGGAGATAGGTGGATGATGATGAGTTTGGATTTGATGGCGGTCAATGATTCTGGTTATCACGATGAGTGAGCGCACGACGACGACGATCTTAACTTTTTTTTTTTTTTTTTTTTTTTTTTTTTTTATATATATATATACACGTTTTGGGTCGGGATTGATAAGTCGACTTTTCACGATATACAACGGCGTTCGTTCGGTTTAGGACTCCGGGAACTGGGACTGGGACTGGGACTGGACTCCCATATATATATATACAGGACTGCAGAACAGGACATACGACCGCTACATCTTTGGGTCCGGTCCGGTCTGGTCAGTACAGACATTTTCTATTTTCTCTCTTCATTTGTGTATAGATACCATTTTTGCATGGCAGGCATGGAGTTTAGGGGGGTTTGGGTTTGGGTTTATCAGCCTCATCGGGTCTGGCTCCCGTCTGACCTAAAGGATTTTTGTTTGGGTGTTGTTGGTTACAGCACATTCAGTTGTGCAGGCAGCAGCAAGTCTAGCAGCTGCGCCCTCAGAGGTACCTTATTTGAGAAGAATAATCAAAAGCTGGGAGCCATCACCGGGTCCGGTGTGATGACGCGCTTGGCTACTTGACACACATACATACTGCTTTTCATTTCATCGTGTTTGAACAAAGTATGATTTTGGAAAGTGCGAGTCCACAAGGAATGAGGTAAGAGCAACCCCCGGCATGTTCCCATACCTACCTTAGTCCGATCTTCTCGTGTCCGCTCTTCGGACAGAGCGGGCAGTCTTCACTTGGCTCCTTCCCTAATTAGGTACCCAGGTGCTCGCTCCCCTCGAAGTGAAAGCGACTTCCAGAGCGGGCAACCAGCGAGCCAAACAATTGCAGTTGCCTCCAGCTACCTTACCTTTTCTTTCAGTTTGGGCACGTCCAACTGAAGCTTTTTTTTAGCTTGCTGGGTCGGTTGTCATACAAGTAAGTCCCTTGATGAATCTTACCACTTTGTCTGTCGGCGGCAGATATTCGGTTTTGGCGTAGCAAGAAGCAGAGTTGTTTGACTTCAGTTGGTGACCTTCCCAAAGGAGAATTAGTACGTGAAGGAAATATCCCGTCTCCCGATGATCGTAGGCATGATAAGTGCCCAAGATCGCAATGACAAGACAGCACAGCACGCATAATGTAGACTAGGTATATGATGAACATGACAGACTTCCGCCCTCGGACCTTACAGTCCGGGTCGGTATATCTCACTACACCGGCCTTGCACACGCAAACTACACATATACATACTTCGCCCTCCCTGTGGGGCATGTGATCCTGCTGCCACTAATAAGCCCTTATTTACATTGCTTCCCCCTTTGACCGTCCCTTTCATCCTATCTTGACAACCACTAGGTCTAGGGGTATATAGTCCACCTTACTAACGTTCCCTTCCGTGGTCTGTTAGCACATCCATCCGGGAGTAATGCGGGAGAGCTCTTCGTGAGCTGTTACCAAGTAAACTGGAAGTTTGCCGGTTCGAGTCCAGTGCGGGCCACTTCTTTTTTTTTTTTTTTCTATTGCCCCCTTTTTGGTTTTTTGGTTTCGGAAATATTTTCTCGATGGTGTTTTATGGTGTGGTGTGGTACCTCTAGTCTAGGTAGGTACCTTAGGTAGGGATATCAATCAATGTTAGTTACATTTCAGGTTGTTTGTAAATAGTGCAGTGACATCTCGTCGTGTGATCTTCATGTTGGCTTATAGTTCAGTTGAACTACCTGTTAGGTTGAATGGGTGCGCCGAAATTCTTGTTCCTTATTACAAGGTTTTTTGTCGCATTCGGTCGGCATTTACAAGTTCGATTCATATGACTTCCCATCTTACATTTCCTCGTGAGGGTGCATGTCTCGTTGCTAGATAGATGTCCATCCTCCCTCAGCTCAAGTCAACGGCATTCTTCAGAGTTCAGAGTTCAGAGTTCCTTTTCCAAAAATCTACACCTACAGGCAAAGGTCCCAGAAGGTACATCATGACCAACGGTTTTTTTTTTTTTTTTTTTTTTTTTTTAAGTTAATCGTCAACCACGAAACCTACTACGAAAACACCTACAAAACTAACCATCAATCATCACACAGCTTAGGTTCCCCCTTCCTCCGTCCCTAGTATACGCTCTCAAGGATTCACATACCCAGGATGAATCCTCCCCCATCCATCCGCCTGCACCACATTCAACTCCTTCATCATGCCATCAAAATCCCAACCATCATCACCCACACACCGATCCAAACACCTCACCGTAATCGGCCAGTTACTTTTGAGAAACCTCAGCGTGATCTCCGCGTTCTCTTCCCCTACCTTGGCCCTGATCTCGTCCTCGGTCACGGCCGGATTGGCCCCGTTGGTCAGGTGCACGCCGCACGTCTTGCAAAAGGTCTTGCACATGAATTTTTTGAGGCAGGCGTACGAGGTGAGGTTGGAGCGGGATTCGGGGGTGAAAGAGAGTTGGTCGGGGGAGGAGGGGTAGATCCAGATGTAGCCGCCCTTTTTTTTGGTAGTTAGTATGGGTGGTGGAAAGGTAAAAAGCAAAGGTGGGAAAGGGGGAAAGAGGGAAAGGTAAATGATGGGAGGAAGGAGGAAAAAGAGACAAGAAGACGGACGTACCCGCTGGCAAATACTACAATTACAATCAAACACCCTCTCCTTGTACGTCTTATCCAGTGGCCCTTTAGTCTTGACCGCCACCTTCACGGCACCGCAGTGGCAAGAGCCATGGTAGACGACCCCGTTCTCGACTTCGGCCGTGGGTTCGGGACCGTCGAAGGGGGCGGGTTGGTAAGGGGGTGGGATGCTTTTGCCGTCGAATCTGTCGCGACGCGAATCGATCGATGCATCGATGTCAGTCAACAGTCAGGTCCCTCCAACAATCCAGTGAGTCTTATCAGAGGGTAAGTAAGGTCTTAGGTTCAAACTCACTCCTTAATCTCCAAATCCCAAATCTTCAACTCCTGCACAGCCCTCACGTTCACCCAGATCCGCCCTTTCCCATTTTCTTCTTCCTGCTCCTCCTTCTCACAAGAAACAGCATAAACCCCCGTCCCACACACCTCACAAAACTTATGGTTCTTCGTCCCCTTCGGACCCGTCACATAGTCGGTTAGTTTTCCTTCGTCCTTGACGACTTCGAACTTGTGGCCCTTGGTGGTATCGGGGATCACCCAGAGGTAGCCCTTTTTGCGGCAGATGGAGCAGTTGCAGGATGCTGCGGAAACAATCTCGGGCACGAGGAGGGTGAAGATGAAGGCGCCGCAGTGGCAGTTGCCGCGGTAGGATTTGAGGGGTTGGGAGTCGGAGGAGGTGGAGGTGGACATTGTGGGTGAGTTGGGGATGGGTTAGGTTTGTGAAATGGTTGATATTAAAGTTCGTGACGGATGTGGGTTTGGTGATGGATAGGGGTTTGACGTAGGGCTGAAGAGGATAGTTTGAGGATATAAGATCAAGATTGACTCGAGATTGCGTGATCTTCTCTTCAAGACCTTGATATATACCGGGACGACAGGCACAACTCCTTCAGTCGCTCAATGTTCCTCAAAACTACAACCTCTTCGAGTCTCAAATACCAAGAACCACGGGCAGGCGCCACCTAGGCAGCATCGGCAGCCAACACCCTTGTGGATGTATGTCAGCTTCGGTCTACCACAAGAGGAAACCACACAGCCCCGCTTTCACATCACATTATTTTCAATCTGCCGCACCCCTTTGATGTTGATGTTTCGGATGTTCAGTGGATTTATGCACGATGTATCTTGAAAGGCGTGAGGGGTTTAGGCAGGACGGTGTCCCAGTGTCAACCCAGCCGTGATGGGCAGTAGATGATGAGCCACGTTAATGATAGAAACGCGAGACGTGGTTCTCACACACACACGTCCGCAAACGCCCCGCATCACGAACACGCGTGTAAACACGGTATCAGGTGATTTTGAAATGATAGATCACGGATGACTCAGCCCTGCAAAGTGTTGGTGATTGATTGACTGAGGGGTCGTGAGGGCGGCTGACAGTCTGAATGATCTGTTTCCCGATTTGTTATCGTGGTCTGCTGTGATAGGTGAGTTAATGACCCCTTGTTGTGGTCAGAGTTGCATTCAACCCGTTTTATTTTTAAAGGTTTGGTGTCAATGGTGTGGAGTTGTTGAATGGCTGTGTATCAATTCTTTAGATGGTGAGCCTTCTGCTGTGTCGAATTAGATCTTGCCTTCAAAGTGATCAACGGCAATGATTCCCTTGATTTTAAGTGATTTAGCGTCATGGTGTTGTTCTGCCATATGTGTAGGTCAGTGATGACGGAGAGGAAATCTCATTCGCAGTGTCACCGAGGAGCGAGGACCTCCGCTTGGCCCCCACGCCGAGAGCAAAGGCCGGGGTTTTAGCGCCCGTCAAGGCGGAGCAAAGTGGAGCCATTCCCGGGCCGGAACTCGGACTGTGGACCCCTGAGAGGCCCCATCACCGATTATAGCGTGGGGCAATCACTCCGGCCTGCCCGACCTGCCGACTGAACCCAAATTGGAAGTATCGAATTCTTGCTAGTGGACGACTGGTGAGGATTTGGGCATCCACATGACAAGTGACGGACCGTGACAGAGCCAGGTCGCTTCACTGGCGTCGGTTGTCTGTTTTTGTGCCTTCAGCATTCCCTACTGCGGGCGGCTTTTGTAGGCGCAAAATGTCGGTAATGAACATTTCAAAACCCATGGTCAGCTGATCCCACTCGACTCGTCAGGTGATTCTCATTCAGGGGTTGAGATGGATGTTTTACACTTTCAATGATGTCGGCGAGATTCCTCCGAACATGGTGGGTGATGTCGGACCCGGGCAATACCCTTCGCATGAATAATGACAGGCTTCCCCGCAATATGGTGAGTTGGAAGGCCGAAGGAACTCGGAATCTTTAGCTGGATAGACTCAAATCCATACGTGGATAGACTAAACTCACTTCTTTTGGGCGCCCAGCCGTAAGCCGCGCAAAACCTTCTGGGGCGTATTACCAAATCCACGATATTTATAAAATTATTCAGTATCGTCAATCCAGTCAAGCTGTTGATACTGGTGTCGTCGCCTACTATATTGCTATCTCAAACGCCCGCGCTGCCTTAGTCCGGGTGTTGCACGTGAAGCCTTCGCTGTTAGTACTGCTCATTGTGTAAGTACCGGGGAGGGTGCTGGAAGTTCGCCCTCTACGCCCCCTACTCAGCTCACCAAAAGTACTTGGCACTTGGGGTGATCCCATAACAATAGAGACGACGACAATGATAACGAGATCATTAACATCGACAGCGACAGCGATAGCGACGGAGATGACGATAGCTTCGAATGAATTGCAGCATGAAAAGAGGGCGCGTATAAATGCACTTGGCTAGCGATATGGTGAGGTTGATGGGCGCCGCGCGGTTGGGAGCCAGAGATTGGCTGGGCGCCCAGAAAAGTGGATTTAGTCTATCCACGCATGGATTTGAGTCTATCCAGCTAAGGATTTCGGAAGGAACTGCGTACTTGGGGGTTGGGGACGGCCTGGTGTGGAGCCTTTTTTCAACCCCTTCTCATTAAAGAGGGGGAAAAAAAATTATGGGACAGCAAAATATTTATGGGATAGTGCTGGTCCGCCCAATGTAAAAACGCTAGTTAGCGCCCTACAAAATCGCTCTTTAACATCGTAATTTCGGACAACCACTACGCCACATTGCGTATTCGAATCCTACGTTTCTCGCTGTAAAGTTACAAAATAGTAAGCAATCTATATATTTATAGATTAATAGAAGTAGTCGTTAACCTACGGAATATATAATGCCTATTAATTTCGAAATAAACCTCTGTAAACTACCCGCCGGGTATAGAAGCGCCTATATATATATTAATGCCCGCTAGTAGTTCGAACGCTTTCGAGCTAGTACTTTAAAGAAGGCCCCCTCTATTAAGGATATTACTATTATTACTAGAGAATTTTGAAGCTCTATAATTCGTTATATTAAATTATTGGAGTAATAGGCGAAATTGGATATTTTATTACGTATGGTAGGGAGGCTTCGTATATTAATTAATGTAGAAGAGGATACTTTCGTCGTTGTCACGGGTCTACTAGGTGTGCACGGCAGTAGGGATGGAATAGAGCTTGAAATTATTAATAAAGGGGAAGAAGAGGTCCTACAAGCCCGGCTAGGCTGGAAGGACACTTATATATTAGAAGCCTAGCCAATTAGGGGGCAGGCAAATAAGCGGGTCTACAAGCCTTATTAAAGTCTATAGCTCTAGCTTATAGCTAGGCTCGACCTTTGAGCGCCAGTCCCTTACAGTCGTATATATTATATTTTACTTCTAAAGAAGATTCCCTATATTATATAATATAATCGTATCGGTTATTAATTACTTACGCTCGTTACTGGGTATTCTAACTACTTATAATTTATAATAATTAATATAGTTCCTTAAAAACTATCTAGAATTTAAAACTACGATTTACTGTATTATCAAGATTAAATACCGCTTTTAAGAGTTAAATGAAGAGTATATTAACAATTAAATTCGATTAATATAAAATTATAATTAAGAAGTACGAGGTTATTAAAGGTAATATTTAGAACTATAATAAAATAGGTATAAGACTTAGTTACGTAGCGGGCGGGCGCGTAAGGGTTATTATATTGAGAGAGTTAGCGAAATAGAAAGTAAGTTAGCGCTAATTAATTTATATAGGGAAAAATACTAATTAATCTTTTTATAGCCCGAAATTAACGATATAGTAAATTGAGAGTCGGCTACTTTTATAATTAATATAAGCGCAACTAGTAAATTTATCCCTATTTATATAATTCTTAAAATAGACCTTACTAAGGACTTTATTGCTAATAAATTCGATAAATATATTCCATTTACTAAATTACTAACCGGCTTCTCGAACGCCGAACTTATATTAGATTAATTAAAATATTAAAACTAGCACTCCTTCTACCTCTCCTTTACTTTTATAAAATTAAGGGAAGAGGACGGTTATAAGCTAGGAGGTAGAAACGACGACGAGAAAGAGAAAGGGTTCTCTTTTAAAGATTGGTTTAGTTATAACTAATATAGAGTTGATTACTTTAGTAGAAAATTTGAAGATCCTTTATACAGTATTAATTTAAAAAAGTTCTATAAATTAATTTACTATCTATTAATTATTAATTGGTTTAGTAGTTATTATAATATCGAAGTTAAATAGCACACTAATACTTTTAATATTATTTTAGTAGCCTTACTTCCCTATTTAATATATATAATACAACTTCTTAATATTAGTATATTTTCTTTTATAAAAGCCTACTATTAGAAGGTTTTAAAATAATTCGTTTAGCGGAAAGAATATAGCTTTATTCATACTACCTTCGTTAAGGAATTTAAAATTAATTATTACCTCCCTTCCCCGCTACTTCGTCCCTATTATTATTATTTCGCCTCTATACTAACTATATTATCCCCGACCTTTTAACGTATCCTCGATAATAATATAATTACGTATAGTATTTACAATAGCTTCTTTAATATTAGGATATAACTAATTAACTGGACGAGAATCCTATTCCAAATTCAAATAAAGTAGCCTAAGAAATTTAACCCCGCCCTACCTTCGATATTCTTTAAAGAGGATTACTTTATTAAAACTATTAAAGTTATTACTTATATTAAAAATAAATACTTCTATATTTTTAATTCTCCTATTCAATAACGTTATCCCGCCGCCGAGGTCGTTATTTATAAGGAACTTCTTATAAATAATAATATTCAAATATGCAACCGTTAAAATAGGAAAAAGGCCGCTAATCTAGACTGTAAAATAAAGCGGCGGGTATATAAAGTTCTTAGAAATAGCGAATCTTTAAATTTCTCTAAGGGAGAATTCAATTAAAGAGCTATAGAGAAATAATAAAAAGAATAGATAATAGAGGAGAAAAAGTAATTAAATGCCGTTAAAGTATATAATAGGGTAATTGAGAAGGAATTATACAAATAATAAATTAAAAATCCTAATAGTAAAGTGAAGGTTTATTAGAATATTTACTTCGATAATTAGAAGAAAGTATAAGGGGCTAGCGCCCAGAGGTCGAGCCTAGCTGCAAGCTAGAGCTATAAACTTTTAATAGGGCCTATAAACCCGCTTACTTACCTACCTCTTAATTAATTAAGCTTCCAATATATAAGTATCCTTCCAGCCTAACCGGGCTTGTAGGACCTCTTCTTCCCCTTTATTAATAATTTTAAATTCTATTCTACCCTTACTACTATTTATACCCAATAAACCCGTAATATATTATTAACTCTCTTTTTTAATACTTTTTAAACCTTTCTACTCGTTTACATAAGAGAGCCACGACCGTCTATACAATTTCTTTACCGTACTCAACTTTTTCGTTTTCTTTACTCTACTATAGCTTCTATCCCTTAGGCCCAAACTACTAACGAAAAATAATAATAATTTACTATAGCTATTCAATCTCTAATCGACTAATTAATTAAATTTAAAACTTCCTAATTTATAATTATTCCCCTTACTATAATTTTTCCTTACTAACTTAAATTAATCCTTCCCTACCTAATTAAATTTTTTAAAGAAAACTCAAATCTCAATACCTAATTCTACACCGCCGAAGCAAAACTCTATATTAATAATCTAACTATTAATAATCTAGAGGCCTAATTTTATTACTTCTACTCTAGCTTTTTACCCTCTATTTAAAAAACCCTTCTTTCCTTTACCTAATAACCAACGAACCGTTTACTAATAAAGCTACTACAAAAACTCCGCTAACCCTATAGCAAAACGAATTCCAATAAACATACGGCCTAAAAATTCCTCGAAACCTTACAAGCCTAAAACGAAGCAATTAAAATATTCCTCCTCTATTTTAATAAAATCCTCGACCGAACTTAAAACGACTAAATAATAATTTAAAATAGACTTTTCTCATAGGTAATGTAAATAAAGAGTAGCGAATAAAATTGAAGGAAGAAATAAACGTTCTAGAAGGCTTCGAAGCTCTATAAAAATATTTCCGATATTTAAATAATAATAATTATTTAAATGATACTATAAATACCAAGAATCCTATATAAATCGGTACTATAAAGATATCCAAAACTATAAAACGCAATTATTTATTTAAAGCTTCTAATTCCAACTTTAGGATTACCTTTAAATAATAATAACGTTAGAAGAAAGAGAACCGCTATATAAATTATAATTCCTAAACGTACTAAGCAAAAGCATACCCCGTTAATAAAAATAAAGGTAAAGGTAAAGCCGCTATGCAATTATATAGTATATCTATTAAACCGGTTAGGGATTTTAATAATAATAAAATCTACGATAATTACGAATAGAAATTATTTAGAGAAGTTAAAAATTAACCTGAAAATACTATAATTAAAAAAGGGTTAAATAATATATATAATATATTACTGGTTAAAGGGGCCAGCTAACCCAAACCCGGCCTTATGGGTTCCCTAGACCTAATTAATAACCTTTATAATAAGCGATATAGGGTTATAATAAATTATAATATATAATTACAACTACTATGAAGAAAAATCGTCTAATTGCTACCCTACAAGCACAAACGGTAGAAACTATATTAAATTATTCTATTGAAACCTCGTTACCCACTTAAAGAAGTTGCGGACTATCGACTGGATAATATAATTACCGGCAATGCTCTAAATAAAATAAATAAAACGAAAGCTTATACGAATAGATAGGACTAGGTTATATATAGTAATTTAGCTACGTATATATATAATATAGGTAGCAAAGTTAATAATTCCTAGGAGTTTAATTTTTATAATAAATATATAATATATCTACAAATTTTATACTAGCCGTAAAAGTTCAATTATCTATATTATTTCATTACTATATTCTAGTCGTTTAAGGTATTTAATTTGGGATTATTCAATAGAAGTTCTACAATACAGATGAGAGGCCGCTTATTAGATTCTAGGGATATTTCTTTGTATATGATAATTTTCATTATTGTCTTTATACGTAAGAGAGAATTAGGGGAGAATATAAAGGGCTAGCGCCCAAAATTCGAGCCTAACTGCAAACTAAAACTATAGACCTTTAACAGCGCCTATAGACCCGCTTACTTACTTACCCTCTAATTAGCCAGGCTTCCAATACATAAGTATCCTTCTAGTCCAACCGGGCTTGTAGAACCTCTTCTTCCCCTTTATCAACAATCTCAAACTCTGTTTCACCCCTACTACCGTGCATACCCAGTAGACCCGTAACAGAAAGAATAAATAAAAAGAGGGGAATATATTCTTATTTATAAAGAGGATATATTTAATACGTTAGACGAGGAAGAGGAGAGGGTGGGATTCTTCGTACGTAATATAGAAGGTGTGCTAGTATTAGAAGTATTTAAGAGGGTATAGGGTAACCTCCTTAACTTCTTATTTAATAATTCTAATAACGAAGTTAATATTAATATTAATAATAATCCTTCTACTATTTAACTTTCTACTTAATTACTAGAAGTCCTATCCTCCCCGTCCTTTCTTCACTCCGCTATCGAAATAAATTCTTAAATAGCCGTTTATATTAATACGCAAATTATTAACTCTATAGAAGGTAATACTATCCTTAAATTTATTACCGACGTCGTTGCTCGTCTTAATATATAGATAATCAACGTTATATTCGAAGACGAGAATACCTTTATCAATAACGATAATAAACACGAAACTATCCTTAAAGTAATATATAATAAGAAGGACGACAAAGAAGAAGATAAAGAGAATAGTTTACCATTATTAGAATTAATTAATTACTATCTCTTTTACCCGCTTACTATACTAAGAGAGCTATTAATACTAGCCGTCGACCCCTCTACTCTATTAAAATTGCGATTTCTAGAATTAATACTATATTGGGAGGTTATAAAATACATTGAGGGCACTATAAGACTTCGTATATAGGTACGAAAGCAAATTATACATATTAAGAATATATTAGTAAGAAGGGAAGCGGTTATAAAGGAGGTGGTACTAGTACTTGTACTAGCGCTAGAAAATAATAGAAAAGACTAAAATTCGTTCATTTATTTACTTACTACCTAATTAAACAATCTACTAGGCTTTACGACAACGTTGTATTGATAAATATCGCTATGTAATATAGTAGTTGAAATGTGGATGGGACACTTTATTAGTAAAATGCTATGCGGGCTGTCCTATGAATATTTTGCTGTCCCATAATTTTTTTTCCCCCTCTTTAATAAAAGGGTGTTGAAAAAAGGCCCCACACCAGGCCGTCCCCAACCCCCAAGTATATGATTCCATCTGCCAACTCCGGAAACGATTATCCAGACGCCAGCCAATGTGATGTAGTAGCGCGGGTACGGTGGAGATAGGTACATGAGTTTATATTGTCTGGATAATCGACACCCCAACGTCTTGACATGGTTGCCTATTCCAGAACTGGTTGCCGCACTTGAAGCCGGTATTATTTCTTGCCGTGGGGGTCTCCCCGTCACTCGTGTGAGCCATGTCAGACCACAAAGCCGGAAGAAGGTCGGTGGTTGAATCGGGAGTCTTGGAGACCCATTTTTGCGCATGCCCGCAACCGTCGTGAAACGATGACGTCGGTCTCAACCATGTTTGAGAATACACTAGACTCTCTGGATAGGTACTGTAGTCAGACAACTGACAGAAGTTTGTGTAACAGAAGCTTGAGGCTGCGGCGGCTCTGCTGGCTTCAAGATCATCTGACAGTGTGTTTGTCCGACGAAACCGAAAAAGTTGTGAAAAAGTTGCCGAGCGTTTGGTCTTGGGACTGGAGAGTTGCGATCTCGATGGTTGCCATAGTGACAGGGTCAAGAGGGTCTTGGTTCGACAATGGAGACTTATTCACCGTTGACAATTCTCTTGACGAGCCATGATTGCAAGCGAAGTAACAAGATGAGACGGTCATTGATGATAGGAATCGTACTTTCCTTGACCAATTCCTCAAAGCCAATGTCAACTTTTATTGCCGTGAAAAAGAAACGCGGGGCTCCAGCAGCTGAGAACGGAAGCTACGGCGGGTGATATCAATGACGGAGCTGATACTGTTAGTGCTGTAGCTTTGCTGAGGTACGTTAACAGTTCAGCACAAACATCCGGATGCAGCCGTACACTAAAAGGGACACCAAGACCCCGCTGGTTAGTTCCTTCCATCATCGGTGTGCCATCCCAGCCACAGGGCGTGGGGCCCCGACACTCAGGCGGGCCCATGCGCTGTCTGCCAATCCCTTTGGGCGCCTCGTGATTTGTTCCTTGCATCAACCAACTGCCATCGACTCCCACTCTTTCAGTTACAACAACGTGCGCCCACGCATGAGTAGCAAAGGTCATGACAAAACAATTTCGTCCTCCTCGAAAGGTCTGCTTTGTTTTCCTTCCCTTTCTGTCCTGTTGCCTCCCCATATCCCCCGCCATTCGCTCAGGTACCTCGGTTGCCAGGCCATGAACCCCGAACCTCCGTTGTTTCTCTGTGCTACTCTTGGGGTCTTGGACACTGCCCTCTGGCCCCTTTACTGGATCCTCTTTCCGCTCTCTTCAGAGTGCAGTTCAGAGTCTACCAAAAGTTCCTTCATCTAGGGCTGATTCCACCTCTAGTATATGCGTCTATACAAACTTCAGCATCATCATAACCAGTCAAAGCACGGCGGCGCCATGTAACAACTTGGAAGACGGGAACCTGCTGTACCCCGGACTGAACACGTCCAATGATTTTCGTCCATGTCCAACGTCCTAGTTAAATCTCCCTTGCCTTGGCTTTGGGGCTCTACAAGTGTAGGGGCACAAGGGGTTATGTAACCGGATCAACGCTACATCCAATCTTCTTCCTCCTTGCCTTCTCTTTTCTTCTCATTACACAGTTCGACATGTAATAGACCGGTAGTCTCTATTCCCTGATCCTGGATCCCGGGATCGATTCTCGCTCGTCTGCTGTCTCCAAGCTGGGTCATGAGTCCATAACCCGGGCTCCATCAACATGGCAGTGGACGAAAGAGGAAGCCGGCTTAAAGTCCACTTGCTGTACTTATGCACGCACACATACATTCACATGGCTCCATCACATTCAACTGCCAGGCTGAGTAAGGCTAGGAGATATATTTATATCCGCGTGCCAGGAACTGTCTTCTCTGACCTCGCGTCTTTCCCTCTTGTTCCTGAACTCCAAGCTATCCACTATCCTGGTTTAGTTTAGCCCGTAGCTCCCTTTGTTCTACCTCCACCTAGCCTAGACATAGCTCACAACCAACCTCGACTACATACTTCCTTCTTCTTCCCATTGTTACGCAACAACTCCTCACCCCGAAAAAAACAACCTTCTCCCATCTTCAACCCCAAGCTTGCGAGCAATTCAACATGCCGAGTGCGGAAACCATGGCCAGTACCCCAAATGGTGCCCTTGGGCAGCTCAAAATAACCGGAAAACATGTCCTGTCCAAGCTTCAGCAGCAAACATCAAATGCCGACATCATCGACATCCGCCGCGTTGCTGTAGAGATCAACCTCAAGACAGAGATCACCTCCATGTTCCGGCCTAAAGATGGCCCTAGACAGCTTCCCACTTTGCTTCTCTATAACGAGAGAGGCTTGCAGCTGTTCGAGCGTGTAAGTCTACCCACGCTGAGAGACTGAAATTCTGGGTTCGCGCTAATACATCGCAGATCACCTATCTAGAAGAGTATTATCTTACCAATGACGAGATCGAAATCCTCACCAAACATGCCACCGAGATGGCCAGCTTCATCCCCTCGGGCGCCATGGTCATTGAGCTCGGAAGCGGGTAAATATCTACTAACTCAAGTTTGAATGACTTGGTAAGCTAATCCTTTGCCCAGAAATCTGCGCAAAGTAAACCTTCTATTGCAAGCTTTAGACAACACCGGCAAGGAAATCAACTATTATGCCCTTGACCTGTCTCGAGAGGAGCTGGAACGCACTCTCGCCCAGGTACCATCCTACAAGCACGTCAAGTGCCACGGTCTTCTGGGAACATACGACGATGGACGTGACTGGCTCAAGGCTCCCAAAAACATCAACAGACAGAAATGCATTTTGCACCTCGGATCAAGTATTGGTAAGCTTGGCTACGTATGAAACTGGCAGAGCCAAACACTGACATAATCCTCTCTCCAGGCAACTTCAACCGCAGTGACGCCGCCGCTTTTCTCAAGGGCTTTACGGACGTCCTAGGACCCAATGACAAGATGCTCATTGGAGTTGATGCTTGCAATGACCCGGCGAGGGTATAGTACGTACTAGACAAACATTGTGGGACGTCATCAGGAACAATGCTAACCATATACTAGCCACGCTTATAACGGTTTGTGCTACTCATGTGACATGGAATAAGACCACCTTCAAGCTGACAATAACCACACAGACAAGGAAGGTATCACTCATGAGTATGTCATACCCCTTTCTCTATCGCTCATGGCGGCTCCCGCTTTCGACCCAACACCAACACTGACGACTCTAGGTTCATCTTGAATGGTCTCCGCAACGCCAATGAGATCCTCGGAGAGACGGCTTTCATCGAGGGCGATTGGAGGGTTATTGGCGAGTATGTGTATGACGAAGAGGGAGGCAGACACCAGGCCTTTTACGCCCCCATTCGCGATACTATGGTTATGGGCGAGTTGATTAGGTCACACGACAGGATCCAGGTCGAACAGAGCCTAAAGTACTCCAAAGAGGAGGCGGAGAGGCTCTGGAGCAAGGCGGGATTGGAACAAGTCACGGAATGGACGTACGGCAACGAATATGGTGAGTTGCTTTCATAACTTTTCCTTGCTTGGGTTTTTCAGCTTCTTCTGGGACTACCCGTTTGAGCCGTCCGGCCGGTGTTACCGCACCTTCCCCACACCCCACGAGCCAGTCGTATGATGACAGGATCTCGCGGCGTCTCCTGATGGGCACAGCTCTTACACCGGCACATGTTTACCGATATAGGTTGGTGTTGGGCTGCGCGGTTTGGGTAGCGCGCATGGGCTGGAGAGGATCGAATATTTGCGCCATCAGAACCATCGATCCATGCTGACCTCCTTTCGTCGTACTGTAGGACTCCATCTGCTTGCCAAGTCAAGGATGTCGTTCAGTCTCATCCCTTCGGTATACGCTCGCAGCGCACTCCCAACTCTGGACGACTGGGAGGCCCTTTGGGCGACATGGGATGTCGTCACACGTCAGATGCTTCCCCAGGAAGAACTTCTGGAGAAGCCCATCAAGCTCCGAAACGCCTGCATCTTTTATCTCGGTCACATCCCGACCTTCCTCGACATCCAACTCACAAAGACCACCGAGCAAGCTCCGTCAGAGCCAGCTTACTTCTACAAGATCTTCGAGAGAGGCATCGATCCTGATGTTGACAACCCGGAGCTGTGTCATGCACACTCGGAGATTCCTGACGAATGGCCGCCGGTGGAAGAAATCCTGACCTATCAGGAGACGGTACGGTCCCGGTTGCGCGGTCTCTATGCAGGTGGCATCGAGAATATCCCGCGGAATGTGGGCCGGGCCATTTGGGTTGGATTTGAGCACGAGCTCATGCATATCGAGACGCTGTTGTACATGATGCTACAGAGTGACAAGACGCTGCCCCCAACCCACATTCCGCGACCCGACTTCGAGAAGCTCGCTAGGAAGGCAGAGTCCGAGAGGGTTCCCAATCAGTGGTTTAAGATTCCGGCCCAGGAGATTACCCTCGGTTTGGATGATCCTGAGGATGGAACTGATGTTAACACACACTATGGCTGGTGAGTTGCCTCTTTTCTATGAAGATAAACAGGAGGCTAACTGTCAAATAGGGACAATGAGAAGCCCGTAAGGCGTGTCCAAGTTGCCGCTTTCCAGGCGCAAGGAAGGCCCATCACCAACGAAGAGGTACGTTCACCTAAAAACTACTGTTGTCCAATGCTAACATGAATCAGTACGCGCAATACCTGATCAACAAGAACATCAGCAAGTTGCCCGTGTCTTGGGCCGGCCTAGACGACGAGAACCTTACCAACGGGACAAGAAACGGCGTGAACGGTCACCACAGAAACGGCGCCTCCAAGCAGCTCCCATCATCTTTCCTCGAGAAGACAGCAGTCCGCACAATCTATGGTCTCGTACCTCTCAAGCACGCTCTCGACTGGCCCGTCTTTGCCTCTTACGACGAACTCGCCGGTTGCGCAGCCTACATGGGCGGGCGTATCCCCACCTTTGAAGAAACCCGGAGCATCTACGCTTATGCTGAGGCCCTTAAGAAGAAGAAAGAAGCTGAGAAGCAATTGGGAAGGACGGTGCCGGCTGTTAATGCGTATGTCCTCCCTCCTTTCCCCCTTTTCTTAACCCTCACTAACACTTACATGCCCTCAACAGCCACCTAACCAACAACGGCGTGGAAATCACTCCCCCATCCTCTCCCTCTTCCGAGACCCCCTCCGAATCCCCCTCCTCCCCCTCCTCCTCCTCCTCCTCGGACAACACCACCATCACCACCACCACCGAAGACCTCTTCGCCGACCTAGACGGCGCAAACGTTGGTTTCCACAACTGGCACCCCGTCCCCGTCACCTCCTCCAAACCCGACACCCTCCTCCTCGGGCAAGCCGAGCTCGGCGGCGTATGGGAATGGACTTCCTCGGTCCTCGGCAAATGGGAGGGGTTCAAGCCCATGGAGCTGTACCCGGGGTACACGGCGGATTTCTTTGACGAGAAGCATAATATTGTGCTGGGAGGGAGCTGGGCTACGCATCCGAGGATTGCGGGACGCAAAAGCTTTGTTAATTGGTATCAGAGGAATTATCCTTATGCTTGGGTGGGGGCGAGGGTTGTTAGGGATTTGTTGGAATAGGTAGGTGTGTAATGGGATGGGATGGAAGGGTGAGTGAGGATGCGGGAGGGGGGGGAGGGTTGGAAGAGAAGATGAGAGAGGTATTGTTGCCGAGCGCTCATTTGGGTGTTTTCTTGATTACCTTATGGAAGTTTTCACATGCATATGTAGTTTGGGTATTTACAAGGAAAGAACTGAGAGAGAAATGGGATCAATAATGTTCATCCGACATGTCTGGATGAAGAGGAGATGCTCTACGTAATATATCCCCCTGTGGTCTTACGGCCATCTCTTCATTGTTGTGATACCTACCTCTCAGGGTGGTCTCGAAGTTTTGTGGACTTCATGAACATGTCATTTCACTCGATGAATCATGTCGGTCCATCACCAAGAGTAAAAGAAGTGGCGACTATAAATCTTTTTGATCCTAGCACGTAACCTTTTTGCTTTACAGTCCAAACAAAGTGAGAAGAGACTCTTTTTCATTTTCTATTCACATATCAACCAACCTCCAGAAGATATCATGTACCCATCCATCCCTTTTCCCTAAAAACGCCTAATAATGCTGCAAGATATTTACCAACAGTAACCACACCGATAACTTGAAAAAGATCAAGAAGAAGTTCCATCCATCTATCCATCCGTCCATTCATAAAACCGCCCTTTTGTCACCCACCCTTTTCAACACACTTCCACCTTCAGCACCGGGCAACTTTTGTCTTCACTTCTCATAATCAACCAACTCCCAAATCTGACTCGGCTGCTTCACCCCCTGCTCCGTCACAATCCCATCAATCAGCTCCGGATCCGTATAATCCACCTCATCTCTATCCGCCACCCAATCCCTCGCCTCCTGTCCAACAGGGTCAACGCCGACATTATCAAACTTGCTGATATCCTTCTGCTTCACGCCCACCCTGAGAACCTGGGGATGCCACAGCGGCGTCTTGCGCACAATCTTGTGGCTTTCCGCAGCCACGAAGAAGCGCTTCTGCGACCCGCCCGCGAAGCGCGTGAGCAAAGCCAGCTGCGAAGTGCCCATGCGCGAGATGATGCCGCCGTTCTGCATCACCACCTCGCTGCCGACCAGGACCAGGTTGATGTCCTTTTGGTCTTTGAGGATGTAGGCCACTTTGGAGGTCGAGATGGTCTCTACCTCGAGGCCTGCTTCCCTTAGGGCAGACACGCTGGCGTCGCAGTGCGGACTGCCGTCCATCACGTAAATGACCTTGAAGTGCGTGTTTGGCCTGCTCGTGGCGGCGTGCACGAGGATCTTGGTCACCACCCTCGAACCGCCCGCCGCCAGCACGATCTTGCGGTCGGAGATGTAGCGGGAGCCGATAACGGCGATGTTGTCGCGGGCGGCCTTGGCGCGCGCGGCAAAGAGCTGTCGGTTCTTGAGCAGGTGGCGCTTCGTCTCGTCGAAGGACTCGGCGGTCTGCCCTCTAAGCGACCGGAGGAGGTACTGCTCGAAGAGGTCGGCGCCGGCTAAGAGGGGGAGCGGGTTGGGGGCCGAGTCGAGGAGGAGGGCCTTTTGCGTCTTGACGACTTCGACGGTTTCCATGGCTGTTGAGGAGGGCGTGACGCGCAAGAGCTCGATGAGCGATTCGATGGCTGCTACGGGCATGGTCATGTCGGGGTCGGAGGTGAGGAGGTTGCGGTAGGTTTTGACGATGCTGTTTGTTTGTGTTTGTGAGTAGGTTGGTTATGACGCATTGCGAGGGAAAGCAAAGCAAACTCACTCGAAGGAGGCGCCATCTTGACTGCTGGCGCTGTCGGTGGAGGTGGACGATGTCGTCCGTACCGCGAGCGGCTTGTTGGATAGATCGTCGGTGGCCATTCTGAGGGGGTTGTGCCGGGGGAGGGCGAAGTGTGTTGATGCTGTGAAGGTGGGAAGTGGTTTGCGCAAAAACATACAAGTCCTCCCAAGCACTGCTGCGGTCGGTCCAAGTGGGGTCGTACTTGTAAGTCGAGAGCTTTGAGAAGGTTCCGCTTTTGGCTGTGGCCTCGGAGATTTGGAGCAGGCAGGTCTTGGCTTTTGATCTGACGAGTACAGGTTTAGACAATGATCTTGTATGCCGTGTCGAAAAAGTATTGTGTATTCTGAACCAGGTTCTGATCAAAAGTGTGACTCAAAATGTGCAGCTCTACATGTAACCTTTTCATCCCAAATTCCAATTGCGGCCGTGAGATTAAGTATTCTGCCACCGTTCACCGCCCTCATTGTGTACTGGCACGTCGTCAAGCTTCTTTGTTTCCAGTTCATGTGCCCCGCTGTCGGCAGCTGCTACAGTCACGGGCCTTCCGGGGACCTTTTACAGCGTCGAAACACAGAGGTGACAGAAGGGCCCCCCCTGTGTTCGGGACTGACACCCCTGGGGTCGCGTGGATCCTCCTCTCCAGGCTGGTCCCGCTGTCCGCTTCGATGGAACAGGGGCAGCAAGGGGAAAGTGAAGCTAGCGTAGGAGTCTATACCGTCATTGCCTCTTTCTTTATCATTTGAAACCATGGACCCGTTGGCGATGTTGGCTTCAGTCTCTCCTTCCTCCCTTGACTTGTTGAGCCTCGTCTATAAGTTGCCGACATAGCAAGCATACCTTATTAAAAACGACATAAACACCAAAACATCATGACGACCCTCATGGATCCGGCCACGCAGGCCCCCCTCCCCGCCGACGCCATCCAGCGCATCCTCCACATCACCAACTCCTCGGTCCATATCTACCAGATCCCCCCTATGCGCTCGACCAAGGGCCACATGGCCGCCGACTGGACCGTCGACCCCAAGGCGCACATCTTCACCGGCCGGGTGCGCATCATCGAGACCTCGATCCCGCCGCAGACGCCCGAGCAAGTTGGAGAAAAGGACACGGTCAAGGTAGACATTGTGCTCGAGGACCCCGCCACAAACGACCTGATCGCCGCCGCCCCTTACACCACCCAGGCCGTCGTCGAGGCCGCCATCGACAGCAGCCGCTTCTTTGCGCTGCGCGTGCAGGATCCCAACACCGGGAAGAAGGCCATGCTGGGCATCGGCTTCGAGGAGCGCAGCGAGGCCTTCGACTTTGGCGTGGCCCTGCAGGAGGCCCAGAAGTCGCTGGGCCTGATCGAGGGCGTGGCGCCCCTGATCAAGTCGGGCAAGAACAAGCAGGAGGCCGAGGAGAAGAAGGATTACAGCTTGAAGGAGGGCGAGACCATTACCGTGAACTTGAGCGGGACCAAGTTCGGAAGGAGAGCGAGGCAAGACCGCCCTTTGTCGACGGACTTGGGTAGTGATTCACAGCCTCCTTTGTCGGCCTTTTCACTCCCTCCTCCCCCATCATCATCATCTGCTATGCCTTTCTTGCCGCCTCCGCCTAGCAGTGGACGTGGTGGGCACAGGAGACAACCATCTGCGCAGGAGTTAGGGTTCGACGATGGACCGAACGGCATGTTTGAATGAGCAAACAAGTTATAAAGGCAGGAAAATGGAGAAACAGACATATCAACATACAGGACTTCAACGGATCCGAGACGCGGAAAGCGACATGGCTGACGAGAACGGACAAGAAACGGCCATACCATCAAAGTCACAACAGGACTTGTTACTATAAGCGTACGCAAACTACACAGAGTTAATATACCTAATCATGAAGAACCGTTGCCGGCTCATTTCCCTATTTTCCGCTATTTTGATGTTCTTGTTCGGACAGAAGATGTTGACTGTATCCCAGAGCCTCCCCGCGCAATACTTATACAACCAGTAAGTAAGTCCCAAAAACACCACAAGCATACATATCCTTGATCCTTCCCAGTTAACGCCTATAGAGGTAATTGTTCTCTTTCACAGCTGATGATAAAATTTCCGCCAGTGTCACTATAAACTCCGCTGCAAATGTCCACCATAGAATGCAAGAAAGAGCCCATCGAAAACCCCGAACCAAAAGAATCAGAAACAGCGGCCTAAATCACAGTATCAAGCCTCATCTCCGGCACCTCCTCTTCCTCCTCCCCCTCCTCTCCCAACCCCTGAACACCAATAGCCGCAAGCGCAGCAGGCCACAGATTCTTCAAGCTAGGCATACTCAGCCTTCTCCAACCATCACCTCCCTCCCCCTCCTCCCCACCCCGTGAGAACGAAGCCGTCCTTCTTTGCTGCTCGGAAAGCAAATCCCCTGGTTCGGAGGCGGAGTCGTCACTTCCTTCACTTCCTTCAGCTTCTTCTTCTTCTTCTTCTTCTTCTTCTTCTTCTTCTTCTTCTTCCTCTTCTTCTTCCTCGTCTTCCTCTTCCTCCGGTTCAGAAACCATCACACCAGATCCTGAGCCCGAGCCCGAGCCCGAGCCCGAGGCCGAGCCATTAATCAAAGGATTAATACAAGTCAGTGGATTGGTATTAGTCACACCAATAGGCGTAAAACTACTCCCATCAAAGCTCTCAAAAGACTCGTCATCTTCCGAGTCGGAAGGGTATTCATCCCATGGGATCCTGCTGGGGGTGATGGGGGTTGCGAGGTGTTCGGAGGGTAGCGAAGGGAGGGTGGAGGTGCTGACGGTGCTGCTGGTGCTGGTGAATTTGGGAGTAACTGCCGAGAGAGGGACTGCTGGGGAGTCTAGAGGGAGGTTTAGGTCTTGGAAGAGAGAAGGTTTGGGTTTGGGTTTGGGGGTTTGGTCGTCTTCTTCTTCTTCTTCTCCTTCGGCCGCTGCGTGGTGTTGTTCCTGTTCCTGTTCCTGTTCCTGTTCCTGTTCCCGTTCGGGGGCAGGGGCCAAGTGGTGGTGATCATGGGTTGTTTCCTCCGGAGAGGTAGTAGAGTGGTGGTCTTGCGATTGATGGGATGATGGTCGAGTCCAAATATCCTCAAAAAAGCTAACTCCCCCACCACTTGGAACGAACGAGGGAGATAATGGGCTCAAGACGGAGGAGGGGGTGTAAAGGTAATCATCCCCTCCCACAGGTGATGAATTCGAGTACGAATCAGCACCCAACGAAGAAGGGGTAGCCGGGATACCACCACCATGGTTTTGCTGCTGCTGATGCCACTGATGATGATGGCCAAAATACCCCTGCCCCTGCCCCTGCCCTTCGACAACAGCAGACATAGGCGAGTAAATCAGGGCCTGATGTTGCTGCTGCTGGTGCTGCTGCTGCTGATGCTGATGCTGATGCTGATGCGTCATAACCCACCTCCCCCTATTCACCAACTCCACATGGATCTCGCCCAGCCTCAACATGATCAGCTGTTCCTGCTGCGTAGACTCGGCGATCCGGCTGCGGAGGAGGGAGAGGTCCTTTTTGATCTTTTTCTTTTTGCTGCTGACTGAAGCTGGGGGTGCTGATGTTGAGCCGGTAGTAGTGTTATTGTTGTTGTTTTCGTCTGAAGGAGAGGTGGAAGCAGCAGCAGCAGAGACAGAGGCCTCTTTCTTCAAAGCCTCCTTCTTAGCCTCAAGATGGGCATACCGCTGATACAAACGCGTGGCTCGCTCGCCTTGGGTTTGCAAGTTATGCAAGAGGTAGGAGCGCTCGTTGTGGAGGTCGGAGAGGGAGCGGGAGGTGGGTTCGAGGCCTGGAATTGGGATGACGGGACCAGGTCCAGGTCCAGGTCCGGGTGTGGATGGGTGGCGGATGTGTTGTTGATGTTGCTGGAGCTGGTGGCTTTTGGCTCGGGAGAAGGGGGATAGGACAGGTCTGCTCAGGGTTGTCTTGGTGGTGGTGATGCTATCGGTGTTCAAATATGGGAGGATTGGACGAGTGTTGTTGTTGTTGTTGCTTGACTGCTGACGACATCGCTGCTGTTGCTTTTGCTGCTGCTGCTTTAGCTCGCTAGCGAGCTTCTTGATCTTGGACTTCACGTCTGCCATTGCGTCAGGTGAAATTATGCTTGGGTGGTGGTGATGTTTTCCTCCTCCTCCTCCTCCCATGACTGGGCTTGGTGGTGAAAGAGTGGTGGTCGTCGACATGGTTGGGCTTGATGATCTTCCGTTTACTAGGGTTGCTAGTCCTCCATGGCTGGTGTTGACTGAAGACGGCATGTTGTATGACAAGGAATGGGGGTATGGACGAAACACCGTGGACAGACAGATCAATAATAGATTGAAGAAAGGGGACGAGGGAGTGAGTAACGGACGGAACGATCTTGTGCGACTTTCTCCAGGAACTGATCGAAGTTTATGGATATCAACTCCAGCAAAGCTCCTCAGCCAGCTTGACCCCTCGATGGTCATGAGACAGGCTTCCTTGAGGTGGACATATATCAAAGCCAAGAATTTCATGGCTTGCCTTAAGCGCTCATCTCATTCAGCCTTTTCCCTCCTCACTCGATTGGAATCCGTCTCGGTAATGATTTCATTATGGCCATCCCACCCATCACTTCGGCACCGGAAGCCGCCAAGCCTGGAGGTCTAGCCCGGCTTTGCCGTCGAACCTCGTGGCTTCCAGACCCGCGTGTTGCTTGACAAAGCCGCCCCTCCATCACAGTGGGCGACTCACCTGGGCGTTCTTGGAACAATTCCCGACTCATCATACACATCCTAGGTTTCTTAGTTCTCCCTTGGACAAGGGGGGCGTTTTTGCTTGCCGGGTCAGGCAAGCCCTTGGTGGTGTTACCCTTGAAAGAAGATAGGGGGGAGTGAGTGGCGTAGGCCTTGGCTTTTTTCTCTCGCTCGGCTAGGTATAAACTAGAGCAAGCCCCCTTTTTCGGAACGAGGTTAGGGTTCGAAGGTAAACAAAGAAAACACACACACTCACACCTCGTGCGGTGGCTTGACGTGCCCAAAGAAAGGGAACTGGATGACGGTTGAACCCCAATCGGGAAAAATACCCGAGAGGCCAATTGCCTTGAGTACTGGAGTCCTTGGTCAGGACCTTATCAGACAAACACCGTCTCAGACCATCAAGCAGAATCAGACCAGCGAGGCACTGTGAGGCTTGACACCTGAGGAGTCGCGGCTTTATGTTTGCTCGGCCCTGATTCCCTAATTCAAATTTCTCGGAGAGGCGATCTTCAACTCCGGACCCCGGAAGTTTCCAGTTCGGAGCCGAAGAATGTTTCTTGACAACCACCATCCACGTGCAAGTAAGACAATTCTAGAAGGGAAACAACAGAGAATAGCAAGCTCAAGACTGGACCTTCCATGACCCCCACCTCCCCACGAACTCACCATCTTATACGCCACACTACCCCACGCAGCAGTCGTCACCGGCGCTTCAAAAGGAGAATACCAAGAAACATTAGTAAGTCCAGTCTAGTAGTCTAGATGTTGAACCCATCATGCCTAGGCGGATCACAAAACCTCCACAACCCAGCTCTCTCAGCCGCCTTCCTAACACTCTCCACCTCCTCCCCCTTCACAGCCCGATTGATCTCGGCATACCGTCTTTCTTCCTTCTTCTTCTCTTTCTCCTCTCCTCTTCCTTCTTCACCTTCACCAGCCGCCGCCGCTTCTCCATTCACCTCCTCCTTCCTCCTACCTCTAGTCCTCTCCTTCCCCACATACGCACTTGGCCTATACTGCTCCATAATATTCACAAACATATCCCTACTCACCTCCTCGGCCAACCACCTCATAATCTTTGCCCCTTCCTCTTCGAGGCCAGGCATGACCAGATGTCTAACCAACACCCCGCTCTTGGCGATGCCGTCCCCCGTAAAACACAGGTCCCCCACCTGCGCGTGCATAGCCTTGATGGACTCCCGAGCCGTGGCGGCGTAGTCATCGGCCTTGAGCAGCCGCTTGGAGGTGGACGGTTCCCAGACTTTGAAGTCGGGCAGGTAGATGTCTATCAGCCCGTCGAGCAAAGCTAGGGACTCCAAGGAGTCGTAGGAGGAGGTGTTGTAGATTATGGGGATGCGGTGGCCGAGGGAGCGCGCGTGGAGGATGGAGAGGGCTACTTGGGGGACGACGCTGTGTGGGTAGTGAAAGAGGTCAGTCTTCTTTTTTGTTCTTTTGTCTTTGTATGGATATTTGCCGTGCCGCTTATCTTGGGGCGGGATGAGATGGTCGACCGGTAGTAGGTAGATACGAGATCAGCCGGCCAAAAATCTGGGGTTAATGCTGGGGGCGGGACTGGAGGTAAGGTGAATGGACATGAATGGACTCAACTGTTCAGGGGTAACAAGGTTGATGTTGTGCACATTCCCGACTTCTTGCAGCTTGATGTACCAGTCACCTAGCTCTTCGGGGGTCAAATCCATGCCGTTACGCTGATGAGAGATGTCGTGGTTTTGGCAGAAGACGCATCGGAGGTTGCACATGCTTTTTTTCTCACGACAAACTCGTTAGCATTTCGTCTTAACTTCCCATCAATTACACTGTCCACAAGCCATTGAGTGAGAGTATACGCACCTGAAGAAAACCGAACCACTCCCATGATGACCTTGAATGCATGGCTCTGTGATCACACACAAAAAAAACCTCTGTCAATAACCTAGACTTCAATCGATTTTCCCGTCCCTTACATGACGATGCTGAGAGAAAACAAGCCACCAAAAAAGCCACCACTCTGCCGGCTTCTTCTTTCTTCTGATCGAACTTGGAAGAAGAAGGAACCCCTTCTTTCATCATCGCCTTCGTCACGGGAACTCCCCACCCAATGATATTCATCAATCCTTCCTCTTTCATATACCCTCCGAACCGCCATCTTCTCTCCCTTGCGGTTATGACCCCCTTCCGACTTCCGTTCCTTCGTTCCCCTGCCAATCACCCGCATGAAAACCTGCCCTTGCCGCCGCCACAGTATGATAAGAGTTCAAGAAACAATTCGAAACGGACTGAATGACCAAACTCGTCCTTTCTGCTTCTGGGGCCAAACTCCAGACTCCAAACCCCATCCCATCCATCCATTCATTCATTCCTCATCCGCATCCGCATCCGCATCCAGATCCTCCAGAACTGAACCTGATACATACCCAAACATCAAACGTCATCAAACATCCAAACCTCTCTCCCCGCCTCAACAACAACTTCCAAGATCACAGAAATAATCCCAAACAGCGTCATGTAGGCAGTTTCACAACCCCCCTTGGCCCCTTCCCCCTTTTCCCCAGCATGAAAACCCAGCAAAAATAGAGAGAAAAACTACTCACCTTCCCCAAAATGCGGCGCAATAACATTAACCTTGGCCCTCTCCCCAATCAAACACCAGCCCGTTTTCCCCTCGAGTCTATTCACTCCACATTTTCTCGGACACAAGTTGCATTTGGCCAGGTGAGCATACGCTTGCGATCGCTTCTTTGCGCAGTCCGGTTCGGAGAGTAAGATGTAGCGCGGGGTGTAGGTGTCGTGGAGGAAGGGGGGTGCTAGGTGGAGGGATCGCTTTTGTGAGTTTGGGAATGTGAATGGAGGTGATGGGGTTGAAAGGGGTTTGCGGGTGGTGGTGAGGTTGAACGGTCGTGGATGTGGTGAGTGTAGGATAGGAGACGTTTGGTGGCTAGGGGAAGGAGGACTCGGGGAAGTGATGAGGAGATGTGGTGGAGGGGGGGTTGACGGGTTGTTTGTAGGTTGAGGAGCATCTTGTTTGTAATCGCTTGAGTAAATCGTGCTGTGTTCCGAGGATGACCGAAGAAAAAAAAAAGAGTGAGTACTCGAATAGGGCAGATAGATGATAGGTAAGGAAACAGGGGTGAGCGAGTGTCGCTGCCCTGTTTGAAACGAAACGAGGTTGTCGTGAACAGTGGAACCGAACCGAGCAATCCGCAGAAGCAAGGCAAGTGGCAAGTATGCACTAACAATTTCCGCTACAATGCAACCAGCCCCTAAACACAAGCAAGTACTTTTAGGACCACCAGCGAAATATCTCAACCAATGCTTTTCGCTCGTGCTAACAAAAAGGAAACAATTTCTTTCCCGGGTATGAATAGATGGATGTGAATGCGTCTCTATATACAGTAGTAGTAGTACTCCCAAAAGTAAACCCAGGTGATGATGACGATGGTGACAAAAACGAACACACAATTATTTTCCCCTTACAAACATTTACCTCCTCCTCTTACCACCACCACCCTGATCGCCGCTAGGGCCACGCTTCTTACCCTCCCTCTCCCAATACGCCTTCTTCTCCTTCTTCTCCTTGCTCAGGATCCGCTCCTCGGCATCTTCCAGCCTCTTCGTGTACTTCTCGCGCTGCTCCGCCTTCTTGGCCTTGCGCTTCTCCACCACCTCCTTGCGGATGGTCGTGAGCTTCTGCATGAGATCGCGCGCCTTCTTCTCCTCGCCGCGGACGACGACCGCGCGCTTCTGCATGTACGTCTCCTTCTTCTGCTTCTTGGTCTGGATGATCTGCGACTTGAAGGGCAGCTCGGCCGCGAGGGCACGCGGCACACGGAGAGGGTTGAACCGACGAGTCTCGCGCTCGATCTTGCGGTACTGCGAGTTCTTGTCGAGCGGCGTGGCGATGTCCTGGTCGCGGCGGACCTCGCCCGTGAGACGCATGCTCTGCCAGCCGACCAGGTTGGTGGCCGGGTTGTAGAAGCGGTGCGGCTTGATGGGGTACCACGCGCGCAAGAAGACAATGTCGCTGAGCAGGATCTTGTCCTCGAAGGTGGCACGGAAGTGGCCGTCGGGCTTGGCAAGGGCGCGCTTGATCTGACCGCGGATGCCGGAGACGGTCTTGATGGAGGCACCCTCGAACTTGGCGATTTCCAGCGCCGAATTGAACATGTCCTTGATGAAGGCCGTGTTCTTGAAAATCTTGTATGGTGTACCAGTCTGGACAAGTTGTTAGCATCTAAAACATCAATTACAACAGGCAGGAATCAACATACCAGCTTGAGCTTCTTGACGATCTCGGTCGACTCGTCTACGCTCAATACTGTACCGGTAGCCGCGATACGGAATCCGGGGTTGGCGGAAGAGAAGGACTGGAAGCATGTGAAACCAGTGTTGGGGGCACACAGGGGGCCATAGAAGGTACCGAAACAGTGCATGTGCTCTGGGGTGTACTTCAACATTCTGTTTCTCGTACGAGAATCAGAGATGGAGTAGATGGGAAGGGACTGGAATCGGCGCCAACCGAGGGAGAAGATGAGGGGATCTCCCGTCTTGAGAATCTTCTTGTGCCAACGGTGCTTCTTGATTCTGACTTGTACAAAGCCGAACCTGTCCTCCGTGGCCGAGAGACCTCCAACAACGATCGGCGTCCGTGGCCTAAAGTTCTTGACGAACTCTGCTGGGACACCCTCGATGACCATCCTGGCGTACTTGCCGGCCTTGTAGCCTTCGACAGCGATCCTTTGGCTTTCATCAAGGTTCTCGTATTCTGCCTTGTTGATGTCGAGCTGCTTCTGGATCATGGCCTTCTGAGCATCATACCAGTCGTCCTCTCCAAACTCCTCATCGTTGCCACCTTCTCGCCTGGCGATCGCTTTGTCGTTCTTGAAACCTTCACGATCTTCCTCTTCGAAGCGAAGCTTGAGCTCCTCCTTTCGGCGAGCGTTCTTCTCACGCTCGGCTTCTAGGCTTTCTGCTGGCTGCTCCTCTTCTTCCTCCTCTTCTCCATTCTCGTCGTCGGCGCCGTGCTTCTCCCCTGTCTCGAGATCCTCGAAAGCACCGTCACCTTCGTCGTCCTCGTCTTCGTCATCAAGACCCTCGAAATCCGAACCATCTTCGCCCTCACCATCATCCTCGTCAAGTAGGTTGGCGGTGGCGAACTTGTTTCGGAGAGCCTCGACAGCGTCCTTGTCGGACCACTTGGCCTCTAGTTGTTCGTAGTCGAACTTGGGAATCATGCGATCCTCCCAAGAGTCCTCCTTGTCCTCCTTGCCAGTCCTCCTGAAGAAGGCTTCGTCGTCCTCTTCGATATCCTCCTCAATATCCTCCTCTTCATCTTGACCCGCCCATTTCTTGATGGCTTCCGTGGGAGCCATCGACTCGTCGTACATGTATCTCGCCAGGTCGACAGCACGGAAAGGTTTCCTCCTTCCGTGTAGTTGACTTGCGCGCTCCATCATGTTGTCCTTCCACTTGAGCTCAGGATCCTCCTCGTCATCCTCCTCGTCGTCGAAGTCGGATCCTTGGTCTTCGTCGCCGGATATCGAACCGAGGTCGGAGTCACTGTCGGCAAAGGCAACGTCGTCTTCTTGGTCGTCGTCGACCTGTTTCCTGAACATCTTGCCCAGCTTCATCTCGTTGAACTCAGACTCGACATCGGAACCGTCCTCCTCCTCATCCTCCTCTCCGCTCTCGAAGCCCTCGTCTTCGGGAGGTTCACCACTCTCGCCATCGGCAAGTCTGGCGGTTCTTCGGCTCTTGCGGCCAGTGTTTCCGACATCCTCGTCCTCGGCAGGGAGCTGGTTGATCTTTTGTCCACTCGCGAACAGCTTGACACCCTCGTCCGTCTGACCGAGGAGACGCCTCTCGTTCTGCAGGTCGATGATAAGCTGTTCTCCTTCACCGCGCTCGACACCCACAGCATCCTTGTCGAATGTGAAGCCGTTCTCCCTGGTAATCACAATGTGGTCGCCGGTAATCTTCAAGCCGCTGCGGTCGGCCATGGGCGCCCAGAGCTTCTTTTCCTTTTCATCGAGTCGCCTCCTGCCGGTCTTGCCACTGGCCTTGGCCAAGGCTTGTTCCATAGCGGGTGTCGGGCAAGGATCCGGCAATTGCTCCATCTCTTTGATTGTGAAGTCGCCCAAGCCAGCAATATGCACCCTTTGACCGTCGGCGGAGAAGTTCGTACCACGGAGGTAACCGGAGAGCTCGATCGTTCGGTCGCATTTCTCGTCTTCTTCGATCTGGGTGGGGTGGGTGACGTCGCGGTAGTTGTCGATGACGGTGTAAGGGTGGGAGTTGCGCCAAACGAGCGGGCGAGGGTTCTTCATGACGGACAAGAAGCGGGAGAGGTTGTGGATTTCGCGATCGGGGTAACGGCCGTTGAGGACACCGGAAAGGTAGAAAAGGTGGGCGCCCTGGTAGAGTTCGCTCCAAAGTCTGTGCTTCAACCTCTTCTTGGCGTCCTTCAGTGCCTGTGGTTTCCTGAACAAGTCGAGATGGGTGAGAATGCCGAAGACGTTTCCGGGCATACCAGTGGCGGCGAGGACGTTAAGGAACTCCATAGTCTCCATCTCGAATCCGAAGTTTCCATCAATCATCAGGAGGACAATGTCGGCGACCTTTGCGATGTCGACCATGGCCTCGAGTTCGTTGGCGCATTCGATGAAGGTCAATCTCTGCTTCTTGGACGTGACGACCGTGATAGGTCCCACGGGATCCTGGATGGTTTCCTTTGCATATCGTCTAATGAAGGACTTGAGGAGGGTGGTCTTTCCTACACCGGGGGGGCCAACGATGGCAACGAGTCTCGGGGGCGGTTCATCGGGGACACGGTCGACGGCGGGGACGTGAAGACGCTTCTCTTTGATCTGTTGGAGAACACCAGTTAGCGATAGTCATGGAAGGATGGATTGATCACTGTCTGCTTACATCGTGAGATCTGGCGGCTTGTCTGGCAAGCTTACCGGGGTTGGCGAAGGCAAAGGCCTTGGGGTTCTTTTCTGCAGGGACAGTCAGTTTTGAATAGCAACGATAAGAAAAGAAACAATTGGACAAACATACCACCTGTATGCTTGGAGCCCCCCTTCTCCTTGGACTTCTTGGAAGCCCGATGGGGTTTGTGGGCTTGGACGTCGGCCATGATTACGGCTGGTGTCCGTGAACTTTTTGCAAGTTCAGTATGGATGGATACGCGGTCGCGATGGCAGGTGCAGGTGGAAATGCGACGGGACTCGCTTCCAATTCAACTGCCAAACGCTCCAGAAATTTTCGGGTGGTCGATTTTCTGATAGTACGCCAAGGGTCTTATCGATAAGCGATAAGAGACTTGGTGGGGCCGCTTCCCGGCAGGCGATCCCCGGCAGCACCGCCCCGGAGCGGGACTTGAGCAGTTGTGGCATGCGGGGAGTTCGAGACCCTGACAGGCAGTCCTGACCCTGAAGTCTTGGAACCTTCAACAACAGACGAACCGAAGGTTGAGAAGCGCTTTCGACTCTGGAACTAACGTATAGTCACATCTTACATCTCCAATCAACTGTCCAAGTTCTCTCTTCGGAGTAAATATTCGTGAGACTTATACGAAGATATCGGCTCAATTGGTTGAGATGTCTTTGCTGTCTCAAGCATGACCATAACTGCCAACCTTCTCACTGGTGGAGACTCCTCATACATTGGATTGTTCAGGGACCGCTCTTGCGTCAATGTTGACATCCCATTCCGAATCCACTCATGTTTCGAGTCTCTCAACAAACAGTTGTTGAAAGTTAAGACTCCGTGACAAAACGAGTCCGGCTGGCAAACCCTCCATAACCTACGGCGTCGGCCGAGGAATACCGGATGGGCCCCGAAACAGCCATGGCATCCGATCCCATCTTGCACAACACACCATTACGAGGGTTACATACGTAATTGTCGTAGAAAGGAGGGTGATTTCAGGAGGGTATGGCGTATAGACTCAGAGTTACAAGAGGCAGGTAACATCCAAGGCTTTGAGCAGTGAGATGGTCGGTAGATGACTGGATCGGGTTCTCCGCGAGAATAGTGTCTCAGCCCGCGCCTAAGCGCTCGTTGGTGTTCTGAATTCCGCTTTCCTCAGTCGTTTGCGAGGTTGGACCGTTGGGCGCTGAGATGGAGGATTGTCTCTGTCGTCCCCACGCCTGGCAACCAAAAGAGTGTCACAAGTCACAAACGACCCTGCGGCAGGCTGTCGCTGGTCCAAGTGGATATGACGTATCATCCGCTCCAGAGGATGCTGATGATTCCCTGGTGCCGCGTCACTTGTGGCTCCTGACGGGATGGCAGTAAGACAATCTAGCATGATTGTCGCTTATCTGGCGCATGTGCATCTGTAGTTCGAGTCCACTTGTACCTGGCTCTCGATCACGTATAAGATGCTCCATCGTCCCCTCCTCCAGAGACAGCACCGGCTCTCCAGGTTCACGACAAAACACTATACTCAGTTTCTCTATTTCCAAACAGCAACACCAACTTTCTCACCACACAACCCCCTCATTACCGCAAACATGCCTTCTTACATTGTAGGCCCACCAGTTTACCTCGCCTGTTAACAAATACCATTCTTACTAACCCATCCACCATGACAGGTTACCCTCAAGGATACCGCTACCAATGACGAGATCGCCAAGACCAAGGAGGACGTCAAGAAGCAGGGCGGCAAGATCGGTCACGAGTACACCCTCATCAAGGCCTTCCAGTAAGACATACCTCCTCCGTACTCAGTGTTAGACACAAGAGCTGACACACTCTTCTCAACTACAGGGCCATCTATCCCGAGAACACTATCCACAGCCTCGAGACCCATGAGCACGTCAAGGGAGTCGAGGCCGACCAGGAGGTCAGGACCCAGTAAAGGAGCACATCCGATTTCAACAACATGTTTGAAGCATTAGGCGTCAAGGACAACATTGGGAATCATGATATTACAAGTAGAACGGGAAGGACATGGGATGAGACGACAGAGAGAGGCATGATCTGGTGATGGATCTCATGCGGGGCACCAATCGCGGGGTAACAGCGAGAGGTTACCTAGACAGCGACAGGGGGCTTACATGCCGGCTTCGCTGTCGTTTCAGTGACACTCTCTACTGAAACCGGCTGTGCATTTCCATTCAGATAGAGGCGGCCATTTGATGATTGTTATGAATTCAAAGAAAGATATCCAACTTTAACTCAAATCGTTTGACTGTATTCAATTACCCAAGTCCGAACATGCGATGCTTCGAGCTGGAGGAAAGAGGAACCGACATGAGACAGAACGGGAAGCAGCCAAAGCAGCCCAGCCCTCAAGGTGCTCCAAGCGGCCTGGGCAGCCCCTTATCGCTTAGTGTATCGATTGGACCACGATAACCCTGTTTCAGCAGTAACTGCTATGTCATCCCGTCGCGGCGCTGAGCACACTACACTCTCCACCGGACCTCGACCGGACCGGACCCTAGACTACTTGCACCAAAAAGTCTCCAAATTCAGTCTCGTAACAGAAACCTTGCCATTGAAACCCGCTACCGCATAACAACATGCCGACATGAAATTCATCGTGAGGCCGTCGAGGTTCCCAAGCCCTCTCAAGGCCTCCTTGAGCTCAAACTACCCGAGACTGTATTCCATCCTTCAACAAAACAAGGAGAGACCCCATTACGACCGCCCGCTCAGCAGTCGCCATGAGCTAGAGGACAAAGTCCCATGGCTGGCTAGCCAGCCTCTACACCAGCTGAGTCTGGCCGATCTCGTCAAGTAAACAAACAATTCCCTTTCTCTTCCTCATCTGTAGAAGCATCGAACTAACAATGGCATCGTTCTCCCAGACACGGCCGCCCCCCTCTCTCCGCCGAAGCCCTCCTCTCCTCCGCCCGCTTCACCCTCTCCCTCCTCCCCATCCGCCTCGCCCACCGCATCCAAGCCCTGCGCAACCTGCCCTACATCGTCGTCTCCAACCCCAACATCTCGCGCATCTACAACAACTACCAGCACTCGCTCTCGACCTTGCTCCCCTGGCAAGGCAAGACCATCAGCTCTCTCGACGACGAGATCAAATTCACCCAAGTCCTCGCCGAGCTCGTTCAAACCCACACCGACACCATCCCCATCCTGGCCAAGGGCTTCATCGAATGCCGCAAGTACATCTCCCCGAGGGAAGTCACCCGCTTCCTGGACGAACACCTGCGCGCGCGCATCGGCACGCGGCTGGTAGCCGAGCAGCACATAGCCCTGCACTACAGCTCGACGCCGCACTTCGACCCGGAAGCCTCGCCCACGCCCTGCCCGGAGCCCGAGACGCACCCGTCGTACATCGGCGTGATCGACACCGCCCTCCGGCCCGCAAGCGTGATCGACTCGTGCGGCGGCTTCGTCGCCGACATCTGCGAGCTCAACTACGGCGTGCGCCCCGAATGGGTGGTAGACGGCGAGCCGGACGCCACGTTCGCGTTTGTGCCCATGCACCTCGAGTACATCGTCACGGAACTGCTCAAAAACGCGTTCAGGGCGACGGTGGAGAACGGCATGAGCCGCGAGCCGGTTGTAGTAACGATTGCGCCCGAGCCGGCTAGTAGTGCCGCTAGCGCGGCCACTCCCGGGGTTTACTCGGATTGCCCTACCAAGAACTCGAAAGCGCATGGGATCATCCCCCTACATGATCATGCCCCCGGCGTGACGATTAGGATCAGGGATAGAGGGGGCGGGATCAACCCGGCGGTGTTGCCGCATATCTGGGGGTACTCGTTTACGACGTTTAACGAGGCGGACGATGATGAGCCGCCAGGGGCGTGGGGGGAGGAGGCCATGGGGTTGATTTCGACTACCGGGGTGGGCGGGAGCACGATTGCTGGACTGGGGTATGGATTGCCGTTGAGTAGGGCGTATGCTGAGTACTTTGGGGGAGGGATTGCGGTGCAGAGTTTGTATGGATGGGGGACGGATGTGTATCTGAGGTTGAAGGGGGTGGGCAAGATTGAGTATTGATTGATGCTTACTTACTATATCCGGTTCGGTCAGTCAAGTCAGTCGGTCGGTCGGTCGGTCGGCCGGTACGCTGTTATAGATATCATGTCAAGTGCCGGTTATGAGTATACTAGTATTTGGGTAGGAGATTTAAAGAGGTCCGTCCATAGGTAGTACATGACTTCAACGAGTCAAGTTCTTCAGACCATACATATATGTCGTTCATTCCTGCTTATGGTCAAGGCAAATCAAAATTAGATGGACGTGTTGAAACTCGGTTCGATGTTGCTTTCTTTTTGCACTCAACATTTACATTTACATCTGGATTCATACTTCTCATCATGCCTTTCCTTAAGAGTAGGGGTTGCATATTAAATGGCAGATATATTCAACAGCTATAACGCCAACTAAACATCAACCGTTGACATACAAATAGACATTCAGCATCACTTCTCATGCGTACGTCTGAGTGTAGTGCAAAAATACATTGCTATGATATGCTATAACTATCCAAAAACAAAAACTCAAAAGCCAAAAACGAAATATCCAAAAAAGATAGTGTCTATGCTACTATGTCCATTAATAGTTTTTTGCCTCAACCACCAACAACCAACAAAACGTTCGACCAAATCAAAAAGACATCCGTCCAATCCATCCAATCAGTTAGTCAATACCCAATCAGATAATCCCATCCATTACATGTTATGACATGAATCAGATCAGATGTTTCACATGTTCGCCAACTCATTATCAATCTGCCTGTCCATAAACGTCCTCCTCTCACCCACCAACTCCGTCTGCAACCGCTGCTCCACCAGCGCCCGCACCTGCTTCTTCGTCACCGTATCCAAATCAACCTCGCGAAGCACGCCCTGGATGGCCTCGATGATCATGTGGTCGTCGGGGCCAGGAGTGCTGCGCTGGAAGTCAATCGACCCCAAACTTTCCGAGTGGCTCATGCCGGGACGGTGTCCGGGAATACCGAGGCTCATGCCCGTGGCCGTGGACAGACGGGGGTTGACCATGCCGCCGGGGCCGAGAGCGGGAGGGGTGTTGGTCATGGAGCGCATAGCGTTCTGGCTGGGGCCGCGGCTATGACCGCCAGGGTAGTCCTGGTACGGGCTGGCGCGGCGCTGCATCTCGACCATGGTGCCGCCCATCGAGGCCATGCTCTGGCGGTTCTGCTCGGTGAAGGGGGAGGCGCCGACGAAGGTGCTGGCACGGGTCATGGCGCCGCTACCGCCGCCGTTGGGACCGAGGCCAGGGCTGTGAGGGGGCATGTAAGCTCCGGCACCGCGACCGCCGAACCCAGTAAGAACGGACGGCTGGCGGACCGAAGAGTAGACGGACTTCATGTCATCGACCTCATACGTCTCCTCGTACATACCGCCCAGGTGCTCATCCATACCCTTCTCAAGAGGGCCACCGCGACGACCGGGGAGGTTGTTGGCCAGGGCGTAGTCGTCCCAGCGCTGGAGAGGAATGGCACGGGGGTCAAAGCCCTCCTCGTCGACAGCAACAACTTGCTTCTTACCGGTTTCACCAATGACAACGCGGGTATTACCCCAGGCGAAATCATCCTGATGCCAGAAAGAGTAGATGGGCAGAATGAAGGAGTAGATGGGGAAGGCCAGGATGTAGATGATCATCCAGCCCACGTGCTGCCATTGACGCTTGAGGATGAAGATAAGCGCCTGGAGACCGTACACAGCCGCAATCATGATGATCGAAAGCAGAGGGAACTGTCCAGAGTGGGAAGCGGCCGTGTAAATGAGATAAACGATGTAGACGCAAGTGGCGGGAAGAATGATGGTACCGAAGAGATCGATGAAGACGACAATGCGCATCGAGAAGAAACAGAAACCACACATTTCCTCGAGCCACATCAATTCGGCCAAGTTGTGGATGGTCGAGTTAATCCAACGACGACGCTGAGACAGCAGAACGCTCCAAGTATCGGGGGCGGCCGTTTGGCAGTAGGCATCGGGAATGAACTTGTAAGACATGTACGGGAAGTGTTTGGTCATGAGCGTGGTGAGGAAACGATCCTCACCAAGCGAGAGCAGGTTCTTCTTGTGGAGCGTGTCAACAATGCAATCGCTGTACTCGCGGATAATGTCGTCCGAGATAATGAGCGGCTTTCCCTTGTCAACAGTACGCAAGCGGTACATGGTGAAACTATCGGATTGTCAGTATCGTCTACAACAATCAGTGAGCAAAGGGACAACCAAACTTACCAACCGGGCAAACAGGTAACGCTGCCAAAAAGAGACTCGAAAGCCTTCGCCAAGTGATGAGAAATGTAGTACTCGTAAACCTGGATCATAGTCCACCACGAACGTTCCTCATTCTGCAAGCTGGTTTCACCGCAAATACCGGCAATCTTGGCGTTATTGGCGCAGGCAGCCACCAGGCGGTTGAGAGAATCTTCCCGAACGCTGGTATCGGCATCGACCATGAGGAGGTATTCGTAAAGCTCGGGGTCCACACCAATGATGTTGTTGATCTGGTGGAAGATTTCCAGTTCCAAGGGGTTCATGGGAGCACGGTGATGGACGCGGTTGAGGAAGCTCATGAGCAGAATCTGCGAGTCACGCTTACCACGGTTACCGGGCTTCGTCTTGGACTGCTCAGACTCCTTGCCGACCTTGACAACCACGATATAAGGTACCACGTTTCCTTCGAATTCATACAATCCAGAGTAGACCTTGCCGTAGTTGAGCTGTTCGGCTCCAGTACCGACGGACTTGAAGGACAAAGCAGGTGGGTCAACCTTGGGGTCAACACCGAGAATATCGAGGACGATCTTGGGAGTAGGACGGTCGTTGCCAGCACCGACGATGACACCGTCGCAAATGACAAAGATAAGCTTCCGCTTGTTGTCGTACTGGAGGGCTGTCAAAGAGTCCAGGGCTTTCCTCAGCGAGTCTTCGCCTTCGGTATAAGCGGGCACCTGGCAGATGACGAACTTGTCCTGGGGAGCGGGGCGTCTCTTAGATCCGAATTGAAGAGCTGACACGAACTTGACCACGATGATAGCGCAGACAACAATGGTAAATGCAAGCAAGATGTAGTTGTTGACTTGACACCTGGCCGAATAACGGAAATCGGGCTTGCCGATGTACCACGTGTTCTTAACACAGTTAAGACTGTTCATAACACTCTCATACTGAGTCTGGTTGCTGCTGACGCGATCGATCAGGTTGTTAATCTGGTCGGTCAAGTCCTGACCGGGGTTGTTCTGGACGAGGTTGGAGACCTGGGGGTCGAGGAATGCCCATCTAGCATCGTTGTTCATACGCTTGGCGGTGTACATGTAATCGGTCAAGTCGTAGATGAGATCCTCGTAGATGAACCACTGGTGATTCCAGTCTTCACCTTCCTGCTTGATCTTCTTAGCTTCCCAGACCACGTCGCCATGGTAGTACTCCTTGATGGCGGGCAAGAACGTCTGGGTATACCAGTATCTTTCAGAGAGCTTGCTCCGAATATTAGGCTGCGTAGGGCCGGAAATGTGCTGGGCCACAATGAATTCAGGGGTAGTGTTGAATTGCAACGTGATATCATCCGCGATGCCGAGGCCAGGGCAGGAAATGTAGAGAGGCGGGACAAAGTAATCGGAGAGGTCTTGGCCAGCAAGCGGCATCATTACATCCGACGTGGTGTCAATGTTGTTGTCGCTGTGCTGCAATCTCCAGAATTTGGTGATGTCGTAAACCTTGCCGTGGATGCTGACCCAGAAGTCATCCTCTCCCTGATGATTCAGAATTTCTTGCGAAGTCCAGGCTTTGTCGAAATTGGGGCAAAGAATACGACCGAAGAAGATAATCCAGAAAACGACGATGGCGTTGAGGAGAACGATAAAGAAGCAGAGAACAAACTTCTCACGCCATGCCATACGCACATCAGGTCGCTTCATCCGACCAACGAACTTGAGTAATGGGGACGGAATCCACCACGTCAGAGCCCAAACAGTAAAGACCCAGATTTTCCTTTGGAAGGAAATAGGCCGCTCCTCAATCTTCTTGCCCTCGGCAAGGTCAGCGTCTAATTCCGAAACAATCTGGCCTTCGGCGTTGTAGAAGACCTGTCCCTTGTATTGGTCGCCCTTGGAACCAAGACCGTAGTCACCGTTGCGCATGGCGGTCATGTTGGTAGGAGCGATGGAAGCAGCACGCACTGGGCTCGGGTTGAGGTTGTTTTGGCTAAGATTACCACCAAGGGCGAGGTGATCGTAGCTCCCGTTGGAGGTTCCATCGGCAAAGGGAGAGCGCATATTGTCAGCATATGGCTGAGGCGGGAAGAAGCCGCTTCCGTTGTGAGAATAGCCCGAGCCCATGGTGCCTGGGGGCATCAAGTTACGCATGCTGTTGAGCCTCTCAGCTTCCATGGGCTTCAGATCCAACATACTTTCGGCTTCCCACCACGCGCTCTCCCTCATCCATACTCTCTCGTTGCCCACAGCAACCTCGCCGTTGCTCCAGCCCCGCTCCAAGACCCAGCTCTCGATACCGTCACGGCCATCCATACAGCCCAGAGGCCGATACCGCTGAGTAAATTCATGGTGATCAAAATCGGCCGTGTAGTCAATGTGCTTATTACGTCTGTTGGCCCACTCGGACAGCCTCCAGGTGCGGAGCTGGCGAGAAACAGCTCCAGCTGACCAGGCTGAGTTGACAGCAGGAAGGGCAGCCAGGCTAGATGGTGAGTCGTCTGTGGGGTGGATGCAGAGGTGATACCAAGCGCGACTGCGGTTCAAAAGATCCGCAACATCCACACGGCCAGTGCGGCCGAGGTTGATACCCTCGGTGGGGACCGGGAACAAGAGCTTCCTTAGGAAACCCTCATCTTCTGATGAGAAGGCAATCTTTTCCAAGATATCCTCGCGCTTCTCAATCAGGCGTTGTCTTTCCCGGCCAACCGAGCCAACCATAATACCTAGATCAGGACCACACTCTGCTACGGCACTCTGCATTTCCCGCACAACCGAGCTTGAAATGGGAACCACCTCGACGCCGTCAGCCTTCATTTCGGAGTTGATACCCTGAGTGTCGTCGAAGATGCCCCGCATGGCAATAGCCTTGCCCAAGTTTTGGTCGGGAATCTCGAGGACAGTGAGGCAGACAGTATCGCCACTGTCCTCGTTGGAAGTGGGCGCACCACTCCGGGAGGCACCGTCGCTAGAGTCATCGCCATTCCGGGATCTGCCCATCTGCACGGCAATAGCATCGTTGGCCTTCTTGATAACCCAATCGACCAAAGCCTCATAGAGTCCTCCGATCAAGGTCGCCCGGTCATCAGTGCTGAGTTGCCTGGCAAGGATTTCGGGTTCGATACCAAGGAGTCCACCAACATCCTCGCAGATTTCCTCCAAAACTTCTTGGTCAACATTGTAATCGAGTGTGTTGCCGAGCTTGAGGAGGCCGGCCAAGATGGAGATGAAGTTGCGGTGGGAAGAGCCCTTGATACCGATGTCCTTGAGGGCAGACCTGAAATCGTCGGCAGCGGCACCATCATCGGCGGTAGGAAGATAGGATGGAGGATCGTAAGTGCCGGACCTGGCGAGAAGGCTGTATTGAGACGCGGCCTTGAGCCCAAGGAACTCTCTTTCGGCAGGGGTAGAGGCCGTGGTGAGCAGGTAGTAAAAGACATCAAAGGCCCTGTATCCAGCCTCAGAGGGGACACCCAATAAGCCCTTGTCGGTGTCGATACCACCTTGTGTAAGCGAAAGCGAGGCGGCAGTAAGGTTGCCTGTAAGGTTGAGTGTCAAGGTGACGGCCAAGCCGGTCTGTCTCGGAGTGGAGGGGTTGTAAGGGGTTACACAGCGAAGGAAGGGTTCGATAGCGTCGAGTGCTTTGTAAACCGAGGCAGGGATCTCGAGGGGAATAGTGGACAGGAAGGGTCGCAAGAGCGAAGGAGTCGAGTTGTGCAGCGATCTAGCATTCGTTCACCTGTTAGTATCAGACAAAGTGTGTAGGTCAAACAACAAAAGACATACCCAAGAATGATACACCCATCCTCAGCACGGCGACGAGCATGCTCCCATGCCCTCAGAGCCAGAGCGCCATCAACGGTTCCACCAACGTGACCATCAGGGCCAGCTTGGGAGGCCGTAAGCCATGTGTTGACGACAAGACTTGTGCCGGCGTCCAGACGGTATGGTTGTGAAGAGAGGTAGATGTTGTGTACGGAGTTGAGAAGAGTCGTGGTAGAGAGCTGGGATGGCTGTTGACCAGGACCTCGTCCGCCCATACCGGCGTCCGAGGCCATGGAATACATTGACATGCGGCTCGCCATGGTGTGTTGTTGGGATGACGGCGAAGTGTCAGATGGATTCCGGGAGCCCCTTGGGGGGAACAAGAGCGTAGACTTGGCCCACGCCTTTCCTCACCGACAAGGACAGCGATTCGAACGAGTGGTGGTGGTCAAAGTGTGTGTATAGAAAGCGATGATCGCCGAGCAATTGCGACTGAGGCGTCGCGTGTGGTTATTGTCCTGACGAGTAGTGGATGTTTCGATAGTCGATATCCTCCTCCAAGTCCTTCAATCGCTTCTCTTGGTACCGTCTGCTTAGGTAGTAGTCGTAGTGGTAGTAGGATAATATTATTAGATGAAGATGGGACCGAAACGAGAGACGACACTGATCGCGCAAAGATCGGACGAAGAGAACCACCAAAGCGAGTGAAGGCGGCCAACGTCAGTCGACAGTGTCAAGGAGGAGTCCCTGGGATCAATGCAAAGGAAACGACGGAGATTCGAAAAATCGGGAAAATTGCAGATTAGCTGCCCGTCAGCTAGCAGCAGCAGGAGCAGGAGCAGCAGGCGGCGAACGAAGGGGGGGAGAATGGGCAGGAGAGACAAGAGAGACAAGGAAGCGACACCCCAGCGAGTGGATGGAGTGAAGTTTTGGTGGAAAGGAAACAGCGATGATTCCCACAGGCTAGTGGCAGGCAGTGCAGACGGGAGTGCAGACTGGAGACTCTGCAGTGCACTCAGGCAAGAGCGGGCAGAGAGTTCCAGCTTGTTCGGCTCGAACCACACCAATGGAACGGTCTGAAGCCGGGTCTGAACGGTCAGGATTTTCGCTGCTTATTGCTACTGGAGCCTGAAAAAAAGATCACCACACATTTGCGCCTGTACGGCGGTTTACAACACTCACTTTGAAAATACACCAATCCCGATTCACTCGCAAGTGGATGCAGGATGCGCATGATGTACGGAGCGCCCGCGACAATCACCCCAGGACCCGGTTTGGGTAGGCCGATCTGGAACGTAATTACCAACGAGATTGTTCCCTGTCAGCCAGGGGGAAGGGGGCTTGACAGTATTGAAAAATGCAATTATGCGATCTTGGTTGTTAAACTTCGTTGCCTCCATTCCCGCTTTTGCCGACCGCCTTCCTGCTGTACCACAATGAGCTTCTCGTTCTTGGCTTCATCAGTCCATGTGTGCATTTCAAACATCCTCCTATCCTTTGTGTGCACTGCTTCAGTTTGGTTGTATCGGATATATCAGGCCTGTTTATGCTCGGCCATGGGAATTCGTTCCCTTTTCCAGTGATTTTCATGCCAGGATCCGCGACCATTTTTCGCCTCAATGATTGGATCTGAAGAATGAAATGGCCAGACTTGATCAACCCCAAAAGCCTGCTTTGAAGGACAAGATGCACTCAAGTTGCACTCATCGTTGCAGTGCCTCCATGCGTGTTGATGGGTCTTTGCCAGGACTGCTCAAATGAGATTCTCGCCTTTTGGTTCCCGTTCGCTTTACGGCGTACTGCGTTGGTCCGTTCGGCGGAGTGCCGGATGGCCACGGAATTCTGGATGACGGTCGAATACGAGCCCTCACAACAACTGGAAGTCTTGGCTCCACCATATCGATACCCCCACCATTTGCGGTCATGGTGTGTGGATGGATGATGGTGCACATCCTCACGCACACGCAGAGGCAGAGCTGAGAACCTCGCATTGGGAATGGGACGTGTGCAAGTTGACGTCTAAAAGTAGGGTCCAAGTTCATGACTGGCTGGAGAGTTCAAGAAACCTTATCCACAGCCGCCTTACCACGAGCACGAGCACGCGTTATATGTTGCATGCTACATACACTACTGGACGTACGGATATCTCCATTGGGCCTTGGAGGTCTGAACACGAAAAGGGCTGGAGGGTAATCCTGTGTCTTGTCTGGACACTCAGCGACATGTTACAAACATTCCCGTCCCGTTCGCCTTGTTCAACCACCTCAGCGCCCGACGCAGCGGTCCGCGAATGTGTGCAACATGGCCCCTCCTGGCGACCTCTTGGAAGTTCACACCATCGACAACCACCTTTGGCAATCCATCCCCGACTGAGAGGACAAAGATCACGAATGGAAACTTCCAACAAACTTCCACCTTGTTGTCATGATCTTAATGGAAATGTTCCGCTGCCTTGGTACGTATAATTGCGTGCCCCGCCGTCCGTCTCGCTTCGAGTGACATTGAACAGAAGCCCCCGATAAACTGAATGACTGTCTTGATGAATAATCGAGGATATCGTGCTTGGCAGCCAAGGCAGATGCGGCGAAAATGTCAAAGGGGGCTGCTCCACACTCCATGTGCCACCTCCAACCGGATAGTTTCTTTTTTTAGTTGTCTTTTGTCCTCCTTTTGCCGACCCCTTTCCAAGGTTGTGCCTTGCGCCGCGTTGCACTGTCAGACTCTGTGGGAGAAGAAACATAAAAACTTTGTTGGACGGCTTCAACGGCTCTCTGTGTTAACGTTGCCTTCGGGCCCAAGTGTGGGAAGGTGAAGCCATCACCAGATTTTCGATGCTCTAGAACATATGCACTGCCCTAGGTAGTCACCTTGGTGGTTAGGTTGATGGGGATCTGTGGAAGATCACAACCTCGAATTTACAAACAAACAGAATTCACACGGTAAATGATTCAATCACAACGAATGGCCACAACGGAGCTAAGGGTCCCATATACATAATAAGGTATGCAATCTTGCTGTACATCATATGTGCCCCATGAAATGTCTGAGCATCATGTGCATCATGACTTTCAAGCATAGCGGGAATGCATTCAGGGGCAGGATCAAAGGAAGGATGAACCCGTCCTACCGCTGCACACTAAAATGTTTAGAGGCAGATTTTGGTGGAGGTTTGTGCAGGCGCGATGATGGCAGGTCCGAGCAAGCGACAACCGCGCTCCTTCCTGTTGCTGATGGCGGGCACCCACCTGTAGCGCGCGCTGGAAAAGCGCCCGAACGCTGCCTGCAGTAATGGTGGGGTCTTTGTCTGGATCCAGCCCTAGGCACCTGCCCTCACTGCAACTCTGCAAGAGGAACTCCAAACCTATTCTTCTTCGCGCCTTCTGTTCTTCCTCGAACAATTCATCAATTCCTCGCAAAGATGTCGAGCCAAATCAATTATGTCTTCCATCGCATTTGAAAGCTGAAAAATGGTCACCGCATCGTCCACTCAATCTCCGAGGCTCGACACTAACAAAAAAGCGAGACTCAAAAAGGCGTCATACTACCTCTACCGACTACGCCGGCGGGGACTACGGCACACCGGCAGACGGTGCAGCGCACAAACCCTACGAGGTGGTACCCCTAGCACGTGCCGTACGCTACCCCCAATTCATACGAGGAAATTTGCAACGCAAAGCCAGCACCGGGCAAGCCAGCACCGGGCAGGCCACCAAATCCACCCACCATATCCCCAACTCTCGTATTCCCAAGGGCACGCCACCCCACGGATCTTGCAGGGACACCTCACAAGACAAGCAATGGTCATCCGCGACATCTTCAAATAGTCAATCAGCCATTTGACAAAGAACGGGAGGTGTCCCTCTCCCTTGAGAAGAAAAGAAGACGTGAAAAATGTTCCAAGAGGCCTGCAGTGGTCCGGACTACATACGTTTGTCAATTTCCGAGGCAGACGTCTTTTTTCAGAAACAGAGATTGAATGGCCCCCTTCCTTGGCATCAGCAGTGGAGAGTAGCCAGTGGGAGTGAGACAATGCAGCTAACTTCGATATTAGCATAGCAGCCGAATAACAGCATAGGCGGCTGAAAGGACAAAGCATGTCAATGTCAACTCCTGTGTTTCCATCCCCCAGAGAGGCGCACACACTATCGTATGCTTAATTCCGCTTGGGCATGGGCCCTCGATTTCCGAAAGCAATGCTGTCATAAGGCGTCCATCCGCTCCGGGGGGCTCCCGGTTGCTGACCCCAATGGGAAAAGAACAAGCAAAGAATACCAAGCTGGGTCAGAGTGCCCCTGAAGACGGGATAAGAGAAAATCCAGCTGGGCGGCGACCGCTGTTGGTGGTTAGGCTGGTACACCGTCGTGGTTCTGGAACCGTTCGACAGGGCTTTAGGAGAGGATCACCAGTTCGTCCCAAGAGTCAGGACAACAGACAACACAGACCGTATGTCCTGCCAAAGTTGCAAATATGTCGTGGTCTATATGATCAAAAGATTTTCTCCGGCATCAAGGCCAGCCTATACTGGAAAAGTGAGGAAGCTGGAGTGGAACAGGTTGAAGCCCTTTGCGTTCCTCGCCTTGTTCCCTTGTTTACATATTTTGAATCACGCACCCCCCTCACCCCTGTGGCTTCTGGACGTGGAGAAGCCGTCCCCCATCCTAACCAATCACATGCTGGACGGGGGCAGGTACTTCGTATGGCCGAACTGCGCCTCTGGCCCTTCCAGACCGCCGTAGCCCGCACCCGAGAGAAAACATTCGAATCCCCTATGTTTTTCCCCAGTCAACCGGCTCCATAGCCTCGCTCCATCAGACAGCAGGCGACGCCGCCGGTGTGAACCTACCCACCGTTTCCTACCCACGGCATCCATCGCTGTACACTTCTCTCGCTCGCTGGGGATTGCAGGTTCGGAAAAAGCTTCGAGCGTCTCCAACGTTTGCTTAGCCTTGTCGTTCTATCTTTCCTCTCCTCTCTGACGCTCGTTTACCAAGACGCCTTTGTCGCATCTGGACCCTCGTTTTGCCTGACTGTCTTCACTGTTTCGTCCTGTCTGGGATCCGACGGCATACACCTAGCGCGTCGCATATCATTTGATTGACATCGGACGACAACTTCCCAATCGCCATTGTCAACCTACCCTCGACGACTTGACAACGACTCCAAACACTTCGATCGACGACAGACGCCGACGACTTCGACGGTTTACCCTTCTTCCGGACGACCTAGAGGTTCTATAGACATATTGAGATATACATACTAGTCTGCCAGCAGCGCTCTCGCCATGGCGCTCAACCTTCCTCCCGTAGGGGGGACGGGTGGAGGGGCCCATACCCAACCTTCGTTACCCTCGCTGCCGGCCCATCTTCAGTCAGATACACACTTGACGGCTCATCTAGCCAGTCGATTCCACGTCTCGCTACCGATTTCCCGACTTTCATCCCACGCACTCGTTTCCATCAACACTTACACTAGCTCTACGAAAGGAGATGGCACCCGAGACTCTTCCGCCATGGGCGGTGCCGAGGACATGGCCGAGAGGGCCTACATCCGTCTTGGTCATCGGTCTGAGAACCAGGCCGTACTCTTCTTGTATGTTGTCTTTTGCTTGTGCCAGCCCTGCGGCGTGACCTTGTTACTAACGGCTGAGACAATAGGGGTGAATCGGGCTCAGGAAAGACTACCATCCGTGCTCACGTTCTGACCGCACTCCTCAACAAGTCTTCAACTCCCCTTTCCAACAAGGTGTCCCTTGCCGCATATGTCTTCGATACGCTCACTACCACCAAGACAGCCACGACGCCGACGGCCTCCAAGGCTG